TCCCATGCACTCCACTGACTTGAACTAAAATTAAAAATAAAGAATCTCAATTTGACCGATGAAACAATTTTAAAAGCCAATTTGGCAAGTTGAATAGGTATTTATGTGAAGAGGGCCAATTATTGTTCAGCAACTTGCCATCATGTCCAGCGCACAGCATTCCATTCTTTTTCGGTTTGGCGTGATCCAGTCTGAGCACTAATAAAGCAATTATCTTGTTACAATAAAAAATAATTTAATTAGAGCTTTCATCGTCATAGCGGCGACGGCGGCGGCTGCCTGCCCTCCGCGAAATATATAATAGCATCCTGGAGCAGAGGCTGGAAATCGAGAGCTGGACGCATTTTTGCAGCATTTTTTCTCCCCGCTCGGATACCCAATTATGGAAGCGTTTAAGAAGAGAAAAGAACAAGAGGCAGAAGAAAAGAATTTTCGCTTGTCAATGTTGGTGGTCGCGGCAGCGCGGATAATTTTTGCGTCCGCATACGCGCACACACGCAGCATCTCGGCCGCACCGCGTTTTTTCTTATATATTTAAAGAGAGTACAAACTACACATGGTTAAACATGGTGTTTGTACGCAAGCTACCCGCACTCTTGACAATAAGTAAACGAAACGGCCGCGGCGCCGCTTCTTATTTTTCTCTCGACTGGAACACAGAATATAAGAGCAGGAAAAAATTTTAAATTATTAAAATTCATCATTAATTTTCTGTTCTATATTCAAAATTATCTCTCAATGAAAGCGAACAAAAGATTCTAAAGTCCATGCTCACAAAATGCAGATGCTTCTGAAAACACACTTTGCTGCTCTTTTTATATATTTGCAAAAACATATTTATATTTAAAATATTGCAATGCTAGCGCATTTTGTTATATTTGTAATTTTGGTTTGTTATATGATAGAATTATGAAGCTGTAAAAAATATTTAATTTTGAAATATAAACTAATTAAAATATTACACAATAATTAATACAAAATTGTTATATAATTAAAAAATTTAAATTTGAATTACTATTTAATCTAAAAAAATTGTGGTTTTCTTTAAAAAAAATATTGACCTCTGTTTGAAATCAAATAAAAATTTTTGAAGAGACTACAATTTAACAAATAAAGACAATTTCTTGCTAAATTTACAAGTTTTCCAGCACCTATTTGGAAATTGAAATAAACAACTTAGTGTCAAATAAAAATGTTAATTAATTCCAAACGTCTGGTTGACAATAAATTAAATCGTTAAAAAGAGTAACACTTGCACACAAGATAAATTCTTATGCCTAAGAAACAAATCAAAATTTTGCAACGCTGCTCGGGTGGTTAGGCTGCGGACGACTTGCGCGAGCAGAAACGCCGGCGACTATTGTCCATGCAAAAACGGAGCTGCGATGGCGGTAGATAGCATGTCAAAAGACCGCACCGCGAGAGGCCATATATGGTGCGTATAAGGCCGCACCGCCGATTTACTCTCTCTTTTCTCCGCAGCATCCGAGCTCTGTTGCCAGCTCTGTACGTATTTTCTTATTTTATATTATATATATAAAAATAATTATTAATCGTCTCGGAAATTGCTTTTGCGCGCGCGGTTCATGTTTACAATTTTAATTGTCAGCGATCAGGTCCGTCGCCCGCCGGACAGCCGCGGCGGCACCAACCTGGACCTGCCGAGCGATTCCCACCGACTGAGACTATGCCGCCGTTTTCATCTCGCGTCCACACCGTGGGAATTTCGCCTCTCCACTCCTGCTGACCGCAAGCGGCAAAAACACCAACGACCACCGCTGGCTCACTGCACCGCTCTGCACACATACATACATCAGCGTGCTAACAATGAGAGACGAGAGAGAGGCTGCCCCGGTACGCAAATGTGTTGCTAATTGCAATTTGCCTAGAGCTGCATTCACTCCATCTCTCCGCAGTTTCAATTTACTTCTCTGGATTATTTCGCACATTTAAATCATTTATTTTAACTGATATTTAAATTTTATTACAAAAATATATATTTTTTGTAAAATTAAAGTAAGGACTTTGTTTAAATTTACGTTACCTCTATACCTCGGCAAACAAAACTGGAAGCTCGGAAATATTTGGAATATTTTTAAATGTCAAAATCTTCCACTTCCTGTAAATTGTAAGCAATATTGAAAAAAAAATTAACACGGGAAATTAAATATTCATTACAGAAATTTTAGAAGCATTTTCACGATTTTTTTAAAACTATTTAATAAATTTCTTTCAGATACATAACCTCTGCACTTCCACGTTTTATTTTATAAATGCAATCTAAAAAAAATTATTTATAAGTTATTTTTTATCTTATAGTTTCATTAAATTTATTTTAGTTAATGCAGGATAAAATAAATAAAAGTTAATAAAGTCTGAATATTTATCTTAAGATAATTATTGACTATCTGCATACTATAATATTTCTGTAATTTATTAGTGGAACAAATTGAATAATTAATTTTTTCAAATTTTACTGAATTCATTTTACTTGAATTAATTAGATTTCGACTTTTGACAAATTGTTGGAGGGAAAACGTAAATGCAGTCTCTGTTAATCAATTTAGTTGAAAAACAATCTTATTTTATAAAAAGAAAAAAAAGACAAGAAATATACTGGAAAAAGTAGCATACAACAAGGTGATCCATTGTAGACTCTCTACACCATCTCGTGACTAACCAAATAATAATAATGAGACCTCACAGATCACTGGAAAAACCAAATGAACATCCGCAAAAGGAAAAAAATCCATCCACTTAGTCATTTTTAAATAATTATCTTTAGTCCATACGATCCTCTTTTATGTCATTTTCACATAATATAAGAAAATGCAAAAATATATTCCCACACATCTGCTGCACCGGTTGCACTTCTTGGTCTTATCTCGCGAATCGCAAGAAAATCACAGCGAGTAGTAAACGACTTTATTAGCGCGCGTGTGAAGCGTGCATCTTTGAGATCTCTGGCGTGACTCACGCGCGCGAATCCGACCGCTTCTGCTTCTTCAATGAAAAAAAAATATATCTTTTTCTCTTAAATTCTATCACACCCGTGACAAGGCAGTTTTTTCAATACGCGATTGACACAATCGTTAGCAGTTCGCTTGATCTTTCGCTCAGATTAAAGAGCATTTTGCACAAAAGGCAATTACTGTATATAGAGTCTAAAAAATAAATCAAACAAGTAGAATGGCTGATGTCTTGAAAGTCTGGAAATACTTTTTATCCCTTTCTTAAGATTAATTTAGGTTTTAGTCTTAAATTAAGAGCAACAATTAAAGCTGTTTTTTTTTAATTATTTAAAACATTCAAAAATGTCTGCTTATTTTTAAAACAAACTCTAATTTAGAATTTAATTTGAAGGAGCGAAATAAATTTTAGCCAAATTTATAAAAAAGCGTGGCTTTGAATTTCATTTCAGAGCATCGCGCATGGACAGCCGCCGGTAACGGAGCCTAACCTTGCCTTTCTCTCGCGCGGGTCAGCTATTTCGGTCGCGTTATGAGGGTGGAACTTAAGGGGCACACGCACCTAGCCAGTCGGATCCAACGAGTTGCTCAAAACAGGGGAACCACGGCCGCCAAGACGGCGGGAAAGTGGATTTGGGTCATTATTTACACAAATAATTTGATAAATTTCTTTGTTTAAATAGTATTTCAAATTTCCTCTAAATTATTCAGAGTAAAAATGAATTATTAAAACAATAAAGAGAAATTTCGAGATTGGGAATTGAAATCAGATGAAGAATAAAACTGCTAAATTACATTTTACATTTTTTTTTCAAATTGAAAGTAAATGAATAATTTAAATGCATTAAATTTATAATTTGACTTGGCCAAAGATGAAGGGTTAAAATCCACTGCCCCGCACCGGCAAGGATTGAGACACTTTTTACAGCGCGAGACACAGAGAGAGAGAAACCAAAATATTCTCATCCATCCTCACCAAAAGCAGCGGTGTCCGCCGGTGTGACAAAGTAGTAGAAAAGAACACTAGCCCGCGGGACTCTAGAGAAGAGCCAAGATCGCGTGCTCAGACATGTGATATAGTGTCCTCTATAGAAATTTACGGAAAAACTTGGTTCATAAATTAATTTTTATGTAATGGCAAATAGATCAATAATGAGGCACCAAAACTAATAAAATAAATAATTATTCTTTCACATCAAAGCTTCTTTTTTTACTTTTACTGCTCCGTAATATATTAATTAATTATTATTTTAAATTTTATATGCACCCCATTGATTAAATTAAATAAAATAAATCGCTTATTATATTTCTTTAAAACTTCTTTTTCAATTCCAGTTTTTACTCTATAATTCAAGTAGAGTACTTGTTGATTCAAAAATAAATCTCGTCTGATTATATCTGCGGAGACGTTTTGTTCGTTTGTCGGGGCGACCATAAATTGGGTCAAAAATTGTTCCCCTGCCAATTGAAACTTGCGATCGAGTGAGATGCATTTTACTGCACAGCCCTACTTTTTCTGCGACATACGTGAAGAGCACCAGAGAGGATTTAACCCGAGATGAATTGCGTCTGGCAAGTTCGTCGCTGATCAATAAATTGCCCCGATGTCGCGATGGCTTGGCTTGTTTTTCGGTCCAACAAAGCTTTAACTTTTTATCTCGCTCCGTATCACATTTCTCCATTTTCTGCTCTCCTGCTTTTATCTGAGCGTAATATACTTACTTCTTCTGTTTACCCGCCGGCCGAGAAATAATGTATGGCTCGTTAAATTTATGGCAAATTACTCTGCAGTTTCCAGAGCTGCTCGATAAATTGGTCTCTTAAATTTTGTGCCAAATGCCTTGACCCTTAATAAAATGAACCTGCCCACGACGATTATTTTGAATCTGATATAATCGAATAATTTAACAAAACTATATATTTTAGGAAAAGTTATGGAAACAAGTTTTTTTTCAATTTAACGTAGTTTATTTTAATAAACATATAGTAGCATGGGTGTGCACTAAATTTTGCACATTTTTTTAAGTACAATAACTCAGAACTATGTACTATCACATTTTGTCTTTAAGCCTTTGAAATCACGAGCCAACAAGAAAATTTCTGCACTGTCCGATCTGCTGGATTTAGGCTTGACTACTTGCACTCGATTGTAATAAAGTTGAAGGTCTTTTTCAAATTTAGATCTTAACGCACCTTCCCAAATTTTTGTAAGAAAAAATCCACCTACTTTGGATATTTTCAAAGAAAACCTCAGTGCTGAATAGGAAAGTTTCACTATGCTTTCGTGATCCATTTCTTGAAATCCAGTTGCCGAAGGAGCCATGTCACTGACTACACCGTCTATTCCACCTAAAATTTAATCCATAATATTTTCTTGCTAATATTCAATTCAAAATATAATACCAGATGGATTTAAGAGTTTGAGGACAGACTTCTGCGTTTCAAGACTAGTAAAATCACTGTTTGGTAAAATTTGAGCACCTTCGACTTCAGTAAAGTCTTTAATGTCAACAGAAACGACTTTTCCTTGGGCACGGCTTGCATCTATGTAAAAATAAAAATATTTTTTAAAATATTTTTGAAAGGATTGCAGTTTTACCGTCTAGGTTTGAATTACACCTTTTGACAAGAACTTGTGTCCAGCTGCCTGGAGCTGCTCCACAATCAATTATATTCATGCCAGGAAACAAAAACTTGTGCTTGTCATCCATTTCGATCAATTTGAAGGCACTTCTACACCTGTAATTTCATCATTCATTTGATTATTTTGGTACAGTTCTTAAAAAAACCTTTGAAATTAATACCTATATTGCTCTACTTGAGCCCATTTGACATAAGGGTCAGATAGTTGCCTCCGTAGCCACGCATCTGAAGATGTGCCCCTCTTTTTGGATTTCAAATATAATTTATTGGGCTTATCAAAAAAGCATTGGCTTGTGCTAAATTTAAATAACAACCCGCTTGAAACAAATCGCCCTCGCATCAGGAATAAACTTTTTTCGGCAAAAATATTCATTGTGATGAATAGTAAAAACTGTAAATCAAAAATCAAAATTAATGCTGCAAGTTATTCTGAGTTTGTTCAAGTTTTTTATAAATCACCGCACGCTGCCGGCCTTCTTGCGTTCTTGCGACTTGTACAAAAACAAAAACAAATGTGCTCAATGTTGCCAACTCATGATTCATGATTCATTTAAGAATTCTCATTAAATAATGCAGAATTTAGACTTTTAAATTTGCAATTAAAATACAAAATGAAACTGATGAAAATTATGTTTAATTATAAATTGAGTAAAAACATACTTGATGCCCTAAAAATCATAGTTTAGTTATTGGTTCACGTTATAATTAATTTTTGTTGTCGTTGGCAAAACTGAAAATTCCGCCATGATTAGAATTTACCATAAGGTCGATTTTCCACTACGAAACAAAGTAATATAACCCTTACGGCTTCAAGTAAACTACACTTGACAAAATTCGACAAGTTCTCACATGTTCAATTTCATTCCCGCCGTAACCATTTGTCCATAGTCAAATTACGTTACGCCAGTCTAGAAATTGCATGATTTGAGTAGTTTCTAGTCGGATTTCGAAAGATATTCAGAGAAGCCGACTCACTCAGTGTTAGGGAATTTTGCTGCCGTCACTTTTAAACCTTTTTTCCTCAGAGAATCCATCGAAATCTTCAGTTGAATTTTCGTCACCACCATGAGGGGCAAGATCAAAAAGATCACGCTCACCAATTTCATGTAATTTTCTTATTTTCGCAGTCTACCTTTTTTTGAAAGCCTGTTTCATTAGTTTTTGATTGAAATGTGCAATTATGAACTAATTTATTTATGATATTTCAATTTTCAGCACCTACGAGTACTTGGAATTGGATCCTGGTGCTTACATGAATCTCGTCATTGGGCCGAATGGTTCTGGAAAATCATCAATTTTGTGTGGAATGTGCTTGGGACTAGCAGGCAAACCCAGCTCAATTGGTCGTGTAACAAGGGTATGTAATGCTAACATACATAATTATGTATTTTATGATCTAAGAGTAATAATAATTATTACTTCTTCAAATCATTGGAAGAAATCATTTTATGTGGTCTTCATTTAATTATTTATCCAAGCATTAATGTGTTGCGAGAGAATATAAATGATATTGAATTATGGTAATTAATTTAATGTCAACTTATAAAAATCTCAATCGAATTATGTGTGTATGTATGTTCCATTTTTAAAGCTCTCCGATTACATCAAGACTGGGTGCAATAGAGCGACCATTGAAATCGAGCTGGATAATGGCAAATCCACTTCAATCATCACCAGGATCATTAATAAAGGAGCTAGTGACACCTCTGGAGGGACGACAGTCTGGTCTCTAAATGGCAAAACTGCCAACCAGAAAGAGGTATTTTGCTTTTAAACAATCATGGTGACGGAACTTAATTTTTTTTCATATACAATTAGGTGGAGAAGTTTGTCCGAGACCTCAATATTCAGATGGACAACCTTTGCCAGTTTCTCTCCCAGGAGAGGGTTCAGGATTTCACTAAGATGAATAGTAAAGATCTGCTCATCAACACAGAAAAGACTGTAGGCAAGTCAAATCTATTTTAAATAATAACGTTAATGATTAAAAAAACTAATGATTATTTCATTTTATGTGTATAGGAAGCACCGAAATGTACGAAAATCATCAGAAACTCATTGAGTTGTGCAAGAGCGGTGGGGGACAAGAAAAAGCTTTGAACGACTTGGAGGAAGGCTTGATTAGGCAGAGAGCCCGTCTGGATCAGTAAGATTTTGTTTTGTTTAGAAAATATTAATTGAAGCTTCCTATAGGTTGCAAGTTCGAATGCAGAGCATGCAGGAGAGACTTGCCCTGGTGAAGCAGCTGGATGAGATCAAAGCAAAAATTCCCTGGGTGGAGTACAATGAGCATGTGGAAAGCATGCAGGGAGTAAGACGATAAGCAAATTAATAATTATTCACAGTAATATTGGGTATTCGTAGGCCAAGAATGATAAAGAGCAGGCTAGAAAAAGGCTGGAGGAGATGGAAAAGGAATTGAAACCTTTGGAAAAATCTCTTCAACAGTTGACTGAACGATTGAAACTTTTAAGAGCAGAGGCAAAGAAAAAGGTAGCTGCGAGGATTGAAGATCTTTGAAATTACTCTATACTCCTATCACTATTTTTAGACTGCTGGTCCAGTTGGAGGGATGAAAAAGTTCATTGAGGAAGAAGACAAGCAGTATAGGGAGATTCAGAAGAATGTAGCGGAATTGCGTGATATTGACAAGCAGAAGGAAAAGTTCAAAAATGACCTAGCTTTGCTGGAGCAAAAGATCATAAGCAACAAGGAGCGCCTGCAAGAAATTGAGTCCACCACAGGTATCTGAGTACGTTTTATTTGAGATTTTTGTGACTTAATGTGAAATTTTCAGATCTTGATGCTATCAAGCAAGAACTGCAGGATCTAAACCAACAAGCTAGGGAGGTCGTTAAAGACATTGAATCCATTCGCCAAAAAGAGAGTGGAAAGCGACGCTTGCTGAATGACTTTATCCAGGAAATCAGGAGTAAATATTTTAATTAAGAAATATTGGAACAAACTAACTACCTATTTTTATATGCAGACTTTGAGTATGAAATCAAAGAGCAGTCAAATCTGGCTGAAAGGAGACTGGCCGAGCTCAGCGGCCTGCACAGGCTGTCTTACAATGCTACCGTCTACTTAAATAATGATCTAAGGAAAAATCATCAGTTTGCTGGCAAAGTTTATTCCTCCATTGTTCTTGAGGTAAGATATTTTTCTCATTATATTTGCAATGGTTTATAAATTTCCTTGCAGATCAACACCACAGACCCACGAGCCAGTAGGTATCTGAACATTGTCATCAGTAGGAGGGACAAGATTGCATTCTTGTGTGAGAAGAGTGAAGATTTCAACTTCCTCTTTATGCACCTGAAGCAGAAGTTTGGTAATGGCCTTAACATGCTCACTCAGGGACCAGAGGTGCTTGATTTAAACCAGCCCATTGGAATGGAAGCATTGAGGTGAATTCTTTATTTTTATTCATTGGAAATGCAGTTTTTATATTTTAATTTTGAAATATTTCAGGAAAATGGGATTTGATGACTACCTATCCAACCTCATTGCATGCCCTACTGAAATCTACAACTACCTTTGCAAGACTTACAGACTGCATCAAATTCCAGTTGCATTCAAAGATGGCCAAGTGAATCGCCAAGATGCTTCTCAAACTTTCAACCAGTTCTTCATTGGTATGAATATTTTTAACTCAAATGGTGGTTAACTTAAACGAGACTATTTAAAACAGGTGATACTATGTACAGAATCTCCACTTCTAAATACACAAACGAGAAATCCTCTAGGACCATTCCTATCACAAACAAGAAAAATCCTTTCGACATCACCATCGATCTCAATGCTGTTGCTCAACTAAAGGCTATGTAAGATTAATTAAAATTTTAAAGCCATTTTTATCTTATTAATTTAAAAATTAAGGAAGGATAAAAAGGTGGAGGAGAGAGACGCTCTGCAGCGAGAAATGCAGGAAATGAATGCTGAGGTTGACCCATTGCAAAGAAAACAAGATGCCTTGAGAAATAAGATGAAGGAATTGAGAAATAGGGAATCTCAAATGAATGAGCTTCAAAGCCAAATCAGAAGAAATGAATCCAGCTTGGAAACCAAAAAGCAGAATCAAGGAGATTTTGACAAACAAAAGGAGAAGATTTTGATAGCAAATCAAGTGAGATGAGCTAAAATTTATGAATAAATGTTAATAAAATATTGCAAATTTTAGAGACTGTTCAGAGATGCTGTGGTAAAACTTGATGATTTTAAGAAGCACTTGAAGAAGTGCTATTCATATGATGTTGAAAGTGGCTTTGCTAATATGGAAGTGAGAGCTGTTTCCAAGAAGCACCTAAACAGGCAAAACGAGCTGGATGAAAAGAAGCGCACTCACAAAGACTTCTTGGTAATTACATGTTTCTTCATCTCTAATTACCCAACTCATTCTTTTTTGCTCCAGAGGACCTATCAAAATGTAGTAGAGGCCTGGAACAGACTGAAATCTGAAGCTGCAAGGCTGAAAGCTGTTGCCGAGAAGACCATCGGTTGCACTCCAAAAGATCCCAAGTTCAAGAAGATGCAGGAAATTTTTGCCAAGCTTCCTGCCACTCTTCTAGAGCTTGATGATATGAAGACTGACCTTGAGAGCCGCCTGGAGTTTATGGACAGTGCTGCTGATGAGAATGTAAAATTAATGCTAAATTAATTTTTGATTCATCGACTAATTTTTATCATTCCACGCTAACTCAAAGATTGCCGAGCTCCTGGAGAGGCAGAAAACCAAGGTATCCGAGATGGAGAGACAGTTGGCGTTTATCAGGGAGCAAGTTACTGGTCGAAAGACCCAGATGGATCGGCTGAAAGAAACATGGCTGCCTGCCCTTGAAGAATTGGCTGATCGAATCAGTGTTAAGTTTGAAAGGCTGTTCAACTATATGGGCTGTGAAGGAACAGTCAAACTGCTCAAAGGAAATGCAGAGGTATTTGTTTTAGTATTACATCACTCTCAAGTACACAAATTATTTGAAATAATTTTTTCCTTCAATTTTCTTTTTTTCTTTTAATAAGACACAAGATGACTACGAGAATTATGGTTTGAGCATCCAAGTCAGTTTCCGAGCCGGTGAGAGCCTTCAGGAGTTGGGAGGGACACAGAGTGGAGGCGAAAGGTCAGTCTCAACGGCCATTTACTTGCTGGCCCTTCAGGAGTTGACAGAGGTGCCTTTTCGCTGCCTTGATGAAATCAACCAGGTACACAATATTGAAGAGACATCTTAAAAAATTTTAATTATGTTATAATTAAGGGCATGGATGCAACTAACGAGCGTCGAATCATGGAGTTGATGATGAAAATGTCTGGAAATGAAGACAGTTGCCAATACTTTTTGGTCTCTCCAAAGGTAAATGAATTGTAAGAGATGATTTTTACTTTTAACTGATCATTTATTCTCCACAGCTCTTGGCAAACCTTGTGTATGTGAACACGTGCAGAGTGCTCTGCGTTCAACAGCCATTGCGCATGGACACTACCAAGTGGACAATGGCAAAGTTCATCCTGAAGAAGCAAATGGAAGTTGGCGAGAAGAGGAGCCGCACCAATGGACGTGCACAGGACAATGATGAAACTGAAGACGACAATTAATCCATTCTAGGCAGCTTCTAATCTAAAGTAAGAACAGTCCTTTTTTTATCGTTGACGTCTATTTTTAGTTAAAGAAGCAATGCAACACATCAATGATATTTAAAATCGCAAGCCTTGCCTCCTGTTCTCAATAAGAAATACTTGCAAAACTTGGCATGTAGTTATGTTACAAGAAAATTTGAGCTAGTTAATTTATGCAGGGCTAATTTAGTACCATAAATAATTGAATGGAAAAGTTTATAATTTAATATTTTTGTACCAAATACAACACAAATAAAATTACAAGGATATTTGAAACCAAATATTTTATTAGTTTTTAAATTTAGTACAAATATTTTAAAACCAATTAAAATTATTATTTAATTAATATTAACTTGAAAGGCTCATTGCATGTCTTAATATCAAGATACTTATAATTATAATGGCGCCAATTAAAATATTATGAAATGAGAATTTCTTATGACACAGTGCTATTCTCTTTAGGACTGGGAACAGTCTCTTTGGAGTCTCTCAGTTTCTGCAGCCGACGAGGCCCCAGGAATCCAAATATCCTGAAAAAAAATTCCGTTAGTTTTTCAATTGATCTGATTTTTACCATATATGCTCACAATCGAGCCAAGTTTGGCAAATATAGAACGAGGTAAACGACTGGTAGCACAGGGAATAATGCCATCCATCCCTCATAAAGCTCATTTGCAATTGCAATGGCACAAAGCTGTCCACATCTGTCTGGAGTCATCCTCGTATCAGTTGTTTCTGCTGATTGGTTGAATTTCTAAAGACAAATCTTTTTGGTCACATTATGTTTTGTAATATTTTCTTGCAAACCTCTCCTGGAACTGCTGTGAAGCTTTCGGCTAAGAATCCCGTGTAAACTGGACCTGGGCAAAGCATTGTGACTTTCAATTTGCTTCCCAGCTTTTCACTCCGCAGGCTTTCAAAGTATCCCTGGAGGAAATGTTTAGAATAAGTAAAGATTTCTTTTTAACTAAGTCTGATTAATATACGTGGAGAGCATGTTTGGAGCCAGTGTATGAGGGTGAGAATGGAGCTCCAACAAGCCCAGCAATGCTTGACGTGACAACTAGATGGCCTTCGAGGTTTGGGTTGCGTTGGGAAAAATAGTTGACCACCACTCTGGAGAGGGACACGATGGAGAAAACGTTGAGCTCAAACACCTGCCTGTCCACAATAGGGTCTACTTCCTCCCAGGCTGCTCTCTGGGAGCGTCCAGCATTGTTGACCAGAATGTCGAGCTGTGTGGTTTAAACATTGCTGTCAACTTTTATTTGTTATAAATATTTCACCCACGTTTCCAAAGTGGCGCAGAACTTCGTTAAGATGAAATCTGTGATTTTCCACTTGCTGCACATCCATTGGGTATACAAGGATGTCTTGAGACTGCAGAGACGAATTGGCTGCTGTAAATAATTGTTGCAATGTCATCGCCAAGCTCTTGAGGTATAAATAATATCAATTTTTCGCACCTAGGCACGCTTCTTTGACCCTCTCTAATTCAACTCTTCGTCTTGATGACAGGACTAACTTGGCACCACCCTTGGCCAACCAGATCGCAAGATTTTCGCCAATACCAGATGAAGCGCCCACAATCCATACAACCTTCCCTTTGACGGCACCTATATAGAAGCAAAACAATTATTATTTTAATCTCCCGATTTGCATCGTCTCACCAATCTTCTTGCCAAACATTTCCGCAGCCTTGAGTCGCAAGTCGCAGTCCAGGAGGCATAGTGAAATCACGTATACTATCCAATATAAAATTACAATAACTCCGATAAAAGCAAAAAATCCCATCTTTTAATGGCAAATAATTATAATCGATTTGCTTCTATGTATTTTATAATTTCACTATCAGATTAAAGCATATTAAATAAGCCAGACGAGCATTCTTAAATTGCTGTTAAAAAGTGTAAAATGAATGGGCAGGGTGAAAAAAAAAATTCCAATGCTGAGGATCAACCCTGTCTGATACAAGGAATCAACAGTTGTCGGTGTTGCGAGGGAGCCTTGAAGATCAAGATGCAGCGCAGCTGTGCGCTTGCTTTGCTGGTGATTGGATGACGATAGTCTTTTATTTGTTAAAGTTTTTGTACACACCCACTGTAGTGTATTTTGTAATACCACCTCGTAGCTCCGAACGTATGTAGTCAATTGTATTATGTTCTGTGAAATTGCAAGTAATCCAGAGGCTATTTGTCGTTGAAGGACGTTGACCTATATATTGTTGTGATTTTACCATTCTTTACTCTCTCAACTTACTAGCAATTCACTAACCATGGAAGTCACGCACCGGATTCCAAAGTTAGTCGAGACTATTACTTTTGCCAACTATGTAAGTGTGATAATCAGAATTATTATTTTAGACATATTAAATGACACAATAAATGTTTTTTCTTATAGTTGCCTTTGCTATCAAAAGCAACTTCGGACTCGTCCGAACCTACACCAGGATATTTATTAAATGAAATTGAAAGTATGTTCTTATTTTATCATTAAATATACTATATATTACTTATTTTAATGTTTTGTGTCCTGATATTATAAATTAGAGTTGAGTTACGACTACCCTCACCACTGCAAACAAATAGTGAACTTCTTGTTGAGGCGCCTTGATAAACCTTCAACGTATATTAAAATCAAGGTATATTATATATTCATATTAATTAAACTGCTGAAATTTTACATGAAGCCATATCATTTCTTTAACTTAATATCGTAGGTATTGAAAATTCTGGACCATCTTATTCTAAATGGGCATGTGAATTTGCGTGCAGCTATGAGGAAAAACGACTCCGCTATCAAGTCGGCTATGAAGTGTAGTGGAGTGCCTGACCCACTGACTGGAATGGTCGTATATGAGCAGATCAGAAAAATGGCTAAAGACTTATTGGACAGCCTTTATCTGACCGAGAGAATACAGCAAGACGATGAGCTCCTCATGAACAGCAGGGATGTCAGGCCAATCAAACCTTTCCTGGGCGCTTTAGGATCTAGCATGTCGACTGACTCAAAGTACCAAGGTTTCGGAAACAGTCCAAACGCCAAAGAAGGTAAACCTAAATTATTAAATTTCCAAATGATTTTCCTAATAAAAGGAGATTCTCTAGAAACTGTGGTTGAAAAAGTTTGGAGCTACATTGATAAATTGTCTACACCGAGTGATCAAGCGTCAAAAATAATCAAAGAAGCAATCGAAAGCTCAGTCGGAGAATATGAAGCTGTCCGAATTCCACCTCAACTGATGCAGTTTCAAAATATGGAGGGCACTAGACATTTAATGATGCCAAATTTACCAATGCCGTCAAAAGTAACTGTGAAATGTAGGTTTTTTAGTTTAGATGCATTTAAAAGGAACCAATCAAATATATTATTCAGCTCATGTGCCTGGCAGAGCAGGAGGTGGATGGGAAGATTCAGATGAAGAGCACGAAAATGAGGTAGATTTGGCATTAAGCGAACACAGAAGTTTAGCTTCTATAGAATTGATGGACGAGTAGGTTTCAATTTCCTAAGTAAAGTTATTAATTATTGAATTTTTCGGAATTTTGTATTCCAGGAGCCACAGCAAGGATAGTTTGGAAGAAAGAAATGCTATAACAAAATTTGCAGAAAGTGGAGCATTTCCTGTCTCGTGGAAAGATATTTCCGACACTTGTGCCGAGTAAGTCAGCTTCACAGCTAAGTTTACAATAAAATTTGACCCTACTAAATTTTGCAGATGCCTGAAACTAAGCATGACGGATGTCTTGACCACCCTGGAAGAAGAGCTAAGCAATCAGTCTGAGAGCAAGAGTATGAGGCTCATGGTTGTGCTGGAGGCTCTTCTCCAAACTGAAGTGTTCACATCGCAAAGGTCAATCGAGCAAGCCCTAGCAATAGTAGGTCCCAAACTTAGAGCAATAATTGGCAGTGTCGATTCTCCAGAACGGGTTGTGATCAAAGCCAAAAAGATACTAATTGTTTTAAATTCTCACGCGGTTCCCAGTTAAATTATAAATAATGTTCAAAATGGAAATAAAATACAATTTTTTTAAGTTACAAATATTTCGGAGGTTAAATGTGGTTTATTTTTTGATAACCTGAATCACATCTTCATCTGCCATCACATGGTGTGCGCCGACTCTTTGCGGAGAGTATTTAGTGCTTGTACCCTACGGTTATAGTAATTAAAAATCTAGAATTTTCTATTTAGTTAAGAGCCTACCCAAACCAAAGCATATTTGAAAGCATCGGCCAGGGTCCTGTGAATTCCATGGCACACATGTAGAACAGTGACACCCTTCCTGAGAATGAGGCCGTCGTCAAAGTCCGGGGGCTGTCCTGGTTTCTTTGTGTAAACCCTGATGAGAGCCAAATATTCCCAAAGAACTTCCAGGAGATAATCCAGATTCAGTTTCATGTTGCAACTGCAAAAATATAATAGGTTTAAAATAGAAAAATTAACTTAGTAAACTGTTTCAAACCTGACTACAACACTGTGAGGCTGCCGAGCGATTCTATCAACCTCTTCGATGGCAATTTGATCAATTTTGTTGTAAACATAAAGACAAGGCAGGTAGACTCGATTTGCAGAAATTACATCAATGAGCTCATCGGCAGTGCAGTCCTCTCGGAACAGTACCTTCAAAAATGCATTTTAAATGGAGATTTGACTTCTTAAAATATTCTCACCTCGGCATTGAAAATTTTGTATTCATGAAGGATCAACTGGACCAGTTTTTCATCGATTCTCGTCAAATTGCAAGTTGCATTGAAGGAAATTCCGCCACCTTTTTTGATCTAATAATAAATAAAATAAAAAAACTCGATTAGAGTCAAAATCCATTTTTTTTTTTAGTCAAGATTTGTTTCAGATATTTCAACTTTTACCTTAAAGTAAATATTCGGCTTCTGCTTATTGAGCCTGATGCCGACGGATTCCAACTCTTTCTCAAGGAGCTCTCTCTGCACATCTTGTTTGGTTGCATCCAGCATCATCAGTACAAGGTCAGCTGTTCTTGCTACCGCGATGACCTGCCGACCTCTACCTTTGCCCTGAGACGCACCTTCGATGATACCCGGCAAATCGAGCAACTGGATGTTAGCACCCTTGTATTCGATCACACCAGGGATACACGTCAGAGTTGTGAATTCATATGAGGCGCATTCACTCTCCGTTGCAGTCAGCGTGCTAAGTAGGGTTGACTGAAAAGGAAAAAATGCACAGGTAGATCAAAATCTAATATAAAAATTCTCTTGGAAAGTACTAGAAATTAATTTTCTGTAAAATCACGCTATTTAATTATTGAGTGTAAAGGATAAAAAGCTGCATTATATAGTTTTAGGAAACTTTTGTTGATAAAATAAAAAATTACATACCTTTCCCACTGAGGGAAATCCAATTAAAGCGACCCTGGCATCTCCCGACTTCAAAACGTCAAATCCTTCCCCCTTCTCAGACTTCTTCGACGGCTCTAAAAGCTGTGACCGGTATTTTGCTAGCTTGGCTTTCAGCAAGCCCAAGTGATATTCGGTCGCTGAAATCAATAGAAAAGATATGCTTTATATAAAACAAAATAATTGTAATTTAGATAAAATTAAAAAAAAAAAAAAAACACGCGTCAACGACATGCAAGGTGTTCAAGACCGTCAAAATAACGTCAATATTCGTACCTTTATTTTTTTGCGTTCTGGCGATTTCCTTTTCAATCTCGGAAATCTTTTCCAAGATGCCCATTTTGCTCTAGTTGTGTGTTTTCAGCGAAAAAAAGAGAAGTATTTCGCAAAAGCACTCACAACATGCCGTGGCTGAAGAAGGGGGCGTGTCTCAAGTCTCAAGAATCAATTCTTTCCGCCGCGTGGTAGCAGCACCAACACGCATTGACCAATCAGAAGCGCGCGCTGGGCCTGCCGTACCGCGGCAGCACCAATCACGCGTGTTTACAAACGCGACCGTGAGATGCAATGCGCAAGATCATTTTACGCCAGCGACGAGCTTCGAGAACACAGAATTGAGTGCGTCGGACACTTTGCTCGCACTTTTCCTTGCGGAAAATGCCCAATGACAATAAGCGGCACGACAGAAGACACCAAATGAATCACGTAAGTTGCGAAAAGTGCATTTTCATTCACTACACACCCTTTGAATGGACAAGTGCATTAATGCTTGGGTCATGATGACAGGCACCTTTATCACCGTGCTCGCTCGACATCAGTGACGATGAACTTGTCTCCATATCGGTCAGAGACCTCAACCGGCAGCTGAAGATGCGCGGATTGACCCGGGAGGAGATCGTCCGGATGAAGCAGCGCAGACGGACGCTCAAAAATCGAGGCTACGCCGCCAGGTAAAAGCCAGAGGCACAAATTTCATAGATGGACCCTAGACCATGACTCAGCACAAATGTTTCCCCCCTTTTACATAATATCCAGCCTCGATTTTTTATACACCATCTTCCAAACAATGCCGAATGCGTTTCTTAACTGTCGGTGCACAATGTTGCCGTTGCCGTGGGCAAAAAAGTTTAACTCCAGCGTTCACCATCTGCCGACAGATTTTTTGTCTATTTACGTCACGGCGGAGAACTAAATTGCGAAAATTAGTACACACGTGTGTATATGTGCACTACCTGCTTTTGTATATTCATGCATGCGTGGATTTCCTGCTTGCCAAACAACGGGGTTTTTTTCAGCAACAATCTTTAACTTAAAAGCAGAGTCATCCTAGAAAATTTGAGGGACTTTTTGCTGTTGTCAGATTGGCACTTTGCAACTTGGGACTCAGAAATGATTGACTGAGTTGTCATTATTATGCTCCATCTTTTTTATTCAGCCAGACAAACCTACTTAAATAAATTTAGGACAATATGCTTTCCTTTTGATGAATGTAACACAAAAGTTAGATTTTATCTACAGACTGCTTTTTCCATGATTTAATTATTTTAATGGAATTCCTTGATCGAGAAAAATATATTGTATGAATTAATTTTTTAAAACAATCTCATTGCTTAATAAAGGTAATTTACTGCACTTTTGGAGAATAATTTGAAAAAAACATTTGCTTGAAAAGTAGTTCATAAATTAATTTATATTTATTTTAATGCATTTTTAATATTATTTATTAAAAATTGATATTATTCCAGCTGTCGAATAAAGAGGATAGAGCAGAAGGATGAGCTGGAAACTGAAAAAACTCAGGAGTACAGAGACCTCGAAGACATGGCAGACGCAAATGACAAGATGCGCGAAGAAATTGACTCCCTCCACAACAAGTACCTTGCCCTGAAGAAATTCGCGGCAGAAAAGTGCATACCTTTACCACCTGAGTTGGAAGCGTTTCCTTGATGGTGTCTCCGCCAGCAACTCACCATGTACCTTTGTTTTGCAATCTTCTGATTGATTTGATGCCTAGCCGCAGTGTAATATTTCCTGTACAGTGTGATTACTCAAGAGCAGGTTAAGCGAATGTCTTGTAAATAATTCATCAGCCATACTTAATTAGTAGCAGGATTTTTACTTGCAAGGCGAGGACTGTGCCATAATGTCAAGAGCACGTTAATTTTCAGTTCATTGCTGAACTGAATTCAAGTTTTGTAGTTGAGGTTGCGGATGAGTTTTTTGTTGTTGACGTCTTCTTATTTTGAACATGCTCAATTTGTTCTTCCTGAATAGAATGCCAAATGTGTGTGAACGGTTTAATTGAAGCTTAGGCAACTTTGATGATATGTGATAATGCACTACTTTAATTTCTCAAACGAAATAGCCGTTTGTTCCTTTTTATTATTACCGAGATTCTGAGAAAGCATAATGAAGCATTTCTTGAGACTTAAGGCTAAGCAAACACAATAAAATTGCATATATATTCTGTAGAAGTAGTTTTTATTTTTGTACGAATAAAAAAATTGGTTTTTACGAAATTGATTCTCCCTCTTTGCAAATTGGCCCCCGATTGAAAAATCAATTTATCAAAAGTCCAATCAACAGTGCAACAACGTGAACATTAATACTGTTGCCTAAAACAGCAGCAGCTTGTTTTTCAGTCACTTCACTAGGCATTTTGTACCACTCGGGAAAACACATTAGTCTCAGAATTTCTCTTGTGGTAAAAAACCTAGGTGCCAATTTATCGGTCAAAGTCGTGTGATAATCTGGCTGGGAAGTATCGATTTCTGAAAGTCCATCAAATTTCTCAAGAAATATAGATCCTGTCCCGAGAAAGTACCTCTTGTAGGACTTTGTGAAACATCCTGAGAGTCGAGATTCTTTCCCAACCAGATCAAACTCCATAAAAAATTTGAGGTGCTGCAATAATTTTTTTTTGAATATTTAATCAGCAAAGAGTAAAAGATTTGTACCTTAAAAGTTAGGTAATTATTTGATGTAGGGTTTTCTTCCAATATTTCTTTAATTTTGAAACATTTTCCAGCATCCTCAGTTTTTTCAAGCACCTTTTTATGAACTTGGCTCAGTAAGTCTCCATCTTTCAAGACATCAACAGGGAATTGCGATTGCTGTAAAAAAATTTGTGTATTTCAATCCACTAAAAAATATTAATTATTACAAGCCCAGTTTGGAGGAAATCAGCTGCCTCACCAGGTCTTTTTGCTAACAAATAGTAACGTGGCCTCTTGTTAGGAATATTAAACTGTGACGGACACAAGTGATATTCTTGTACTTTAAAACCAGCACTTCTCAAAGTTTCAACAAGCTGATCCCGAGCCTCCGATTTTTCAAATCCAACCACGTTTTCAAGCAAAATATACTGCACACTTGTTAGTTCCGGAAGAAGTTTCAGCAAGTGCAAAAGAGGCATGCACCGTTTGTCCTCAACATCCTGTTTTAGCCCAGCTCTGTGATAAACAAAAAATTTGTAAGTTTATTTTTTCAAATAAAATTAAATTTATTTATAAGATACCGGGTAAAGGGCTGACAAGGTGGGCTCATTAAAATCATATTAGGGTCAAGCTTCTGAATTTGCTTCACGGTGATGCCCTCGATATTTTTCTGCATCAAATTTGTGGAGGGGAAATTATGTCGGTAAATCCTGTTGGCCATATCATTGATTTCCATGGCAGCAACAATTTTGTAATTTATTCCAAGCTCTGAAAAAATTATTTAATTAAAAAATTTAATTTATCTTTATTTTCAAATTATTTTTTTTTACCTTTTAGAGCCAAATGCATTCCACCAATTCCACTGAAGAGCTCCAAAACATTATATTCTTTAGCATTCATTTTAGTTTTGATGTGTATTGAATAATTTTTGCTTTTAATTTATTATCGTGAAAGTTTGTGTTTTAAAGGCGGCTGACAAACTTTGGCAAAAAGTCACGTCATTTTTTGTGTGAAAAAATCGATTTATGGAGAGAAAATGTTACCGATTTTTTTATGAAAAGCAAAGAGTTAGAATAAAAAAAAACATCTGTCCTTGTACTGCAATAATAATGCAGCACTAAAATTATTAACTGAAATGAAAATTTCAGCTCAGCAGCTCCAGCCCAGCTGGCTCGAGTCAAGAAGTGCTCGAGTCTCGTGTGTTCTTGTTTTGGGTGGGCGGTGGTGCTAATTATTATTAGTTCCAAGATGCACAGCAGATGGCATAAGTGCAAGCCATAGGGGAACTTGGTGAAAAAAAAATATCAAAACATGCCGAGTAAAACGACAGCCACGTGCTGGAGATGAAAAATGACAATGGAGAAAATTCAGAAATCTGCACAATCTAAGAAAGAATTCCGCTTGCAAAATCGGAAAAGGAAACTCGAGGCCTTTTTCAACATTGCCTTGGCGAATGACAAGCAAAGACAGGTGAGGGCCGGAATTAAAATCAGAATTTCCATGAAAATTAAATTTATTCATTTTTATTTGCGTTTTAAAATATTTTCAAATAATTTGCAACACTTTTGGACCGCAGGCAAACAAGCCTCCTGCAGGGCCTCCCAAAAAAAAGCGAAAGAAGCTGCAAAACAACAGAGGAAATCGAGATTTGATTAAAAAGGTCAGTAGCTAAAATTATCGTGGATGGAATTGTTTTTACCTGGCTTATATTTCTTAGTTTTGAGCACCAAAAATTTGAATTAATTAATTATACCTCTTTTCACCAGGAAATCATTGAAGTGATGAACGCAGCCAAAATTAAAAATGGAGCGATTGCGGAAAGGAAGGAGCAACTGACCGGCGAGGAATACAAAAAGTTGAAGCAATCTTTGAGCGAGAGGAAAAAGTTTCTCAAGGTAATTGCTAAGTCCTAATTTTGACATGAAAAAATTACCATTGCTCATCAGGACCAACCAAGGTTTTGGCTGAGGGAAAATGGAAAAGCAGCCTCCCTGGAGGTTCCACCAGCCAACCGAATTCCACTTTTGCTGGGTGACGTCCAGCAGCTGGTTCTCTTCGGACTGGTGGGCAATCATGTTTTCCAAGACCATAACCGCTGGTGCCACTTAGACCGACACGGCAAAGTCAGTCAAGTTGTTGTTGTGATTCTGGAGGGCGTGGGCTACGGAAGCCTCCTGAATTTGCCAGTCGGGAAAAGTGCCCACAAGAGTTTCGAAGAGACTTTTCCAGATGCAGTAGAACTTGTCGAATCAGAAACTTACAACAGAAATATTGTTGATGATTTCTCACTTGTTCCCCTGTCTACCAGATCGTGCCGCGCCATATTCTTGAGTGAGCGTTTAATTTTTTTTACTCTGGATAAATGTAAAAAAAATTGTTAATTTTTAGATTATGGAAGTAGAGAGGCTGAGATGAAGTCGAAAATGTTTCGAACTGCCTTCCCAGTAGGAGTGGTGAAAACTACAGTCACCCTGGACATTGCCCAAGAAGTGAAAGAGCCACGGACAGCCCTAGCTTTGCCACCACCTTTACCACCACCACCACCTCCCAAGGTATCAGTCCTGCCCCCAACGGACAAGTTTTCTCGAGTGCAACTTCTCCTGTCTCCCTCTCAAATGCTGGAGGAAAATTTCCCAATGCCTTTGGGAGAAATGGCGTATCGATACGGACACTATGTGATGACAAAGGATAAATATGCTGAGGTTTGTTTTCTCCCAATTATTTGTTTATTTGATTTAAAAAGGTCTTAACATCAGATTACTCCATCCTCTCCGATGTTTGGCTTGGATTGTGAAATGTGCATGACAACTTCACGGCTCAACGAGCTCACCCGCGTGTCCATCGTAAATGAAAAACATGAGCTTGTTTATGAAACTCTCGTAATGCCGTACAACAAGATCATCAATTATCTCACTCGCTTTTCTGGCATCACTAAACAAGTGAGTAAATCAAAATAGTCACTAATTGTAAAATGCATACAAAAATACAATATTGCTTTGCAGATGATGGTTGGAGTGAAGACGAGGTTGGCCGACGTTCAAAGAGACATTAGAGCGTTGCTGCCACCTGATGCCATCCTAGTTGGTCAATCTTTGAACAGCGATTTGCACGCAATGCAGGTTTGGTTTGAAAAGTAGAACATATGCCATAAATGAATTTAATTTTTTATAGATGTTCCATCCCTATTGCATTGATTCAAGTGTGGTCTTCAACTTGCATGGAGTACGCAAGAGGAAAACAAAACTAAAAACTTTGTACGAAACGTTTTTGGGAGGAAAAATTCAGGATGGATTTGGACACGACTCGGTCGAAGACGCAGCTTCTGCGCTCAAGCTGATCCAGTTCAAGCTGACTAAATGTAAATGTAGCAATTTTATGTTGGAAATTTTTATTGAAAGTTGAACACAGCTCTCGAGTTTGGCGACTCTGTGCTGGGTTTTGATCTGAAGCATTTTGAGGAGGAGAAGCTGGGCGTAGAAAAGGCAAAGAAAGAAATGCTGAGGATTGAAGAAGAGGAGAAAGAAGATGAAAAACTTGAGGCTGAAGAGCAAGAGGTGCATTACAAAACGGTGGACATCGATGTGCCTCAACCTGAAGTCCTCAGAGTGATGGAAGCCTCAAGTTTATTTACAATTGCGGGCAAAAAGAAAAAAGGTTAATTTTGCACAGGTGTTTTAATCGCAAATTTATTAAGATTAAATTTTCAGTTGGTGTCTTTTCAACGCCCAAGGTCATGGAGATGTACCAAAAGTACACTGAGCATCCTCTTGAATCAGTCCAAGATGTAATCAAGCCTGGCTCTCATGGCTACACTTCAGAAAGCAATTATAAAGTGGTAAAGAACACCTGCCGCAACGTAGAAAAGTTCGACCTGGTAGTCACCCACTTGCAAGTAAGTACAGATTCCGAAAAGGAAAGAGCTCGTGTTGTCAATTCGTGCCTAAAAGTGGCCAATGGAATGAAGGATAACGCAATGATGGTTGTTATTGCTGGAGGTGCAAAAACCCAAGAAGGGTTGGAGCCTCTGCCTGATTCCAGGCCTGGGTGCTTCATTAAAATTAAATTGGCAACCTTCCAGAAAATTTGAATTCATCATTGTAAAATTTTGACAGCTGTATAATAATTATATCAGTTGAGAGGTTTCACGGAATATGTGTATTAAATTTTTTCTGTTCATTTATTAAAAAACTGGAAATTAAAAATTTAAAGTGTAGTTTGAATTAAGTTGAGTGAAAAATGGGATTGGTTGAGTCAATAGAGAGACGGTTTGAGAGAAAACTTGTTACTTTTATTCAAAGATATTTCAAAAATCGATACAATACTTATACTGATTAAAGCGTGCACGATTTGGTTAATCAAGCATTTTTACTACAAGTTATAACATTTCTGTGGTGTTAAATTACGCTTTGCTTTTCTGTATCGTTATTACGTCTGGACTAATTTAATTTGTTCGTCGATATTAAGAGCAAGAAAGTGTGTTATTCTCCAACTTTCTCATGCTCTTCTGCGGCAAAATTATTTACTACTTTGTTGTTTATACACTAATCACAGTTATAGCACTCTAAGACACTGTGGATTCTCTAAATGTTTGGAGCAGCATTATTTTCCTAACACCAACTGATAGAAAAAGAAATCCTGTTCAAAAAATGATTTACAAATAATTTTCTAGTCAAGGGTGCATTTTACAATATTTTGTCCTTTAATTTAAATATGAAAGCACTATGTACTGTTTTTTTTTATATCACATTAACACTTTTTTGCCCACAAACTCCCACAGCAAATTATTCGGAAAGATTCACCGAATCAATGAAAACTATAGGTGTAAATGCTTTTGGTGCTTTTACAATTAAAATGTGCTTGCGTTTGGCACAAAATGCATTAATTTACGGTTTAAACTTACACGTTAATTGTTAATTGAATAAAAGACTAGGTTCACAACTTAGTATACTTTTCAACAAGATTTTGATAAAAATAAAAAATCATTGATGGAATGAAAATCTGGTTTCCCAATCCTCATTGTCATCAACTGAAGTGGAATGCGCTCTACTTGTAGTATTTGATGAAAACTTTCTTCTTGTCGGGCTGAAAAGAAGGAAAGCATTATTTTAATGAGGGCTCGGAAATCGATGGAAAGTGCATCAATTATTACCGGCAGTACACTGAACCAGCAAGTGAGATCCTCTGATACTCCCATCACAGCGCCGGCGTTATCGAATTCTCCGCAATAGTTAGGGGCAGAAAATAGTGTTACCAGAGAACGTTGTTGGAAAAACTGGAAATCGTTCGAAATTGCGTCAATTCACAATACATTACAATATTTATCTTTTAAAATTTTAATAGTAAATTTAAAAAAAAAATTGATTTTAATATAAACGATATAAACAATAAATTTGGCTTGAGCGCCTGCCAAAACAAAGTTCTGCAACCCGCTCGTCAGACGCGCGGAGCAAATTGCCTAAGCATTAGCTCGTTTCGTGACGAGCAAATTAAATTTTCAGAGCTGCATGCGCCGGAATAATTTGAATCGTAAATACAATTAATGAAACTCGCGTCCCGTGAAGGCCGAATTAAAATAATGCAATTCTCGCTGGGAACGCGTGACTGCAAAATGACTTTGACGTGTGCATAATTGATTTTGTCCAACTAATCAGGAACTGTATTAATTTAATTTTGAAGCAATTGCATTAAAAAAATTATACATTCGACTTCTGGTCAAACTTTTTTACCTGGTAGCCATCCTCGACCACTTGGTGAGCCCTCACGATGAGGCTGAGATCGTGCTGCTGTAGGAAATTGCGCACCACCTCGCCTCCAAAAACGTAACTCACTCCCCGGTCGTTAGGGGCCCAGCCAGACACGCGCTGCGGCAAAAAGTCCATTTCAAATCTACTGCTTAATTAGAGAATTCTAACGCGCTGCGATCAAAAAGTTTCTCACGCAACGTCGATTATTATACGCAGCTCACCTCGTCAGGGTCGGACCAGAGAAGGTCGCACAAAAGGCCACTGTCAGGGACGTTCACCGGTCGCGTAATTGCCCTGATCTAAACACACACAAAAATAATAAGCTGATTTTTTTTAACAAATTAAATATTTTCTGAAAATAAATTTTTCCAATTTAAAGAACTTTTATAGATTCTTCATTTATTTTAACTAATTGATTATTAATAATTAAAGACGTACAGGTATACACGATGAATTAATTAATATGCTAGATTTATTTTTTGATGGAAATCCTTTATGCGTATTTTCCAATTTCATTTTTACTATGCAAATTAACAGGGAGAGTGGTGAACTCTTGCAAAGGCTAGAAATAATTTATCTCTGTATCAAAAAATCGATGAGCTAGTTTTTATCCTAGGGTGTATTTGACGGCAAAGTGTCTTCGTATGCAAATAAGCTGCCAACGTACCTGTTTTAAGTCTGTTAGTTCCGGAGATAAGCCGCCGTGCATGCAGAAAATTGTTCCCTCGATGATGGCAGCTGCGCAAACGAAAAGAGAGACTTAAATTTTTATGCTCTTATTTACTCTCGCACCGTGTGCGGGGATGCGGAATATCTTACCTATTGGCAGGCAGTTGAAAAGGTCTGTGAAGGTCTTCCACAGTTTCACTGAGTACCTCCGTTTGCATTCGTCGTAAAAGCCGTAAATCCTGTCAAAAGTTGTGTTCAGCCTTTTTGAAAAATGGTTCGCGCTCCAGTTGCTTACCTGTTAATACTGGCGCACTCGTGGTTGCCGCGCAGGAGGAAAAAGTTCTTTGGATATTTTATCTTGTAAGCCATGAGCAAGCATATCGTCTCCAGAGAATACTTCCCTCTGAAACAAATGGAAAAAATATTTTCAAATTATTGTCTTTTTTGTAAAAAGTTTCCTACTTTGGAATCATCAATAAAAATCATAAGATTTTATTCACAATCCTAATTAAATGTTTTTAACTTCAGAAAGCTTAAACAATTTGCGCCATTAGACTTTCCTTAAAGAAAATTTTAGACAATGTTTTGTTTTCAGAATTCAGATTTGAAAAATTCCCAACACAGATAAAATCCTATTTTGCTATATTAATAAAAATTTCAAAAATTGTTTTGAAATTAGAACCTGGCTTTTTTTCCATTTGAAGAGTGCATTAAATTTATGTGTTAGAAAATGCTTAAAAGCTTGCAAATTTATTCTTAAAACAGAGAAATTTATTGCTCGGTTCAGATAAAATCCCAATAGAATAATTTCATTTCAAAATGCAATATCTTTTTTGCAGAAATTGTAAAAGAATTTTCCAAGCTATTTTTCCCAACTTCAACTTTGACATTTCCATTTGAAGCTCCCTAATTCCAGTGGAACGCATAAATTTTCGCACGCTCCGTCGACTTCTCCTCGTTAAGCAATTTGTTTCCCCTGCGCTTCTCCCAATCTTGCACAGCCAAAAACAAGAGGCCGTCGTTTCGCCACAAATGAAGAGCGCACTTCTGCGAAAAGCCACTTTCCACGCGTGCCTGTAGTGATTGTGATTAGCGAGCCTACGCAGCAGCGAAATAAAATTCCTCCGCAGCACGAGGAGGGCTGAAAATTTGCGCAGCGGGGGAGCAATAAGAGGGAGGCAAATTGGGCAGAAATTTTATTTCGCCAGTTTACTTTTTCTTCCCAACTTGAATTCGCCTCGCACTGCATCAACGTCCAGCCTCTGATTGATCGTTTTGCCGCAGTTCGGTTAGTGGAGTGAGAAAGGGTTGTTGTGTAGTAGAGGCGAAATCGAGTAAAAGAGAAGGAGGGAGGCCACATGCTCATCTAGGAGGAATTCGCAACAATGCTAAATAAACGCTGCCCCACGTGATAAAGCTGCGGCCCGCTCTGCAGATATCGATTCTCTCCCTGCTACATCAGCCGTGAAATGTATATATTCGGATCGGTTTTGCGTCCACGAGAGAGCAGAGAGGAGCAAAAAGATGAACGCTGGGCGTTTCAAAAGTTTTTTTTTTACGGGGTGAAAAGTTTCACAATTATTTAAAAATAGCTAACTCAAAACACATGCGCGCCGTAATAATAAATCATATAAATGTGACAAAATAAAAATATAATAATGAAAATCCAGCTCTGAATATTATTTCTTTACAACAAAAAAGAATCAATAAAACGAATAAAACGATTTTTTAATTGATTTAGTGTAATCATTTTTTTTTTAGTCATCGGCTTGCAGAACTGGGCAAGGATAATAAATCTGGGGAAATGTAATAAAGTGCTGAGGGATGAGATTAGGAATAGGAAGCAGTGTGTCTGACGGTCACCCCTATAGGCTAGGGACGATAAAGGGATGCTTAATGGGCAGCGAATGACAAAAAGGGGCGAGTGCGTGTTTTTTCAATAAATCAACCAGCCATAAAAGGGCACTTCTACCGAAAAAGTTGGGCAAAAAGTCGGCAGAGTAATAAAACTCGTGGGATATTCATAGCCCTGCACTCTGAGATGAGGAGCTGAGCGAACTGGGTCAGCATAGGGAATAAAATTCAGACAGAATCGACGTCTGACTACTAGACCATTTGCCCATTGGATTTCATGGGCGTGAAATTGAAACGTTAAACTCCTTTACGCTGTTTTTTGCTAACAATTTATATAAAAAAAAATCACTATTAAAATGATATTTTTTTTAATTACTGCAAATTCTTTATTTTTTGTTCAGATTTTATTCACCCTTCACCCTTTATTAACAGTATGTCTCTTTTTAAAATGTATTTTCAGCTTTTTCTGTACTTTTTCTGTATAGTTTTTTTGCTGTATTCATGACTCATGACTGTATCGAATGGAGAATAAATAAATAAATAGATGAATCATGGATCATTACGAAGAAAAATTTATTTAAAAAAAAATGAAATCAAGTTCCCTAACTTTCTACTTCATAAAAAAATGACAAGATTCTCAAACTTGGAGATTTTTTATTCCCGTCATTTCCACCCAGCATGCTCAGCAGCTGAACAGAATTTTCTAGCGTTTTATCTGAAGAAAAATAAAATGTCAAAGCTGAAAACTTTTCCATTCGAAGTTCACTTTTGCCATGCATATGACACGATATTTCTGCCCATGGGAATCGCTCAGCTTGTTCTGCGGTTTGCACAGCCCCAGCAACAGCTTTTTTTTTGCCCGTTGGCTTTCGTTAACACAAACACGCGCACTCTTTCTCACTTTTCCATTCACCGACGGCAAAAGCAGCGTGGGTTGCATTCCGATTCGCTAACCTCCAAAGCAAAACGCTTTCGGCCCCGACATTAAATTTACACACAGGGGACATTTCAAGGCTGCTGTTTATAATTGCAGGTGAATCAAAAGTTGGTCGGCAAAAAAGCCGCTTCGTGCTGCAAATGAAATTACGCCTTTGCGAGGTTGTGAATAAAATTATCATTTGTCTTTCGCTTTGTCTCTTGACATTGCGTTTCCTGCTAAGGTAAACGACGAGCGCTATGTGTTGCTGAACTTTTGCGGAATTTTATACCTCGGCGCCTAATTGATGAGCCAAAACAAAGCTTGCACGAGGAAGTTTTAATGAGCAAAAGCGGTAGTAAAAGAGGCGATTAAATTTATGCCGTGTTGCAAAACTTTTCTTTAAATGAAGCAAACAGTTTAAAATAGAGACAGTGTTTTTTGTTGAAAAAAAAAACAGAATTTTTTATCATATGATACTTTCTTCTGCGTGCTAATAACTATATTAGCGATTTTTCAGTGTTTAAATTATATTTTATAATGTCAAATATATAAAGTATTCAAACAAGAAACTTCTTGTCACAAGACAGAAATCAGAAATGAAAATAAAAAAATTATGATAGTAAAATTCATTCAAGAGAAAAACTTATTTTAAAAAAATGATGTGGGTATTAGATTTGAAAGGAGAAAAGTAAGTTCTTCGTTTTTTCAATTCTGTAAAAAATTTTGTCTCATGAAAAGCTGCAGCAGAAGGTGTATAATTGTATTTTTGATTTTCCAATAAAATATTTCTTTTATGAAAAATTGTACCATCCAGATTGGGTAAATTGAAGCTTATTTTTTTCAACTCGACAATGCAGCAAAAAATGAATATATTTTGAAAAATATGAACGGAAATATTAGTTTCATTCAGCTTTATCAAGATGCCAATTTGTTTTGAAAAGAACAAAAAAAACTGAATGCTGCTAAACTGCACTTAAATAAATGACTATCAGAGTATTCCAGAACTTCCTGGACTAAAAAAAAAAAAAATATTTCACCGCATTAATTTGTTTGTCTGACGATTGCTGTCAGCGCAATCAAAAATAATAACATAATTTTACTCTCTCCTTACAGAGCAAGATAATTTCCAGGAATTTACACACGGTTGCATGTGGGCAATAATAAAAAGTAAAACGTAATTCAACTTGTAGCGTTCTTTGTAGTTTATTTCAAACAAAAAATTGTCCGCTAGCCAAGAAAATAAATGTATAAACGGCCGTTTTCCTATTGAAATTTCCTCTGAGCGCGTCGCCAAAAATACATAAAAATAAACTTTGCTTTGCTATTTTCCATCGCAGAGGGATTGTAAATAAAATAAACTGTCGCAGGTTGCCATAATAATGAGGACGAAAATAATGTGTGCCCATGAAGCACACACGTAATGTGTTTTGCCTGCCGAGCAAGCGCGTGATAGGGTGTGTTATATTGCGAGCAATGTTGTGTGTTTTGTATATTTGTCTGGCTGTGCTGGGAGAGAGCGTGTTTTATTATTCAAATTATTCTGTGCAAAACGCAGAGTCTCACGTTTATATATATTTGTGTGGTGTGTCTCTTTGCATAATGCGCTACATTTGGAGCGAGGAGGAAATAATTCGAGCGCAAATTCAAATGGAGCGCAAGATAGAATTGACGAGCGCGTCTTTGGCTGGACAGTTGCAAAATTGGCTGTCGCAAAGGGAAATGGGATTTTCCACCCGAGCCGTCTCGCTTTCCAAATGCGTGACACGCGCCCAGAGAATCGCTCTATCTGACCTTCTCTGTTTCACAAATGAATTGATTCCTGGATACCGTAGTTTATACACTTAACTCGTCTTATTCCCCGCAGTGAATGGGAAGTGCAATCACATTAAAGAGATGCATGTTATGAAAAAGCAAAAAGCTATAAGAAAATTGTTATGTCCTTGAATATGGTAAGAGCAAAACTGCGCAGTTGTAACTTATTGTTAAAGTGAAGTGAGCGATAGTTATGATAATTGACGAGAAAAGTTGTCTACAAAAACAAAACCAAAAGAACTTAGAAAAAGGAACCAAAGAATGCTGATTTTGAAAGTCTACAATCAATAGCGAAATGTAATCAATTTGTTGAAATTTGCAAATTTACCATAATAATTCTGTGAAAATATTGCTAAATTTCCAAAGTATACGTTTTTGAAGGAAAAAGTGTTGAATTTTTTTATTATAAATGAGCAATGTAAATTAATGCTATCTGCAACAGTCTGAAACCTTTTTCATAGGCAGAAGAAAATCATTTAATAATTGAAAAATCTATATTGTTTTAAATAATTGTTCATAATACAAAGATCGATAATAAGTAGTTAATCTAATTGCAGATGCAAATGGCATTTTTCAATTATGACGACAACGCACCTTTTTTCCCAAGCCAACACGCCTATAAAATATTAGTGGGCCGCAGGCACGCGAACGAGCGCCATGAAAATATTTAATTAAGCGGCGTGAAGTGCTAACGAACAGCAGCTTGCGGGTCGCCAACTTTAATAACAATTTCGGTTCGCTCCAGGGAGAGGTGCGCGGACAGGGCAGAACGGACGTGTCGGGCCGCACTCGGCGGGATTAGCACCGGCACCACAATAACACCCTTTAAATGGCACACACGCGGCGCCCTCGGCAGCAAGGGAATTGCGGAATTTAATGCGACACTCGCTTCGGGCACGACCCTCGGGCTTCTCACTGGGAAAGATCCAAAATGACCGCAGATGCGCCGAAACGCCTCGCACACTTGAGCAAATTAAGCCCCGTCATCCTATCAAGGACCAAAATGAGCAGGAAACTTCTCGAATTTGCCTGATTACTCGTGAGCTAACCTGCACTCTGAATGATTGATTAGAATCATTAGATCCAGAGGGATGAATGCGTTCGTCAACTTTCGAGTAATGGAATTCCGAATTTCATAGTTGAGCCAAAATTTATTTTCTCTTCTAGAAATTAATTTCTACCAAATTTATTTAGTTTTTTTTTTCAGTCCAAATAATGAAAATAATTAAGATAAAAAACGTCAATTTTTCTATCCTGAAGATAAAATGAAAGTTTATCTATTTGTTTACATAATTAAAAAACAATTAAAAGAACTAACTTAATTTTAAAAATTTACTCTGAGAATTAAATAATAATTGTGAATGATGCCATATTTGTAAAAATTTAATGTTCTGTCAAATTATGGAATTTGTTTCGGTTTGGGCACCATTTCAGTAGTCTTAATAACCATAAAATTTTATTTGGCTGGAGAGGGCGAGGACGCTTAGGACAAAAACGTTTTAAAGGCTGCGTTATTACACAGCAAATGAAATGGTTTGGCAAGAGTGCCAGCAACAGCCGAGGAAAACAATTTTCTAAACGGCCGTTTATTTGCTCAGAAAGGGCACTTATGCGGTATGTTGGTCTCGCAACAAAAGGTCAGCACTTCAGTTTCCTCAATTAATTTTTTTTAGCTAATTTTTTTTTGCAAACGAATATTTTCTAAACAATATAGTTTTTATGTAGGGTAAAAAGGCATGAAAATCCATAAAAGAAAATAATGTTTTTTAGAAGTGGCACGGAACCTGTCGGAAAAGTTGCGGAATTGACATATGTGTACTTTCAAATTAACCAACATAGTAGCAAACTGTCAACGCGTCAAAAGCAGAATCACGAAAGGCTTTTAAAGGCAGGAGTAAAAACGGCCGCCTTTCCAACGATTCATTTTAACAGACAGGCCCGTGCCACAAGAGTTGTGATGCGAGTTTTTTAATTGCAACGTCAGTTGCCAGAGCGAATCATAAAATTTTTATATTACCATCGTTCTCATTAGTGGTGGTGAGGCGCCGGAAAGAACGGATTTGATTCGGGCATTCTCAATTATGGCCTCAGCTGGAAATAGCTGCTGGTGTGGGCGGACGGGTGGTTGGAGGGTGTGATTGTGAGAGAGAGGGTGGCTTTGAGCTCGCGGCCGATCGAAATTTTCATGCACCACAGTCGGAGAAACTAACCCGCAGAGCTTTCTTGACGAAACATTTTAGAGCAAGGATCGAATGACCAAATAAAAGCCAGAGAAGATTTTCCAACTGATTTTTATATTGCTTTATAAGAAAAACCATGGAATTTATTGACATTTTCATAAAACTTGATTTATTTGTTAGTGAAAAGTGTGTTTATTCAGGTCATTACCGGTTTGGAGTTAAAAAAAAAAAAAAAAAAAATGTTACTAAAAAGAGAGATTAAATTGTTCTTAAATCGTTTCAGAGGGAAAATTTCTAATTAAAATATTGTTATTTAGAATGAGATATAATTTTATTTGTGTATTTTATTTTATCTTAATTATCTTGAATTAGTAACCATTTTTAAATTTAATCACTGTATTTAATTTATTCTAACTGGCTGTACAGGGATTGAAATTTTTTAATTTATTGTATGAATGTACCAATGAAAGAGAAATGTAGTTTTTCATGTTAATATTATTTTAGATGACTGAATAATAAAAAAAATTGTTGATTTTGGTGCTGACAATATTACAAATATTTGTATATTTTAGTAACCAAGAATACTGTCATTCCCATTTATTACTATTTATACACAATTTTTCACTATTGGAGAGAGCAATCCAAAGTTGAGCAAACATCTTAATGATTCTCCAAAGAAACGGAATATTTCATGATAATATTCCAGTATATTCTGACGTCGGAACAATCTTTGCTCCTTTCTTTCCTTTTTATTCATAATATTACATCCTGGCTCTGAACCAAGAATAATAATGAGATCTTTTTATCACATCGACTCTTGTTTAATTCAAGAAGACTGCGGCTCTGCGTCATTATCTGCATGTGTTTGGTAGTCAGAATTACACTGTCTTGCAGTAAAAATTGTAATCCTCGGGAAAATAATTGCGAAACTTGCAAGATTTTCTCTGCGCAAATTGCACCCAGAGATTATATTTTAACTTCTCAAATGAGATGAAATATTTTGTTTGGTTCAAGCAACAGGATTGAAGCAATAGAAGAGGGCCTTGAAAAAAGTTATTGAAGGGCAATTTGTGGAAGTTTCCTTTCAATTAGAGAGCAAATATTTTCCCATGGGAGGAAAAAACGTTTTGGTCCTCGTATGCACGCGCATTCAACAAGAAGACGATTAGCTGCGGGATATGTGAAGCGAGACGAGTGTGCCTCTGAAATAGATTAATTGAGTGGAAGCAAAATTTACGACCACAACAGGAGGTGATCAATACACCCCTTTTCTTTTTCCAATTAATCGTCTTACCATCAGTTCACTGCGTGCTTTGTTTTTTAAGACTAGATCGAGCGAGAAGTCCTCTTGACAAGGAGAACAAAATGAGAAAATGGCCAAAGGATTCAATTTTATTTTTTTCTTCTTGAGCATTTATTAGATTTTTTATTAATGCAAGAGGTAAACTAATCGCAAGTTATTGAGGCAAAATTTATTAATATTTCATTCTATTATGTTATTATTGCCCATCATCAATTAACCAAATAAATTCTTTTTCCAAGGATTATTTCCGTCTAGATAGAAATAATAAGAAAATAAAACATCAAGTAAGAACACTAAACATTAAAAATGAGATTTCAAATAAAGTAAAAATGTGCCTGAAATTATAAACTTCAAATTTTTTATCACCTCATCAACTTCTTTTAAAATTTCCTTCCGAAACAATGCATTTAATTAATAAAAGAATTTCAATAATTTTAGTTAACTTTCGGGGTAAGAGATTGAAATTTAATTATTTGAGCTGATGGATGAGGAATGTTTGCAAACTGCACTCTAAGAAAACGAGGGCGCAAGCTGGAGGTAAAGAGCCTCTTCTGCGATCTGAATAATTAATCAGCACTCGGGCCGTGAGTGTGGGAGGAATTATTCAGACTGATTTCCCAGTTGACTCGTGGCAGCACGGAATGCAATTTGCGCGAAACTAATTTTTGCACAGACACACATTTCTTGACCTCCAAATAGACAAACGAGCGGGTCACGGGACACAATTGGTGGCACCTGGCGAGAGGACTCAATTTACACAAATAGTCTGCCGACCTTGTCCTCCGAAATCGCGCACAATGAGGCGCGAAAACTGCCATCGGGCATGCAAATATTAAATCGGTGACGTCACATTATAATCATGTTAGCGCGTCGGGGAAAATCGCTCGCGCACGATTGCCCTCCGTTTGGCCAGAATGAAAAAGCGATTGTGTGTCCGTCCGACGTGCACGCGAGATTTGTGTTTCTTTGGCGCGGCACGAATTCCGTGACGTCACTTCTCAACTTCTTGGGAAAGCTTTCTAGGGCCTGATTTAAATATTCACGCGACCCTCGCTCTTTCTGCTTTCTGGTCTTTCACCCTCTTCAGTGCGTCATTGTGTGCATGTGTGTTTTGACTCGCGACGCAAAAGCCTTTTCCCGTTTTTCGCCAAAAATAGGCTTGCAAGGAAACATTATGGAACCTTTTCATTTTTAATTTTGATCCTATATGTTCATGAAAAGACAGAAGAAATTAGGGAATAGGATTAATGTCTAATTTCCCCAAATTTTCACCTTTATTTAAAATGGTGAAGTATATAGTTGAAAATCATCTTATTGTCCTTATAATTATATTTGTTAAGTAAGATTTTGTAATATCCTGTTGTGCTTAATTACGCACATCATTATATTAGTTTAAAGTTTTAATAATAAAGCATGTATCATTTATTAACTACTTATTTAAAACCACTTTGATTATTATAACTCTTTTTGAAGCTAAAATGAATAATGTATTTTTTATGTAATTATTTAATTAAGTTAAAACTTATTTTGCATTGAATTTTTTAATCTTTTATAAAAATTCATATTCATCTCTACAAAATAAAAATTTTAAAACATTTGTTATCACTTAATTATATAATTTAAACGTATGGAAGTTATCTGCATGTAATATTACAACAACAAATTTGATATACTCTCTTTGAGTTCCATTTCAAGTATTTGAAATGACTATTTATAAAATTCATTCACATTTTCAAGCGTCCCATTCTGCATTTTCATACATTCCTCATTCAAACAAAAATTACAAATAAATGTATTACATGTTTCGGTACATTTTATAGCCCTCCGGCCTCCGCGATTTATAGGCAAACACATCAATCTACCAAAAGCGTTGGTAAAATCTTCCAAACATTCCCGTCGTCGTGCGTCATAAGCTCTGGCAATAAAAACACGCCTTCTGAATGGATTCAATAAATGAAGCTATTCAGTGGGAAAATCCATCACGAGGAGAGTTTGTTTGATCGTTGTCACGCGCTTATATATTATTTTATGTTGCACGCCATTCAAATTGCAAAGCTTCGCACGGTGCTTTGTTTGAAAAATACAGTTTGAAAGGCCAAAAATAGACACGAGTCGAATCCATTGAAAAAAAAATGGTATCTCACCTGTCGACGTAGTCACCGAGGAATAGGTAGTTGGAGTCCGGCGGGTAGCCCAGCTTGTCGAAGTGACGTAGCAAGTCGAGGTACTGCCCGTGGATGTCCCCAACTATGTGCACGGGCGCCTCGAGTTCCAGCAACACAGGCTGCTCCATCGTCACCTCGCGGCACGCGGCGATCATTTGGCGAATCGTGCTCTCGCTGAGACGCGCCGACAGCTGCGAATCACACACGATTTGGGTCAAACTCATGCTCAACTCCATGCACTAGCATCATATCGCGCAGAAAGTTTTGGATTTATTGGCTTGCGAAGGGAGAAAGTGAAATGGACAAGAATTATAAGTTTTTGCCACGTAATCACAACGGGTTGTGTGCTAAATAAGGGCTGAAACTTTATGCTATAAGATATACTATAGTAAAGTACAAGAAGTTTTTTCATTGAAAAATCCAGAAATTATCTGCTATTATTGGTTACATAAAATTTGGCAAAAAGTTATTTATGAAAAATACTAGCCTCAAAAGCACATTTTAGAACAAAATGATAAAGCTTGGAAAAACTTCAAAGAGAGAAACAGGAATTTTATTAAAAGTATGAGTAATTGAAATAAAAGAATTTTGATGTAACACAAAACTAAAATTGCTAATTATTATTATTTTTGTCGAATGTATTTCCATTAAGCTAGGGAAAAATTATACTTCTTCCCCTTCACTAATTACATAAATGCTAAAATAAAAATCAACAGAAATTGTAAAACTATTAAACTAATTTAAATAATTACTCTAATTAAATTAATAATCTTTTTTCTCGTCAAATAAATTTGCATTTTTTTTCCATTTTAATATCATTAAAATTAAATTTATATATTATCAAAGCATCTTAGAGGAAACCGTTGTACTTTGGAAAAATTATTCAAAGCAATTTTTTCATTTTTATTTAAAATTACCGCATTTATTAAATATTTTTAGCCTCAGTAAACACGATTACGTTTAATTGTAATTGTAGGTTATGAATTAGTTAAATTTCCATATCATTTGGTAATTTTAATTTCACCAAAAATTAAAATTGATTTTGTGTCCTTTTATGTTTGTTTATTAGAGACCTTGCATGCAATAGCATTAAGAGTCTAATTTTCCATGTTAAATAATGCTAACAACTTATTTGCCGAGAAAGGGAAACCAAACAAACGCTCCACAACCTAAACTTGACTCCTCGCTTGGTACCAAGGTCCCTGACGAAGAAGCCAGTGCCAAGGGCGCGTGTGTGTTATTATACGGCTCGTCGCAATTACACCTCTGCAATTTGTAATCATTATGCAAGCGTGCAGAGAATATCATAATTTTTATGACGTGCTTAGAATTACCCCAATCCGCACACAAAAAACACGGAATCCCACGCGAAAAGCGCCGCAGCAATTTATTCCAGGGGCCAAGGTCGATCCAATTAAAAAGTTTGCTCGTGGAAATCCGCGCCACGCTTGAGCGCTAATTTTGCGTGATTGCGCGGCTTAATTAGATCAGAGCCAAACGGTCATTTATATAATGTAAGCTTCAGAATTCGAATCACACGCGAACGTTTGGCGTGCACCAGCAGGGCTTCTTGATCTTGAGAGGGGGTCTCTCGTTGCGAGAGCGAGAAAGGAAAACACAAAACTCTTCGGCCGATAAAGACGAGAAAGAGAATAAGAGGAGCAAGGATAACAAAAAGCTACTCTTGTAAGTAGTGGTTAGTAGGTCATCCGAAATAAATTCACCCTCGTCTCTGTCTGGCTGGCGGATAGGAAGACCAAAGTATTGAACTATTCCAACTTCAACAATTGAATCAATTAAATAATGAGCAAGTTTGAAAATAAAACTTAACAAACCCCCTTCAATTTCCATCAACGAGCAATGAGTTTTTTATATTTCAATGCTTTTCTATTCTTAAATTTTAGTTAGAGTAAAATATATTTCTTCCTCTACCCGACTTTTTAAATATTTTATCAATATCACTTAACGGTTTCACAATTTTGCAGCTAAGAAAATGTAATGATTATTTCCAAATATTCACCCAGCTTGAAGCGTTCATAACTTACAAAAGCTTATTATTTTTTTAGTCGCAGTGGAAATTACCATATTCATGAAACGCCAGAATAAATTCAGTGATAGGAGAACACAGACGGAATCAATTCTTTTGAGCTTTGCGGCGCAATTTAAATCAGTTAAATTTTAAATGGTTTGTCTGAAGTGGATGAAATGAGATGCAAAAGGCTGCCACAGTTCTCGACATCAAGATAATCATGCCGCTTGCGTGCCAATAAAAATTTTATTGCCAGTAAATAAAAGCAAAGAGTGCAGAGTACCAAAGCGAACACTCTTGAAATGTTTTAAATAATCCACAAATTTGCATTTTATTTTCTAACAGATTCTTTGATTCTAAAGGTGCTCATAGAATTAAGGAAAAATAAATATTAATAAAACAAAATTCTCGGCCCTATTTTTACAGATTTTTAAATTGAGATAAAACAGCCGGAAAGGTAAAATATAAATTAAGTTTCCGTTCGTTGCTCTCGATTTCTGACATGGTTTTATTATCATGATTTTCCGTCTCGCACTATACTGGAATAAAATCTCACAGAAAGAGGGCAAGGCTTTGTGAAAACATTGCGACACACAAGTATAGCATGCCATTCATTCAACTGACAACTGATGGCACACAAATAAATAAGGGAGGAATAAAATAAGATGTTCGTTGGGTGCAGCGTGACGTTTCTATACAAATGGGAACGAGTGTCTTTTTCATTGCCCCTGCAGAAAGAGCCGGTTATGCTTTAAGTCATGCACTAGAGCACAGCGAGTTGCATACCCTCTTAATGTCGCTTGCCAACTACAAACGTTAGGATGCAGGAAACACGAGGAGGATAGTTTCAGATTTCAATGCGGAATGCATTTGAGAGATAGTATTGGAATAATTTTGTATATTTTGAAGGTGCAAAACCCGTATTTAAAAATGCTGGAGTGTGGAAAAAAAAGTAAATTTTCGCAAGATAGTTGCAATAAATTTAATTGTATTTTAATTAACAAAAAATATGAGCGCTGCTAATCTAATATATTTCCATGTCTTAAAAAAAGTAATGGAATATAAAAAACAATGCTCACTTTTTTTGCAACATAAAGTACTTGTAAATTGAAGGAACAAGATTATTTAAATCTAAAACAGATTAAACTTACCTCTTTTGTGGTCGACGGCGTTTTCTCATATTTCTTCCTCGCGTTGAGAAGTTGCTCGATCACCTTGTCGATTTCCAACTTGCTCTTCATGTTGTCCAGCAAAAAACGTCCGCCACCGCCACCGAGCAGGGATTTCTTTTTCTCCTCCAGGGTGAGCAGCAGCTGGCCGGGGGACGCGATTCGCACTGCAGAGAGGCAGACCAACGATTGAGTGAATACGAGTGTGCGAGTGCCGAAGACGAAGGGGTGGAGTTCTGCCGCCCCACCGCTTCCTCACGCCTCCTCCCTTGAAAGTCACCCAAATGTGCAGTCGCAAACTTTCGCTAAATATGTGTGCGAACCTATAGAGGTTATTTCCTTGGTGATCTGGAAAAATCAGTTTCCTTAAAAGAAAAGAAATAGCGGTTAAACGTTAAAAATTTAATTCAAGATTTTCACTAAGAATCCAACTTTCAATATTGACTCGGTTTGGCCAGCGCGTTCGATTAAAGATTTTTAATGCACCTTAACAATAAAATTTAATAACGATATAGAGGTTAAATGTTAATAAAATTTGCGCCTATCACTCTATTTCATTGGGCTTAATAGTTGAGTAATTAATCAAATTGTAATGAAATACAACTTAAAATATTCCAAATTTAATTATAAAGTATTCTATATGTCTATGCATAGATGGAATTTCCAAAGTATTCAATACGATCTCATTTAGTTGTGTTTTTGTCAGTGTATTTTGAAAGTATTACATTGTTTTTATTTTTATTTTAAAAATCTTGCTTTATCGTTTAATAGCGTGGGCCTGTGGTCGCAATAAGCTGCTCTCTGGTGTGTTGCTTATCGTCAGCTACACACCCTTTTCGCGATGCAAAGCACGATAGATTATGCCTCAGTGAACTTGAAATCCATGTAAGCGCGAACTTGAAAAGGATGAGATGAAGCGCGGCTGTGCTGGAGGCCACCGCTTTGGCGACTTTTCTTTGGTTTTCTGCTCTGCCCCGTCAGCAAGTCACAACTCAATAGCCAAGGTTAGATTTTGCAATTGCTGCTGCATTTTTATTTCAACTCTTGGCGTTGATAACTATCATATTATATTGCTTGTTGCCTCAAACATACACCCTCAAGATAAAATAGAAAAACTCTCAAATTTAAAGCAACAGTATAAAGTAATTTATATGAAGAGAGAAAAATGGGATGATAATATTTGCACCAGGCGTGTCAAAATATTTTTTGTAAAAGTTATCAGGAAAATTAAGAGATGGTAATTTGACTTTGCAACAAACGAAACAAAATTTCAGAAGCCACCTGAAAAGAGAACTCTGTCAGACGTACACAAACATTAGAATAAAAGTTTCGGTAAAATTTTTTCAGCTTGCCAGGGATCTACAAATAAATTAACTTCAAAGATTTTATATTGTTGTGTTGGAATGGAAATTGTAAGGTGTATATAAATAACAGCGACACATGTTTTTGTTTTTTTTTTAAATGTGCCTGTTGCCGCATTGTAATTATTGAGTTATATATTTTTTCACACACACTCACGTGATTTGATTGAGCTCAATTTGAGTTGCCATAGGTACAGAACAGCAATGAAATAACAAAGGCTATTATTACTTCCTTCCTGCCCATGCACGTGTAAAATTGGCTGCTTCCAACGTTCTTTGGGTTTTAAAAAGAAAAAATAAATATCAATTAAAACTTGAATTCTAAAAATTCTTAAAATTGCAATTTATAATTATTCTTTTCACTAAGACAAGCGAATTTGCTCCCTTTCAATTTTCCTCTCCGATGGAAGAGTTATATTAAATTTATTTTATTCATAGTCAAATGAGAAGTCCTTGGTTTTTTTCGCTTATTATTCATTTTTCTTTCAAATTTCATATCTCAATTTGAAAAAAGGAAGAAATATTTAAATTGTTTCTTTGGTTTTAAGGTTTTTGTTGAGCGCGATGCGTCTTGCAACGTGCAAACGGCCTACATTGCAAAGATATCCAGGCACGGGTCACACTCTAGTGATATAAATTATAACTTCCAAACGAGGTAGTTGAGTGCATTATGGAAGTAGGATCTTCTGATGTCATCACAAGTGCAAGGTCTTTTTGAATTCTTTCTCTCATCTCTCTTCATAACTCTGCTCTCATTGAGGGCATGAATTAAGATGACGGTTTTATAAATTGTATGCATATTTATTCAGCGTCTGTATGTTTTTCATAAAGGAAAGGTTATTTATATGCATAGGCTTAAAATTTTTGTATTGCGAGTTTCAATGACTCTTTGAGCATTGTAAGACTGAGGGACACTCACGGAGGGAGAGAGTTTTTCTCGCCCTTTTGAGGCAGGAAAATCCCACCCATGAACGCCGCTCGAAATTCGTAGACTTACTTTGTGGCGAGCTTCACACTTTTTCTTTGAATTTGAGCATATCAGCCTGCTTTTAATAGACGTATGGAGGTTCTTGACCACTTGAGCACAGTTAAAATAAGATCAATAAAAAAAGCACCTTAAAATACTTTTATGAGAACGTTTTTTTAAGATTTGTATTGCAACATGAAAAATTGGCAAATTCTCAATTCTCATACAAAATGAGTTCCATGTTCCATTAATATAAATATATCTTACTAATTTCAAAATTTCAATTTGGCGTAAAATTATTTTAATTTTGTGTTACGGCTGCTGTGCTCTGCTGACCCAGTTTGCACCCCTCCCCGCAGGCGCGGAATAATATATGGAGGCGAGACAAATAAATTTGTTTCGCCAAGTCACATTTTTCAAAGTCAATTTGCATTCTTGCATCAAAGCGAGTATAGGGAATAATTAGCGTCCTGCATTACTTATGAAATGAGCTCTGGAAATTAAAAAGCATCAAAAGCATTAAGAAAACTATTTTGAATATTATATTACATTTTTGATACTTTTTTTATTAAAGTTTGATTTTTGATACATTATTATTGACAAGGAGCGCCAAGCCAAGTTATGAATGTTTTCGATCAGGAGGAATTTTACTTTTTTTTTTATAAATAATGCATAATAATAAAATGCACAGATTGGGCTTAGCAAAATCCTAGGTTTTCAAATTAAGTGCCAGCAGACCACAGGTCACCTTGGGGGGTCAGTTGTCCTTTATTTTTTCATTTTGATTTGCAACGAGGCTCATATATGATTTCAAGTTTTCACCAGTAAATCTATTACATTTTATAACAATTTGCGTTGATAGAAGGTGCATGTTTTTATTTGCATCTATATAATGAAGAAATGACAACAACAAGGAGTCGTGCGCGATTAACGTAGTTTTCTTCTTCTTTTTTTTTTAATATTCAATTCTATTTGTACCCACAAGAAAACTAAAAAAACGGCTAATGAATGATTTTTTCTCAATTGGTTCCTCTTAAGCCGATTCAATTATTTATTTTGGCCGATATTGGATTAAAATTAGAAGATATGATGTAGTTGTGCTGACAATCTAAAGTACAGGAAATATATTTTTATTTTTACACAATGATTGAAAATTGATTTTTACTGCAAATAGAAGTGAAAAATCCAATGGAATGATTCCCCACGCTGAGAAATCCACCTGAGCGGCAATCACCTGCCTCTGGAAAAGCTCAATCTAAAATAATTAAGAATGATCAATTAATTTTGTTTTTAGTAAATGAGCGAAAGAAAATAAATTGCCTCTGCTTTGATTTCTGTTGCTAGTCTTTGATCTCCGAGTATACAAAGCTGCCAACCGGTTTGTTTAAGCTAAAAAAAATGAATTTAATTATAAGTAATTTATCTTCACGTCCTTAATAGAATCGTTTTTACTTCGGTCACCAATCGTGATGTGGAAAAGCAGAGGAGGAAAATGCGCGACAGATACATGACTACGAAGAGCCACTGGACATTCTGCAAAACCTCGTTGGCTTCGTCTTGCTCGCGGCCGCCTTGGTAAAATCCATTTACGCTGAAATAAGCATTCAGCACCGTGCCCACAAAGGAAAGGGTGCAGCCTAAGAGGAGCTGCGGAGCAAAGGTAGCGTCCAGCTCCTTGGAGGCTGAAATTAACTTGGCGTGGGTTAATCTGAGCGCTTCCAGACGGTACATCGCACCAACCCCATTCTTTCGTAATGACTAAATATACAACAAAATTTATAAAAAAAGATATTATTAGTAAAATATTATAATTATTATTGGTTTATTAATTTAATTTGATTGAAAACTTGGAAAACTTTATTATTTTTATATTATATTATAATTTAGTATGTAACTATTTTTCTCTCAAATTCACTTTGATAATATTTTATTGCGGTAACAGTATTATTATTGTTAAACTCATCAAACAAAAGCGATAATCTTTTTTACTAAAAAATTGTATCCATATTTTATACAGAATAAAAAAAATTAAAAGAATAAAAAAATAAAATTAAAAAAATACGGTTATATAATTATTTGTATATATTATGAATTATGAAGCAAAATTTACTTTAATTCGGAGGTTCGTATTCCAAACCCAAAATCGGAGTGCGAGGCAAGCGACGCAAAACTGCGCCTCGACCAGCGCACCGGCTATTGTACTGACATAGTACGAGGTGTAAACCAAAGTGTCATAATAAGCGTCCTCGAATTCTTCAAGAAATGAAGTGATCATGTCAGCAAGACTTGCAAAAATTGTAAGAAAAGTGGGTATCAAGCTTATAAATAAAACTGGCCCACCGCGCGCTGGAGTCAATTCGACGTCCAAGCCCCATAGCATCGATAGCGTGTCCATAACATCCGATGATCGAAAAATAGCAGTCACCATTTGCAATGTGTTGAGGGCGGCAAGAAGGACTGGCTCCAGACCACTAATCTGCTCTCAGAATTATTAATATTTTCATTTATCTAGGAAAATCTGTTTTTAAAATATTTTATGCAAGAAGCATAGAAAAATCAAAATAATTTTTAAATGAACCAAAGTGCGTAGCTACATAAGTTACAAATTGAATAATTTTTTTTTTTAAATTAAAAATATAAGATCGAAATAAATATGGAAAATAAATTAAAGGTTATAGGCGTACTGAAAATTAATAATTAAATAAGCAATTTATCAGCTGGATTTTTTTTACACTCACAAATTTTCCTTCGTTCAGTGTTGTCTGAGCCACACTCTGTGTAAGGAAAATCAACAAAGCAAAGCTGAAGCACATAAATAAAGCACTGCAAAATATTAAGATCACAATTCAGAATCTTCCAAGGATGCTATTAAAATTATTGCAATAATACCTATAGAAAACATTGGCTCTTGACCGCACTAATTTTTCTGTGGTTCCATCGTAACTCAATGGAGCAATACCGAATATCTTTGAGAGCCAGTAAACTAAAAGCAGTGTGGTTTCTGGTCGCTTGGAACTTTGGATCGGGGTGCTCAGTGGCGTGGGCAGAGGTTCCAGAAGTGGCTCCGATGAGATTTTTGTTTTCCACGCGGGAAAACTCGAGACGTTCTTTTTGCTCATGACCAAAATGCAAACTGACACCAAACTAGGCAGATGCCATTCAAATCTTGAGCACCTAATAGTGAATGAATTGTTGGATAAATAACCACTGGCCTGAAAAACGAAAACATGTTTGATTGACAAGCTTGTTTGTGTAATATTAGGAATTTGAAATAGCAGTTTATATTTTACCGTTACACATGGCGAAAAGCAAACAAGTGCCAATCACAGCAGAATCTTGGCCTAAAAAAAATCAATAATTTGATTAATTATATTTTGAATGCTTGCAACTAAGAAAACAAACGCAATATTATATTGAAAAATTGGCCATCAGAAGTCCTTTTGATCAAAAGAAGACAAATTTTTTGAAAATTCATCGATTTTCCAATTACGCGGGCCGACTGAAATAACTACACTGATGAGGTCTGCCCTGCTGAAAATATTGTTATAACAAAAAAACAATAATATTTGTTTATGGTTTTCAACATCTATTTATTTTAGGAGTGCCTATATATTATGAAATGAATGATGACTTTTGCATAGCGTCGTAAATCGTTTTCCCAGTTTCAAATTTTAATATTTAATTTCAAATGAAATGTTCTCAAACAGTTCTCGAATTTATATTCAATTAAAATCTTGCAAGTTGCGAAAAGTACGATACAATATTTATGTTTTATTACAGTATGAAAGTTTAGTAAAATAAAATAAGACAAATTGCTAGATATTTAGATAAATATTAAATAATTTTTTAATTATTTCAAATTAACTTGATCGCTTTAATCGGTGGTTTAGATGAAGGTGCATGAGCCAACCTTGACGAATCTGCAGACGTTGAGGACGGACATCTGCTCTACCAGAACGACGTTCTTCATCCTCATAATGACGCCGAAGTCGCCGTCGCAAGACGACACGCTGCCGTCTAACACCTTCGCAGCGTCCAGACAACTCCAACTGAATGAATAGTCAAACAAGCTGCACTTGCTGTCAGGGTAAACCATCAAGAACACCTTGAACCCCCTTCCTAAGTGGACCGTCCTCGGCCACAAGAAGGACACCACCTGAAACTTCTTGTATGTCCGCAGAACCAGAACGTACGAACCCTGAAATTTTTATTTGAAAAGTTTAATTTGGATAATCAATCACATTATTTAATTTTGTAATTTCGTCACCTTGCGGGTCACAAATCGCAAAACGTAAACTCCCGGCATGCGCGCCCGGAACCTGAATCTGATTCTGTCGGGGCACATTTTGCAGAGGTAGTACTTAAAGCCCACTTGGAAATACAATTTGCCTTCGGAAGTTCCAAATAAGCAGTAGTTATTGTCCACCTGAAATTAGGGAGAGCAGTATAACTTTTACATAATTATATTGTAGCTAAATAAATATAAGTACCAGAGTGCAGCATCTTTCATAATCACAGTATCGCTTAACGCGCGTGTCTTTGCTTTCGATAACACGGCAAGTGTCGATAAAAGCGGTCTCCGAACTTTCTTCTTCAATAAATTCTCCGGGCAAAGTCAAATCGTCCAGGTAGTCGTCGATGCCTTCAAACTCGGTATATTTTTCCTCGATTGTGACAATTTCAATATTTTCCCTGTGCACCGCGCCTAATTTGTCCTCAAACGACCTGGCGATGAACGTGTGATTTCCCTCAACACTGACGCGGTCGACGTGAAAATGAGGATGCGCCAGGACTTTGGTGACGTTCATTGTCGGAATAAAATCATTCTGCCTCACCAAGTTGCCAAAATTCAGGGCCAAGCTTGAAGCTAACAAGCATATCAATCTATAGAAAAATGTTGACAATTATCCCTTTAAATGTGCAATGAATATATAATTTAACTTACACGATTATCATGGCTCACTTTCTTACTGGATCAAAAAACGTGTTATGAGCAAATTTTAGCACCAACGTCGCTTTTATAAACTCGCGGTCGCGCGCGTGATATTTTTAAAAATTCAATCCGAGTGTTTTATAAATGACATCAGATGTCATTAAATTTTGAAACTATGCTGTCTTTTGCAATCATTTAATCAGTTATCTAAAACCTCACAGGCTAGGCATAATCTCAATTTTTATTTCTCAAATTCTAAGGATATGTGTAGAGGGAAAATGACATAATTATCGCTGGCAGGCCATCGGGCCCGCGATCAATGGAGTATATCGGGCACATTTTGTATTCGCACTGGCGCGCCGACCATCCGTAGGCCAATTCGGTGGCAAGTTCTTCTACCTCAAATGTCATTGTGTCCGAAGTGATGTTGAAAATCGGCGCTTCGATCCAAATTCCGTTTCTTCTCTTAAACTGGAAATTGTTTATCAAGACAGCATTTATAAAAAAGGGAAAATTAATATTGAAAACAATTCTCACAAAAAATCCAGACGGATCTCCTGCTTGCCCATTAAATTTCACTTTCCAGCCAAAGGTTGCAGTGCAAAAAGTATCAAGCTTATAAATTGATGGCTATAAAAGATTAAGTAAATTGAATAATAACTTTTAAGAAGATAATTTTATTTGATAGTTGAATCATTTGATGAGAGACAAAAATGTAATTGGAGAAGTGATAATAGTTCCGTATTATTGCGTATTATTATATATGAAATGCAACTAAAAGTGACATAAAAAATCCATTATATCTTTTTAAAGATTTCTTGTGTTCAAAAGATAATATAAATATTTTTTCAGTTTATAAAATAATAACTAGCACGTGGACAGCAAATCTATATGCATAATGTTTGAATTACGCTCATATCTTTACAATTCATTAATTATTTTAAGTGTTTAATCAATATCAGATATTTTTGTGTAGGAGACAAGAGCAAGTCCTGAACTATACTACGTGTCGCAAATAATAATTACATTGATATGCACTCCCAAAATAAAAATTAAATATGCAAGTAAAATTAACTCACAATGGGTCCAACGAACTCAAGATCAAAGCGGTCGTAGTACAAAAACACAAAAGAGTTAGCAAGCCTTTTTGCCACTGTTTGCTTATCCCTGTAGTAAATACTGAAATTTGTTCCATTTAAAGTTAGTCCGTTTTTTTTCTCAGCTGAATTTCAAACCTTCCGTAAGGCGATGTTCCGTCATAAAGGTCGTAAGCAGGCGCCATAAATGTTTCGTTGTTATAATTATTTGGTGCCACTTCCGTGTCAAACGTTTGGTGCAGCCGCAAGTGAGAAATCAGTTGGTCAAATTGCTCAATTTCACTTTCCATCGGCCCCAGCTGATAAGGAATAAAAACATTTTAAAGCAGTTATAAAAGGCAATTAAAGTTTAGCGCAATCCAACTCAAAATAAAATTGAATAAATATTAAAAAAATATATAAACAACTTTAATTGTCTAAGTTTATTTTCACCCTAAAGTAATACTGTATTAAAATAAAAACATGAGTAATATTATGAGTTTGATAAGAAATTTAAATATTATATTTAATCCAAATTACCTGTACAAAACCAAAAGGAAATGCCCATCCATCAGTGTGTGTCGGCACAGTGCCGTCAAAGAATGTATAAGACCAATCGAAAGTTAGATTTTTAAAATGGCAAGTGTAGTACGGCAAGTTGTAATTAACATTGCTTTCTCCTATTTGGCCAATTTTTAGATAAGAAAATTTCGCTTAATTAATATACACAATCGCACGTACCTTGGTACCAAATTACTCCCTTCAGCGAATTTTTTGTAAGAGGGTGAATCATTGCATTCCAGATTGAATGCTCTTTTAATAATCCCTGTCCATATCTAAATTTCAAATTAAATTTAAAGGTATGAAAGGAAAAAGAATTAAAAATCTCACTCTGGACTAAACGTAGAATTGCAGACATTTATTACTCTCTTTGAAACCCATGCCTCGATGTTTGAATGTTCATACGTAGCCTGAATTAAACCAATTGGCGCGTGGTCAGGCACTTCATCGAGCAGCCTTATCGCGTACAGTAAGCAAACGGCAGAAAAGTCGGCCACACTCGCAGTCTCCAGTTTGCTCCAAATTGTCCTATAAGGGTATTGTTCATCGAGCTCAGAGTCTGAGGTTCTTGACTCTAGTTGTGCGGTGCGAATTTTTTCGCTGTACTTCACCGCATTTTCAATTTCTAATGTTGAATTAAAAATCTGTTTGCAAAAGCGGATTATTTTTTGTTTTAGGATAATTAAAAAAATATCAATATATTAACACACATTTCTCATTGGAAACTGCATATTTCCTTCCCCAGCGCAAAGCCAAACATCTCCGAACACGATGTTTTCCAATAAGACTGTTGACCTGGCCCCTTGCTAATGTGCAAAAATTAATATCAATTAAAAGGCTTGCAGTTCACCTTAAGTTTTAACCGGAACATTGTGTTCTATAGATATTGAACGCGGTCCTCCTGACGGCTGTGGTGGTAAAGTAAATGACCAAATTGCATTACCTAATAATGCAGTTTATATAGACAATATTATGTTTTATAATTATTTTATTTCAATATTTTTACCCCCAACGTTCAAAGTGTCTGTGAATTGGTCCATTGTAACAGTGACCACAGCCCCTATTTGACCAAAACCCCATATTTTAGCCCTCTTCGGACTTTGCTGCAGCACCATGTTACTTTGGTAGGTATTTGCCACTCGAAAAATTTGCGCCTGGCCTATTTTGAAAAAAAAATCATGCATTCAATTAGCAGAATAACTTACATTGTAGAGTACATAGGCTCAAGGAGAAAAAATACAACAGGACTGCTCTCATGATAGCTAACAATTGAGTGATAAAAATTAAAGTCATGAAGAGGATGATAAAAAAAATAATTATCAAAAATCGTTACGTTGAGATTGATGTTTATTTATTTATAGAAACATGTGCTAAAAATCTGGCCAAATTCTTTGACAACGCTTTCTTCAGTTTAGTTTTTTGGGCCGTACTGCTCCTTCAATCTCTCGTACTTTAGCTTATCCTAAATTAAGCAAATTTTAGAAATCAGATATAATTACAAAAAATTAAACCAACCAAATCAGACACGGAGGGGCGGATTCTGCTAATTGCAGCATTGAAATGGCGAAGCTCAACAAGCAGAGATTTGGTGCTGCTTTTATTGGCCATGACCTCCTTCAGGAGCTGCAAACTGGCCTCTCGCACCAGGGCAGCCAGGTCGGCGCCTGTGTAGCCAATGGTGTGGTTGTCATCTCCGAGCTCCTCCAAACTCACATCGTTTGCAAATCTTGGAGATGTTCCATTCTAAAAAGAAAATGAAATTAAGCTTCCTTCAAAAAATTCAATAACAAAGCTACCTTTGTAAGTGCCCTGAGAATGTCTGTCCTGTCCTCCGGTCCTGGCAGGCCAACGTACAAGATTTTATCCAGTCTTCCAGGTCTGAGAACAGCAGGATCAACAATGTCTGGTCTGTTTGTAGCTGCCATTAGAAAAACGCCCAGTCGTCCTTCAATTCCGTCCATCTCCGTCAGCATTTGGTTCACCACCCGCATTGTGGCACTTCCCTAATATAAAAATTTGGTTTATTTTCTACCCATTGACAACCAACATTACAATATTCACCTCTCCTGATTCAGACCTCTTGGGACAGAGGGAATCCAGTTCATCAAAGAAAATGACACAGGGAGCAGAGTTTTTCGCCCTCTGGAAACACTGCCTAACTGCTCGCTCACTCTCACCGACGTACTGAAATAAAAATTAAGATCATATCTATATATAAGCACACAAAAAACTGACCATGTTAAGAAGTTCAGGGCCTTTCACTGAGATAAAGTTGATGCCAGCTTCATTGGCCACTGCTTTGGCCAACAATGTTTTTCCACAACCAGGAGGGCCACACAACAAAACGCCAGCCGGAGTTGAAAGACCAAGGTTTGAGAACTCTTCAGAAAATTGCACTGGCGCCTGATATTAAGGTCTTTAGATTATTCCTACAAATAATAATTAATAATTACCAAAACAGTCATCTTGAGTTCTTCTCTGATGTCCTTGAGGGATCCAATGTCATTCCAAGTGACATCTGGGACAGTTGCAAAGCCTTCGCGCTTAGCCGATGGCTGGACCTTTTTCAGAGCCACCATGAAGTCCTGACGCTCAATGTGTAGTTTCTCCAGCTCTTCTTGAGAAATGGGCGGTTTGTCTTTCAGCCATTCCATCAGGTCTTCCAACGAGAGCTGATGCAGGTTCTTCTCAACAGGAACAGAGGTGTGATCAATGCCGTTTTCAACTGGGGTTTCTACAGCTTTCGATGTTGAAGCAATCGACTCGGCTTGAACTTTCAAGGTACTCAGGACTCTAGATCCAAAAATCAGTAAATAATTTTCATATGATATTTAAAGAATAAGCTTGCCTATTTACAGCAGCCATTGCCGCCTCCCTCGCAAGTGAAGTCAAATCGGCACCTACAAAACCTGGCGTCAGCTTTCCAAGCTCTGCCAGGTCCAGGTCAGTGGACAACCTCAACTTGGCGCAAATTACATCCAAAATGCTAACTCGTGCCTTTTCATTTGGTATTCCGAGGCAGACCTCCCTATCAAACCGACCAGCCCTTCTTAGGGCAGGATCAAGAGAATCTGGCCTATTTGTGGCTCCAACTACAATGACCTGTCCTTCGCTCTCTGACAAATCTGAAATGAAATTTTTTTGATGCATGTGAATTTAAAAAGTAGTATTAGCTGACCATCCAACGAAACAAGCAACTGAGCCACAATTCTCCTCTCCATTTCCCTCTGGGCATTTGCTCTGTGTGGAGCAATTGCGTCGATTTCATCCAGGAACAACACACAGGGGGCAGACGCCTTGGCATTTTCAAAAACTTCGCGAATCCTCTCTTCAGACTCTCCTGACAAGCCGGCCACCAATTCTGTCGCAGCCACTTTCATAAGAGGGATGTTTAGTTCCTGAAAATAAGTAGTTTAGTTGCACAAATCAAGTGCATGTTTTGTTTTACCCCAGCAATTGCATTTGCAAGTAAGGATTTGCCACATCCAGGAGGTCCGTGGAGTAGGAATCCCCTCGGAGGTGAAACTCCAAGTCGATCGTAAACCTCAGGATGTTTGATGTGAACCAAAAGTTGGCACACATCCTGTTATAAAATAGAAATTAATTCAGTTTATTAAGTAAAAAAAAAACAGGCATGCCTTCAAGCAGTGTTCAATGCCTCCAATGTCATTGAAAGTAACAGAGGACGCTTTTGCCTCATTAGCAAATTTCCTCCTTTTTGCTGGTGTTGCAACTCTGTTGGCATTTTCTTCTTGGGGCGTTTTGCGTTTCTTCAAGCTACTGGTGGGAGCTGATGCCTTCTAATATTGAATTACCTTGTATTTTGTTTATTATTTGCTAATATTGAGAAAAACCTGCTGGACCGGAGCACTGGGCTTAGAAGCAGGTGCAGCACTATTTTCCTTAATTATGCTAACCCTAGGCTTAATGGAAATGGTAGTAGAAGCAGGTGCAGTTTTGGGAGGCGAGTCATCATCAGAACTGGTTATGTCGATCAACTCTTGCTCCATGGTAGCATTTCTGTTAAAAGAAGTTTTAAAAATCTTGATAATAGACTAAATATTAAAATTTTACCTTGCTTGATTTCTTTTCATGTACATCTGATTAAGTAGGCTGTTTGAACTTGTCTAAAATGGAGGAAGCTTTAGAAAAATGTTTTTTTAACAATAATTTTCTTCACCTTGTTAGCAAGGGCAATTATGGCTTCAGGACTTCCATCGTCCTCTTCAATGTCTGAGTCACTTTCCTGATTCGCCTCTTCCTCTAAGATGACTTTCAGTGCTTTAAATATTGAAATTATTAAAAAATGAATTCATATGGTTTTCAATATTTTATTCTACCAGAAGTGACACAAGCTCTGAACGGCTCCTTTTTCTTTCTTTCGTACTCTTTGTAGTTCCGAATGAGGTAATTGATCACGTCATTGACTTGGATGTGGTGGTCGCCAGGTTTCTGTCGCAACTGCTTGATGAACTGCAAAAAAATTAGCCCACTTTATATAATTCGATTACAATATTAGCTACTCTAAATTACCTCGTAAACTCTGGGCAGCAGGCGCGAGTCCAAGAAGTAGCGATTGGGCTTGGAAGCAGTGTTTGGACCTTGCGAACTGGCGGCCTCGCACGTGTTGTCCTGGCTGTTCGCCCCGTCCTCCGGCTCGATAATTTCCTCGATGGTCACGGCGCCGCTCGTGTCAGCCTCTCCGGCGTCCACGCTGCCGCTCGCCTTTGGAGAGTCGTTGCCTGCCATGTTTAAATGCACCTAATTTGCAATCAAAAAATTTTCACCGGCAACAAGCCATGAAAATCAACACAAAATCATCTGATTTCGTTTCTGATTTGTCTAAATTTTTTGCTGATTATGTGTCTTGTCCATCTGTCGGTCGTCATTCGAACAAGAAATTTATTGTTTGTAAAAGTGCCCGGTAGAGGGTCGAATACCTAAGATCAAGATCCCTTTAAATAATGGGGTTTAAAAAGGAATTTTCGTGCTTTCAAATAAAAATTATTTATTTGATTTTAAAATTGTTTAATTAATTAATAATTTAATCTAGAATGTTTTTTTTTCGAAAATAATATAAAAAAAAGTCTGTTCAGTTTGCTGTTATAATTGCAGTAACGTGTTGAAAATTGCCACCACAAATTTTTGCACTCCTCCTTCTCTGCTCACCCTGGCGACCAATAATAACAAGACCAGACAGAAGTGAACCGAGGGACAGAAATATTCTTAGCAACTTTTCTTTGCGATATTGGAATAAAATGCAATCGTGATCACAACCCGTAACGCCAAGAAATCGCCTCGTGATGTTCTAGGAAGACCCTTCTGAACTGCGTCCTCAGTTTTAAAAGGGTCAACGTGAAAATGGCAGGAATCCGTGAAAAGGGTCACTCGTCATCGGGCCGAAAACAAGATGAGAACAGTGTCGAGGTTTGTTTTGACATTTTCTTGCACCTTGCGTAATTCACGGATAAAATCTTTGCAGTCGCTGGCCGAGGTGTTTCGCTGCTTCATCTGCATGGAGAAGTTGCGCGACGCCCACTTGTGTCCGCACTGCTCCAAGTTGTGCTGCTACCTGTGCATCCGAAGGTGGCTGACCGAGACAAGGTCACAGTGTCCGCACTGCAGGGCGTCTTTGCATCTGCACGAATTGGTCAACTGCAGATGGGTTGAGGACGTAACCCAGCAACTGGACAGCCTGCAGGCCATGGGCGCCACGAATTCTGAAGGAACAGACGGCTTAGACAAGGACAGGTGCGAAGAAAAAAATTTGCCCCAAAATTTACCTTAAAAATAATTGTTAAATTTATATATTTTTTTTAATTTAAATTTTATGATAATTTTTTCTTTCATTTTAGCCGATGTGAGAGCCATCAGGAGAAGTTGTCTGTCTACTGCTGGACCTGCCAACGGTGTATATGCCATCAGTGTGCCCTCTGGGGTGGCACCCACTCTGGCCACACTTTTAAGCCTCTTGAGGAAGTCTACGAGCAGCACATTTCACAGATTAAGGATGAGGTTTACCAGCTACGACGACGGCTTATGGAGTTGATTGGACTTGTCCAGGAAGTGGTCTGTAGTACCTTGTCATTCAAAGTTCAATTTAATCAGTTTTGAAATTTTCAGGAAGGAAACGTTGAGTCTGTTCGTGCTGCAAAAGATGAGCGAGTACGGGAAATTCGAAATGCCGTTGAACAAATGATTGCTCGACTTGACTCGCACCTCAAAGCCAAGCTGATGACTTTGATGGGCCAGAAAACATCCTTGATCCAGGAGACAGAGCAACTAGAGGCGCTGCTGTACGAAGTGGACCGTCAACTGCACACATGCTCTCGAAGCGAGCTGATTCGCAGAAGTGCCGAGTTGACCAGAAAACTTAACACTGTCCGAAGAAAGCCCACCACTAGTTTTGTCACTGCTCCAGTGCCAGCCGACTTTCAAAGGTAAATCTATAAGATCATGTGAATTAGTATAGCTTAATTTTATTAATGCCAACAGTGAGATTGTGCCAAACTACGACAGCAGCACTTTTGTCCTGCAGAACTTCAGTCAGTTACAGCACAAAGCAGACCCTGTTTACTCACCACCCCTCTTTGTTAATGGTCTGTGCTGGAAGCTGAAGGTGTACCCTGATGGGAATGGTGTTGTGAGAGGAACTTACCTCTCGGTTTTCCTTGAACTTGCCTCAGGACTTCCCGAAACTTCAAAGTAGGTTTTATTTGCTGATCTACTTGACTGTAGAAAAAAAGCTTTTTCTGATAAATGATTCATTATTATATTGAATATTCAGGTACGAGTACAGAGTTGAAATGGTGCACCAAGGCTCGAGAGACAACAGCAAAAACATTATTCGTGAATTTGCCTCTGATTTTGAGGTAGGAGAGTGTTGGGGCTACAACCGGTTCTTCCGACTTGATCTGCTTGCAAGCGAAGGCTACTTAAACACATCTTTGGACACCTTGATATTGCGCTTCCAAGTGAGGCCGCCAACTTTTTTCCAACGGTGCCGTGACCAGCAATGGTACATCGGACAACTTCTCACTGTCCAGACCCAGTACGTCAGCCAAATCAATACCCTCAAAGAGGTAAATATATAGAGAAATTAATTAAGTTTGCCGTTTTTTACAATTTTAAATAATCTCAGCAAGTTTTGATGCTGCGAAACGGAGGCAATGCTACCGTAAATAACTCGTCTGCCTCTTCTCCGGTGAATGCGACTCGGGCCCTGAGCATCAGCAGCGAACCTACCCTGGCCAACCCAACTGAATTAGCTGCTTCCGCCATTCCAAAGTCAGTCTCCCTGACCACAACTCCAACCCTGCAGCTTCCACCAGGCTTCACTTCTTTAGCCTCTCCTCAATCAGCTCCAAGAGCTGTGGACGTTGGTACGGACACCTCGGCCGAATCTTCGCCTGTCCGAACACTGTACAGGCTGCGGAATCAGTCTGTCAGTAGTGACAGCGACAGCGAACTGAGCAATTCCATGAAAGAGACTGACTCAGTTGAGATGGGCACAGTAAGGAGACGAAGGCCCATTCTTGACGAGGTGTCTAATGACGAGAATGACATTGACGTTGAGGCTATGTCAGGTGATTAGAAGTTAGGAAATTTTAATTGAAGCCTATCATACTTATTCCTCCTGTTTCAGGTGATAATGACGTAGAGTTTTCTATCTCGAGACAGTTGAGATTTCCTGGCTTCCTTTCAACAACATCTGATTCATTTGAGTAAATATTTTTAATAATATCAAAATACATATTTTTGTTATCTTGTTAAATTATAAACTAAATTTTTTATCTTTTTACATCTCATAAATCAAAGTAAATTAAATAATTTGACACATTTGATTAAGTTAAAACTCATATTTTTCTGCTTAAATTCATATTTACACAGAATAAATATTTCCAATTAAAACTTAATTTGTGCCAGGCCCCCTGTGGTTGATTCGACCAGTTTTGGAGAAGAAATTATGCTCTTACACCTATTTGAAATGCAGGACAGGGAGCGAAATGCTAATGGCAACACTAGCAATGACCCAGCTTGGAGGAAGCCCAGCATTAGCAACCCTTCAGGTATAAATATCAGCGACTTTTCAAAACATGTTTTACTTTATTTTCAAATCCGTCCAGGTCTGAATGTAGCCGGTGCTTGGTTCAAACCACGCAGACTAAGTCGGCAGCCTCTTGCCACAGCCAGCAGCGTCCTGGACACTTTGCAGCTTGATATGGCATCACTTGGCGTTTCCGGCAATAACCTCCCTTCACGCCAAAGTGCTTTCATGCCTATGTCTCCTCGATCTGAAACGCGCCTTCCGCCTATTGACGAGAGCAACAGATCCCTAACTCAAAAAGGTAGATAATATATTGTAGTCTTTAATGTGAAAAATTTTTAATAGCAAAAACGTATTCAGGAAAGTCCCGATCAGATCCTCGCCAGCCATGTCGTCACAGCACAGCTTCAGCAGCTGCTTCTACTGCAACAAGCTCCTCGCAGACAAGGAATCTCAGTCCAACAACTCAGGTTTGTTTAAAATTGATTATTAAACATGTTTATATTATATTTTTACAATTAATAGGCACATTTGAATGCGTACCTATCATATGTCAAGCAACTGGAGTTAGCAAGTGATGATGACGCAGCTTCTGCAGCTGCCAGAGAGTAAGCAGGTGATATTCAAATCAGACCAGCATGGTACAATTTTTGACTGATTTTCAGTGACACTCAAGCCATTCCGCAGCAAGATTCCTCTGCCACGTTGTTGCCAAAGCAAGACGAAGGTGCTGCTGCGTTATCATCCCAATCGGGACCTTTTTCTCCAATCGGCGGACCTCTTTACTTAAAAGATATAATCAAACCCATTCCACAACGTGGTGAGTAGTAAAATAAGGAATAATAAAGAAAGAAAAAATGCTAACCAATGTATGCATTGACAGCAGCCCAGCGAGATGCACACAAGAAAACTGAGGGGTCTGTGGAAATTTCACCCCCAGTCAATGAAGATCAACCACCAACCAACAAAGCGTAAGAAACTAGATAGCAGACCTGTACTGTACATTTCACCACCTTTTTTTACAGATCTGATGAACCTACTGGAGATACAAAGTAACGCAAAGAAGACTTAAATTAACAATTATTCTAAAGCATTGATGATTGATTAATCTGCACAGCGCAAGTAAATAAAAAGCCACAAACAAGTCTAGCTTAAATTATAACTACAGAAGCTTCTCAAATCATTATTTTTTGCCACTAACTTATTTTTGACTGTTTTTGTGCTATCGTCACATAAACTAAAAATGTATTTGATGCTTCACTATTCACTATAAATGCACTACAAATTTCAAAAGCAATTTAGAATTAGCAAATTGTATGAGAAGTTATTTGTATAAAGTAAAGAAAAACAGCAGCTCTGAATCTTCACAAGCCAATAGTTTATTCGCTTAAGAAAACACTCTCAATTGAAATTGTTATTTTTTTGTTGCTATATATATAACATAATAAATATCAGACTTATGATTAATTGCATTGTGGATTTATTTACTTCTTCCATGACTAAATTGATCTTTAATACGGAGCCCTCATCATTATAAGCTGCGATTCGAATTAATACATGGAGGATTAATAACAAACCACCTGCTTGGCTGTACTACAATATTGCGGCAGTATACTCGAGGCTGAGCTGCATTACACATTTGCTGGAATGGAATTTAACAATCTCACTCTGCGACTAAAACTGGAAGAAGTGCCTACAGAGGGTACAGCAAGTTCATTTCTGCCAGAGCTGGTGCAACTCGAGAGGGATGGCAAAGTCAAAATCAGCTCAATTTGCAATCCATTTATTTTAAACAAAGGTAAATCTTGGCCTCGATACATTCCACGCCTTTCAATATTTTCCCAAAGACCCAAAGAAATCTGCAAGCGATAGAGAGCGTGTCCGCATGCGAGACATGAACAAGGCATTTGAGTTACTAAGAGGAAAGCTTCCTACTTTCAAACCTCTCGGGAAGAAAATGTCAAAAATTGAATCACTGAGGTAAAATGACAATGATTTTAATATCAATATTTATATAAAATTATTGAAATTAATTACAGAATGGCAATCAATTATATCAAATATCTCCAAACCCTTCTGGAGAATGATGAAGATTATTCACAAGATGACAGAATGTCTGAGAAATACTGGAGCAGTAACTTTGGAGCAGAAATGCAATGCTTTTCATCAAACAATCAGTTCATCGATGCAGAAAATAATTTCTTATACCACTGATTTTGAGAAAATAAAAATTTATCAAAAGCTATCAAACTATTTTGTCTTCAACCGAGGGGAAAACAAAAGTAGTTCCCTCTACAATTAATCCCTTGCCGAAAACCTTCCCCGCTGGTAGCTGCGACAGCTTGAATTTTGGTTTCATATGAACTTGCATGTAGCCTAGGGCCATTGTTTGAGTTGAGTGGCACCACAATAGTTCACCACAACCATCCCGTGGACTGAACACAAGAGCTAGGACACCACCCATTTTCTCCTCTACTTCCTGCAAAAGGCGATTTTCTGAAAAATAAATATAACAAAATTTACCTTATTAAAAAAAATTATGTTTGAACTTTTTTACCAAGGAACTCTTTGACCATGACATTGTGAAGATGGGAGGCACATGGTTGAGACTGGCCAGTGCCTAGCTTGTCAGCCACACTTTTGGCAAGCGTACATCGGATAAGGTGTTCTCCGCAACCTGTCGTACAAGTTGCAACCGCTGGATGAATTGCATCTCCGTCAGTTGCCCAACATCCTGCACCAAACATGCACGCCTGAACATTGAATAATAAAAAAAAGTGCAAAAGTTGAATGTAATAAAGCTACTTGGCCCAAGCGTCCACTGTTCTTAAGCACTATTCCTCCACTTGAGCAAACAGAAGCTGTGTGTCCAAAATTGTCTATGCAGACAGCACCGACGGTGTCAGAACAAAGATCATCACAATTCTTGAAATGAGAAAATTAGTAATTTGTTTTTATAACATCCTCAATAAAATACCAATTTTGCAGATTTTTCGCACTTTAGAATTCGCTTTTTGTACTTGTTGTATTTCTTGAGAGCACTGGCTAGAAAAATTATATTAATGCAATGCAAGAATTTTAAGAACTCTGAAAAATCACCATGAATTAAAGCTGAACTGTCAACACTAGTGATTCCTTGCTTTTTTGCCCAATCAGAGGCCCCTTGTCCAACAAGGACGCAGGGTGGAATTCTGCCAAGTGTACCTTCCACCCTTTGGCCTAAACAAAGCTTTGAGGCAGCTCGACAGGGATTCTTAATGGTTCCGACTGCGCCAACCGCACCCCACAACCCAGTGGTACCGTCCATGGCACAAGCATCACATTCGACGGTTCCATCCCAGGTCAGGTTGGAGCCGAGGCCTGCATTGGTGAAGGGGCTGTTCTCGAGGACAGCTACTGCTTCTGTGGCTGCTTCTAAAGCAGATTTGCCTTCAGCCAATAGTTTGCACCCCTATATTGGGATATAATGGGAAAATAGAAATATATAGGAAGTTTTAATGTTTACCACTCTGCATGCAGCTTTGCACAATTTTGAGTATTCTTGTTTTTTGCTCTCACTATGCTGACCAGCGCCTGACAAAAGTTTGTTTCAGAATGTTACAAATTACATTAAAATCTGGAAGACAAATGCTAAAAGAAAAATCTAATATTGGAAAGACAAAGTTTGTTTGATTTATTCCGTACACTATGGAGTCCGTAAGCATAATTCATGTCAACACATTTGTATCAGATCACTTTTTCGATTTCTTTTTTGGAGCTTCTGGATAGTCGTCCAGGTTTAACTGTCTGGTGCACTTTTGGAATGCAAAGACCAAATAGAGTGAGGTCGCCTCCCACTCGGACATGGACAGGGTGCCTAAACTCTGGGCCCTGGGGTGCCTCTTCAGGTGCTCCCTAGCGTGATCGTAATCTTCGTCCTTGCCTAACAGAGTCTGTTCACTGCCGGGTGGATAAGTTTCTAGAGCGTTTATTTTTTGCAAAAGAAAGCGTCCGTCTTGGTGGGTTTTATCGTAAAACTCAGGGAAGGTCATTTTCTCGACCAACTTCAGCCCGTGCTTGTCTGCCAATTTGACCAAAGTTGGGAAATGCACCAGGAATTCAGGACACTCCACCACATCCTGCAGGTGGAAGTTGTACATTGCACCAAATAGGGGATACCCAGAGCTCGACTCTTGCATGGTTATCTGGTACACCTGTAAATTTAGTTTAAAAAATTAGGCTCGTTAAAATATACATTTTTATGCCATTTTTTCACAGAAAAAATTTAATTTATTCAGAAAATGGAGAAAACAAGAATGTACCTCATTTCCAAAAGTGTCCTTCTGAACAGCCTTATGTCTCTTCACAATCTCATAGGCATTCGGAATGGTTCCGATGAAGTAACCACCAATTTCAAGTTTTTCCGCCGCATTCTGCATCATGCAGTTGGCTTGCTGCAGACTTTCGAAGCAGTAGTGGAAGGCGAATTGGCAGCTGACCAGATTGAATTTGGCCTGCTTGTCCACAAACTTGTCCTTGAGGAGCTCCTTGGTACAGTCGCAGGTGATGAACTCGGCCGAAAAAAGAGGTCCTCGCTGTTTTTTCTTCATGTCCGAATACCTTCAAAAGATTTTTTTAATTTTTTTTATTAATATAAATCAAAGTTGTTACCTGGATTCGCAATGCTCCATCGAAACGGCAGCGACGTCGGCGCAGGTTACGTGGCTGACGCTGCCCCTCATCCACTTAAGCAGGTCGCCACCCTTGCCGCAGCCCAGGTCAAGCACCCTGATGGCTGAGGTGCCCTTCCCCCTGATCCTCTTCAGGTACTCGCCAATTTGCATGCTCTTGACCCAGTTGTTGAAGTTGCGCATGTAGAAGATGCGTGTCTCCTTTCGCGCCTCCAGGCCGGCGTTCTCGATGGCGTTGTAGTGCGAGGCGACCACCTCAACGGCCGCCCCCGGAGGTGGCACCAGCGTCCCGACTTCGGGTTCGGGAGGTGATTTCTTGCCTCTCTGTTCTTCATTGGAATCTGAGTCGCTAAGATCGGGCAGGAACTTGGGACTGTTGGCAGGTTCCTCGGCACCAGGTCGACCCTGCGGGTCTTCGTCTAGAAGGGACGGCATCGACGCTGCCATGCTTGCCGGCAAGTTTATGGCGAATTCGAAACACGGTTTTCCAGAGTCTTTTGAGGACGCACAGCACGTTGCAATACTAACCTATGTGGACCCCAATGAATCCGGCCATCCGTCCTTCACCGGAAAATAACCGTGCAGAACAGGAAAGACTGGAAAGAGTCAGAACGTCTGAAGATTGGAAAGAAAAATTTGTGTTGTATGGTTTTTGCTCTCGTTCACTTTTGCACCTTTTGTTGACGGACAAAAAACAAATGAATATAGCGAAAGCGAATATAGCAGGCACTGCAGGCGGCAGCAGCAGCAGGCCAAGATTCCCATTTGATTACATTATAGCTAGTGAGGAATGTGAGGATAGGGAGGCTCCGCCTTTATTCATATTTCATAATTCGCTTAAGTATCCTGGATCCTGGTATGTACAATGAGTTGCACACAATATGCGCACGCAAGTCAAACTCGCAAATACATAACCTAAACGCAGCACTTCTTGAAACAGGATTGAGCAGGATACGATTGCGAAGCTCTTGTCAGGATAATCTCTGAAATGAATTTTGCGGAATTTCTCCCTTATTTGGTTGGAGTTTGTTTTCACTTAAAGGAAGTGACGCTACATGCCTAACATTTTTTCCTGTACTATTGACGTTTTTATGTTTATGCGTACAATGAATATTTTTTTAAATTTTGTTGGAAAATACAACAGCATTGAATGGTCGGTCATTTTGAAAGATGAATGAAAATATTCAAAATTAATAAAGAGTATGGTTCACAACTTCACATAGGTATGTTAAATAAAAGAAAATGATAACACCTCAATAACTTGCAGCGGCGCAGCGTTACATTAGAATGGATGGATATGTAAAATAAGGCCAGGATTAACAGCGTTCAATTTAGAAGTAAACAAATATGTCTGATTTTATTCATGTAAGAAACATCTTTATTTGATTACAATCATCGACACTCAAATTTTAAGTTGCAACGACTGATATTATTCTCTCCCCATATTAAGAATTTCATCAAATTACAGTATCCCTCCAAAATTAATTTTTTGATAACAAGCATGACCGCATTGTCATATTTGGTTTTAAATTAAGTTATTATTATACAAGATTACACAAAAATGGAGGAATTATGGAGCAGTTTAAATTTGGGATTTCCCCTTGGGTGGTTGGATATCGTTGAGTGTAGGCGACAAAACTTAATTTTGAGCTTGCTTCTATTTATATATGATCAATTGTCTTTCAATGGTCAGATCGGCTTATAAAATTATACTTTTAACTGAATGCCTTACAACTGTCAACTAAATAGCAGAGATCAAATCACAAGCGGGGTTCATTAATGCTGCTGTGACGATTCGTGGCGCTTATCTAAAATTATTCAATTGGTTTTTCGAGAGACGGACACAAAACTAAAGTTTTTAGGAGAAAATGTGTCCCCAGTGATGAAAATTTTGGCCGGGGAAAGTGTACAGGCTCAAGTCAAATGCACTGCATATTTAGGAGGCCTGCTCGGTTCCGTTGTTTTCCTGAGATTTCATCACATCTGGCAGCTCGGGAGGAGTTGAGTAGGGGGTCAACTCCAGCTCCTCAAACTCAGTTGAGTTTGGCAGCCTGAAAAGATTTGGTCAGTTTTTTTTCCAGGTGTTTGTATAATTCGCAACTCTACCTGACAGAAAGGCCAACCGGAGCTGGCGACTGGGCCTTGGCTGTTGTGGCGCTCAACCCATACTCCTGCAAAGTCTTGTTGTCCTCCATCACCACACTGTTCTTGTTGTACAGCTTTTGGTCTTGTGGAGGCACTTTCAGAATTCCTACAAAAAAATTATCATTAATTAAGTCTTAACAGCAAGTCGGTCTGAAATTAAATGCCTTCAATCATCTTTTTGAGCTCAAGAACTGTGGTTGTGTCCTTGCAATCGGTGAAGATGGTCACCTTCTTCCTACGGATCATGAGAAACACGTCCTAAAACAAACAAAAATTATCAATAATTTTGATGCACATAAGCTTAAAAATTGTATGAATTTTCCCATGATTGTTTTAGACATTTATGGTCTCATTAAAAATTGTGATGATAGGCCTGGTACGATGAGAAAGCTAACTGAAAGCTCAGCAAAATTGTTTACAAACATGCCTGCGATGACTTTTCGTCGTAAACCAAGTGGGTCACATGCTGGGGACCAAGCTGGTATTCAACCTTTGAATCCAAGCTCAGTACCGTTCTGGTTTTATTTTCAAGTAAATAATTTGTAAAGAGTTAGCTGTGAATGCTGCTTTAACTACAGTACGGCAAAAACCGATCGAAAACAATCATGAAAGCCAGAAAAGAGGAAACTTTGGTGATGCGGTCGCAAAATGTTGCACACGATGGTGTGCCAAGAAATGACTTGACGTTTCTCGCTTTCCGAGGACAGCTTCGGGCCGAATAAAGCCGGATTCGCAAATTCCGCCGATGGGACTCACCATTATGCTAAATTCTTGCTGTCGCAGTCCTCCTGATGGGGAAATAAGAGCGAATTTCGGGTCTTGATGGGGAAACGGCCTGCGAATTCGTGTTTACAACTCGGTGCCCGACTCGAAAAGAAGATAGAAATGATGCGCAAGGCGGGCATGCGGCCTTGGCAAGCAAAGCTTTTCATTGGCTGGTTCGATGTTGAGCACTCATGGCGGGAAAAATAATTTTCTAATACATAATAATAATAATGCTTTTATTAAACGCGTTTGCGTACATTTTCAAAAATATATATGTTTCATATTTCTTTATAATTTTTTAATTAGAATTAAAAATAAAATTAAATAAAGCTTAGAGTATTTTCCATAGAATCTAAAAATATTTAATTTATTTAAAATAATTTATGAATAAAATCTTAGGATTGGAATAGAGGATCAGAAACAAAAACAAATTGCATAATTTGAAATGATCTTTTCTATATTTAAATTTTATATTATTACCTTCTCTCTTGATTGTAACAACTATAGTCAGTCATAGCCAAAGTGTTGATCAATAAATTGGGCGTTCAATTAATTTATATGAGATTATATTTTTTAATTTATTTGTTCAAAATCTTGTACAGTTTTCAGTAGCAGAGAAATAAAACAAGCATGGGATTTTATTTTATGTCCTATTATATTAATTCAATTTTAAAATCATAATTTATGTGATCAAGAATTTCAAGTCTGAACAACACCACACGTCATACTTTGCTTTAACTTTTGTGGTTGACAAATGCTGATAAATTTAATTTACAAAATATATAATATATCATGTTATGGCGCAGCATATTTAAGTAAAGTTGGTTTACTAACATTTACATTTTGCACTGGGAACAATGTTTTAATAGATTTAATTACTGTAATTTTTAAGACATCTAATATATTACCAGATTTTTCTCATGCATCTATAAGTGCTTATGAATTTAAACTTATCACACGCTCAGGGGACAACAACATCAAGAGACGACACATTTATTTAGCCTAAAATGCTTAGCCTGAAGAGGGGGGTGATCATCAGAGAAAATTCACAATACATACATGTTCAATCTGCAGACCTACATTGTCGCAAGATATAGAGACAAAGTATCACTCAACAGGGAATATTCAGAATTATATTTAGCACAGACAAATCAGCTTATTTTCCCTGTCCATATTATGGATAATTAATGTCCTCTTTCTTTTTTTTTACAAAACTATTTGTCATAAATTTTATTTTTAGGCCACATTAATTACGATTAATAACACATGATATTATTCAAAACTCCGTAAATGCAACAAGACCCCATTAAAAATGCGGTAACTCTGTGGTAAAATCCGTAAAGTAAAAGTTCATTTTGATATTGGCATCCATGGAGAGCATAAACGGGTGATGAAGATTCGTAGAAGTAGTTTAACAACATGGTTTTATTTCCATACCATCTTTACCATCTAATTTGCGGCAATTGTACTTTATCTGGAAACTAGCCAATATCTAAATAAAAAATGCAAAGATAAGAGCACTCGATTTTTAGTGCTCACAATACAAAACTATAAGCACCTCATTCCCTTGCTTTTAAAACAAAACTTGGTAAAATTGCCGCAATTTCGACGATATGCTTGATGCTAATTACTAAGATAATGAATGACCTTGATAGCACAGCTTACATTTCTAAGTTTACACAGGAAGAATTACGAGACAAGTTCGAAAGAGTTGTATCACATTTCTGTCGACGATTTGGGTCTGGACTTTCGTCGGCGCCTGGCAAGCTCAGACATCACAACCGGGCCGAGGTTAGGAGCCCTTGGGGACTGCAACATAGCTCGGTACGTTGCAGCAACAGCACCCTAAGTCAAGAAATCAATTCAATTTAAATTCTGAAACAAATATTATCTCCTTACCTTGATGTCTTGCGCTTTTTGAGGTTGCAGTTTCTGGCCAGGCAGTCCGTTAGGGTTGACCAGCCATGGATGCAAAAGCAACTGAATTAAACCATAATAAGACTTTTTTTGATGGTTTTGAGCAAAAGTAGTATACCTGTGTAGCAGTTGGCCTCCTGTTTGGATCCATGTCTAGCATTTTTGAGACAAGGTCCTTGGCTTCACTACTAATATTCCTCCAAACACCATTGTCCAAATCAAATCGTCCTTCACCAATCCTACCTAAAATTTGGTTTGCTGTGTCGCTGGTTGAATTTACAAACGGAGCTTTCCTAAATATTTGGTAATAGATTGTTACTATACTTGTGCACAGAAACTAAAACTCACCCTGCAAGCATAATGTAAAGAATGATGCCAAGGCTCCAGATGTCACATGCAGCGTCATAGCCTTGCTTTTTCAGCACCTCGGGCGCCACAAAATTGGCAGTGTAACAAGGTGTCATTAAAAGACCATTTTCTGCGCGCAGCTGTTTTGCAAAGCCGAAGTCACACAACCGAATGCCCTGTGGGTTCATCTGCGTTGTTGCAAACAATAAATTTGAAGGTTTCAGATCCCGATGAACCACCTAGGCCAAGATTTACTTAAATTCTATTCCTAAAGAAACCAGTGACCACACTTACTCCATTTTGATGCAAGTAGGAAACAGTCTGAACAATAACATTCATCACAGCCGACGCTTCGCGTTCCGAATAGGGGTGATGCTGGATTTGGTCCAGCAACTCTCCTCCTTTCATCAATTCCATTACAAGGTAGACTGAATTCTCATCTTGGTATGCCTGAAAGCAAGTAGATTTATATTAGTTTAAAAAGCTATTTATATTTCTGCAGTCAATCTCACGTCTCGTAATGTCACAATATTTGGGTGTTGCCCGTAACGTAAAAGTATATCTATCTCCTCATGACAGTCTCTCTTTGATTTATCAATTATCTGTAAAAATGAGTCAATTTATCCTTAGTTCATGTAATTTTGGCATTTAATAAAACATACCTTTACTGCATACTCCATTCTAGATGATCTGTGAACACATCTTCTGCACACAGAGTAGCTCCCTGACCCAATTTGCTCTTCAACTTCATACTCGTCTGACAACTTGTTGGTTTTTATATAGGAATGTTTGAGGGGCTCAGGCATTTTGTCTAACATCTGAGTCATTTGCAGTGGCATATCATCACCGTCCAATAGTGTAGGATCAACAAAACTGAACCCTCGGAAGAGTTCGTGTGCGTTTGCACTAGGAGGAACTCCAGGAGAATCTGGTTGAAAATGGTTTAAAATTTATTTTCAGTTGATTACAATAAGAGTACCTTTAGGAGTTTTTGATGTGTATTCTGAATCGAAACAGTGAGCATCGTCAGCCCTACTGACGGCAGGTTTGAAGGGAGGGGAAATTTCTTTATTGTACAACTTGTCCCAGTCAATAGTGGCAAAGAATGAATGTGCCTTGATTTCTTGCACTCCCTCAGGGCCTGAATAAAAAAAAACTGATCATCGATAAATTAGATAAAATACCAACAACATTACCTGCACCTAAACGATTTACAGGATTTCGTTTGAAGAGCACCCTCAAAAGCGCCTGGGCTTCAGGCGACAAGAACGCAGGCATTCCTAATTTGGCCTTGAGAATCTGGGTCATAGTTTCCTTGCGATTGCTGCCTTGGAACGGCAGCGCCCCTGTCAGCATCTCGTACTGCAATTCAAGTGTGATCAAGGGCTCTCGAGATGGAGGATGCGTAATAATGAGACCCACCATAAGAACTCCAAAGGACCACCAGTCAGCAGCAAATGAGTGTCCCTTACGGTTCACCACCTCAGGAGCCATGTACTCCACGGTGCCGCAAAAGGAGAACGCTTGGTCGTCAACAGGTTGCTTGCTCAAGCCAAAGTCGGTTAAGGAAATATGTCCGTCAGCGTCAAGAAGAATACTGAGAAAAAATGTCAGTACAAGATGAAAGTTGAAACAAAAAGATGTGCACACTTTTCTGGCTTGAGATCCCTGTAAATGATACCGATAGAGTGCAGGTGGTCGAGAGCAAGAGCCAGTTCGGCCAGGTAGAACTTGACGTCCTCCTCGGTGAACATGACCTCTTTGGACAGCCTGGTGAAAAGGTCTCCACCGCGTAGGAAGTCCAGTATGAGGTAGAGCTTGCCTTCAGTCTGGAAGGCATAGTGCAGCCGAACAATGAAAGGGTGCCGGACGTCCACAAGTATATTTCGTTCCACCTGGAACATAAAAAAAAAACTTATAAAACATTCCCTACAGAAGAAAATATAATGATAAGCTTACCTTAGTTCGAACGCGGTCCCTGACCTTCAGTGTGGCTTTCTTCAGCACCTTCATAGCATACAGGGTGCCACTGTCCAGACCCACGATTTTCCGCACCAGGAACACCTTGCCAAAGGAGCCCTGGCCGAGAACCTTGAGCAACTCAAACTGACTGGGGTCAGCTTTGTCATGGCCCTCTTTGACCACCTCCTGCAGCTCAATTTCGTGAGTTGAATCGCCATTGTGGTTTGACTGCAAAAAGATAAAAAAAAAATCAAAACCTAGTTTTATACTACAAAGCCTACAAAAATTAAAATAAAATATCAAATAAACCTTTACTTTATTAAAATAATATTTATTAAGGGGATGAAAAATACTATTTATAATTTTACTATATTTTTAAACCTTTTTTTGTTTATTTCTGTTTCCAATTAAATTATTCACTAAAAAAGGAAACTTGAGTAGACCAAAATTTTGGTTTCAATTGAAATTCATAGAGTGGCAGAAGAAAACACAAAACCAATAACCATTAACAAACTGGTCGAAAATCAATTTGCGCCGAGTGCACTTGCATTTGAAAAGCTACCGTGTTTGACAGCGCAAATTGAGTTCGCCACAATCCAATTTTGCTTTAGGCACCTTTTGAAAAATAAACTTTCTGCCTTCAATGAAGTATGTGTAGGAGCGTTATTTATACACGGATCAATAACGTTCCATTACGAAAATGAGCTTTTCAGATTTGACAAGCGACAGTGACTGACTGGCACATCCCTGAGCCATTGATACCGTAATTAGCGACTTCTTTGTTGCCGCCGGAGAGCACCGGCATTCTGCACAAATCAATATTTCGCCAGCCGCGCGCAAAAGCAACCGCGCTCGCATGCATTATCGCATTTTGCGCTCCACCAACACTGCAATCGCCCTTTTATATTTTGTTTCCCATTAGCAATGATATCGCCAAACCTTGACGGACTTATTAAGTCGATATTGGTTAAGGAAGGTTGTTGAAGCAGAGGCTCAAGTGCGACGCCTCTTGACATTGTCTGTAATAATTTCCAACTAGGCAATGCGTCACACTGTGGGGTCGGAATGCGAGAAAGCACGTAGGTGGTGCGAAATCAACATCTTTGAGTTCAAGATGCTCTTCTCAAGTGCTTGTTATAAATATTTAAAGGAATTGCTTGGATGGAGCAGAATGAAATTTTGGTATTGTATTTTTTTTTTAAATTAAATTTTACATTTAACAAGGAAATGACAACTATTTTTCCTCCGCTCATAAGGAGGGACCCGAATTGGATGATACAAGCAAAAATCTTTTATTTTTACTTTCACTGCGGATGAATGAAGCCATTCTCGGTGTGCTTATCCAACGTGGGGCGAAATGACGTGCCCTCTTTCCCTTGCGTCTCATCATCTTACTCTGCACGATGAGGACATGACAAGAACGGAAGAAGTCGCATAAGTGAGTTACCGATTTAGAACAAAGAAAGAAATAGTTGCATAAGACGAACGGCTCAACTTGGTCGCTAATTTTAGCTCTGATGGATTCGTTTCAAGACTCGCACGACGCGGCTTGCAAAAATCAATATGTGTCATTTGCACATCAAGACGTGCGTGTTGCCGTTCAATATGGCTTTCTCGGGACACTTGTTATGCATGTGTTTATGATGCGCAATTGCAAATAGTTTATCAATATGGATCAATATGGCTTCAATAAAATCTTTGGATAAGGGCAATATTTCATATTCTGACGAATTTTAAATTTGTATTTTTACGAAAGTTTATTTTTAAAAGAATAAAAATTTTCAAGCCTAAACTTTTAATTTTTTTTAACTTGAACGTGTGGCTGCTTTTGTGAACCGCGAGTTGCCCTTTTGATGCATTCATTTGCAAGATTGTCAATTGCCTTTGATTGAAACGCCCAGGCATTCACAACATGTCAAAGACATACCCAGCCAGAAAGGTGGCCGACAGTGAGTCATTGCAAATTTCACCGCACCTCCTAGTTCCTTGCAATATGAATGTCCGTCCACTCCAATCCCAAGATTCTTTTCTTCCAAAAATGCACCCCAGACACCAGTTCTGAACCCATTAAAAGCAATGCATGATAAAAAAAAACAGTAATTATAAGATTGGTGAAAATTGGTTTAAAATCAGTTAATGTTAATACACATGTAAATTTTTTTTTAAATTGATGCCCTTTGAAAATTTTATATTTAATTGAAAAAAAAATTAAAATTAATAATATTTACCATTACCACTAATAGTGATGTTGATAAATCATGTTTGAAGAAAAGTTCTTACTTGAAAAGCGGCAAAAACATGGCTTCATTTTTCAAAATTTCGCTGTAGGTCCGCTTAATGGGTCCAAATACCTGGCTGGTCAGCGTGCAAAGGACCCAAATGTTTGGCAGGTCAGCGTGCAAAGGGTCCAAATACATATTTCGTAATTTTACAGTAGAGGGGGTAAAAGAAGAAATACTGATATTTCAAGTTATAAATTATCTTGTACATTAAATCTCAAATATACTTGTTGGAATGAAATTATTGCACTAAAATCTATTAATTAAAGTTGAAAATAGTGCTTACATTATGATACACTCTTGCGTTTTGATTTTTTAATGCTAGATCAAAAAAGCGAAAGTTGAAAATTATATTAAAAAAATAGTTTTAATCATGGAATCGCAATAAAAATCACCAAAAAGGGTTAAAATATTTCCGGAAATGATATTCCAAGGTCAAATTTGTTTTATTTTACCTGGTACATATTAAACATAGAGGTTTGCGTTTTTTATTGTTATTCAGTACCTATTAAAAAAAATTTAGTAAATAGTTACATGAAAATCATCGCAATGGACCGTGCTTTTATATATTTTAGAGATAAAATTTGTTTAATTAAGGGTTGGCCTTGAAAAGAAGCATTTTTTGAAAAAATATGAAATAAATGTATGAAAAATATTTTTGAAAACCTATTTCATCTTTTCGTAAGACAATTTACCTTTTTGCGGTCATTTTCTTTCCAAGTTTTTCAATTTTGGTCCAGCGGTTACAAAACTACAGCCCTCGATGCAAACCCTTGTTCTAGGTAGTATTCTAGGTAGAATTAAACATATCTGACCTTGATATTGCCATTATTTTGCTAAAACGATCTAAATTGCATATTTCCAAAACAATCACAACAGTATTTTAATTTTATTCCTCTAATTTACATAAGCAGCCCTGTACATTGGTATATAAGCTATGGAGCCATTTAATTTGCATAAATTGATGCGTTAATTTAGATAATTTTTCTATTAAATTTAGTTAGTACCCATATTTCATGGGTCGAAATAAGTCAATTGGAATCAGTTTTCACGCAAATTTTTATATTGGTCAAAATAGTATTTAGCCCCTTTGGCATTTAGCCACTTTGGCATTTGGACCCTTTGCACGCTGACCAGCCAGGTATTTGGACCCATTAAGCGGACCTACAGCGATTTGTAACTTAAATTTTCAACTTAAATTTATTTGCTTTTAATACCATTTTTTAAACTTCAATTGCCCTGTTTTTAATCATTTTTGTCGCATCTAATAAAATCTTATACAAAACATGTGGTCAAATTTTTTGTTTCCTTCTATCTCGTGTAAAAATATGAAAACAAGACTACACGCTACGTCTTTCCGTGTTTATATCTCTAGCTTTGATGAATGTTAAAAATAACTATAAAGTAAACTAAAAACAACATTTCTACAGGGGAAAGCGAGGAGACTCACCTCGTTTGGGTCATCCACGACCATTTCCTCAGTACTGGCGACCTGCAAGCAGAGAAAAAGCGGAACTCTATAATATAGTTAGCCATTTAAACCAAGCTGCGTACACAAAATTACAGTAAATAAGTATTTACGCGCGAGCCAAGATAAACTTCGATCTGCAAAAGTGCGTTTCTAAGATTAAAAAAAAAAATGAGAGGAAATTGTGGCGAGATAAAATAATCGCGCGTGATTATTAATAAATATAATTATATAAAAAAAAAAAAAAATGAAACGGGCGAATTATCTGTGTGGCAAAAGTAACATAAATCAAATCAAACGCGCACGCCTTGTAGAATATACAGAGGCGCGGAAAAGATAAAAATATCAGGCGGAGCGGAAGACGAGGAAAAGGAGACCGTATTACGTTTAAGTAAGTGTCTTTTAGGCTTGCTGTCGTCGTTTGTGCTTTTCATTTTCTGTATCGTATTACAATGTTTTCAAAAAAAAAATTCCTCCGCGGGAGATATGAATATAGTAAGAATGCGGCAAAGCCACAAAACCGCCAAGATTAAATGCTCCAAGCACAACGATAATAAATAATACATTAGTTTTATGTTGCAATGCTCTGCTCAATTCTAGGGTCATTGGTTGGAAGCAGCAAAGTATATAACATAAAATAATTTATTAATTATTCAAATTTTTATTTAAATAAAGATAAGGTTCTCAAGTTCCAATAAATAAAAATATACCATTTAAAATTAAGTTTTTCCTCTGTTAACAAATTTTAGTAGGTTTTTGTTAAAATGAAAAAAAAACCATCAATTTAAAAAAAAAAAATTGATCTTCTTTTCGGTCACTGAAAAAATATGCAATAATTGAGGAGCTAAATTTCACATTTCCACTGTGTTTTTATTTAAATTTTTTTTTATTAATCGAAGTTTAAATAATTTGCAACTATTCACAAGTCTTAAATTTAAATAATTAAGTCCGTGTTTATCAAAACCAAATTTAGTTTTGTTTGCTTGCTTGTAACTAAAAATAACCCAAGAAACATAAACACCAATTTTGAAGCATGAATTTAGCTCCTATAAAAAAATATCGCTCAAAGGCCGGAATTTTCACCTTGCTTCTCTCTCGTTAGGGAAATGAGCAATTTGGCGAAAAATTCTCATCACGAGGTGAAAATCTTGAGGTGGAGTGCTCGCTGCTCCGAGCCCTTTTGAGCTTAATGAAAAATAAACACCGGCCAACGAAAGATAAAAGTGATAAGTTGTTGACTTTCAAGAAGTGACGTCCGCGGCTCAATTGCGTCTCCTTTTCATTTTGCCACAGGACGAGAATATAATCAGAAAATTGTTAGTTGATATAAGAATGAGCGAGACGTAAATTCGCAGAGGAAAGGCGTTGTCCGAAGCGAAACACGCACGCGGTCACGAGAGAATGAATGGGAATGAATGAATTCGAACAAAAGACTTGAATTTGAGTATTTCTTTCTCTCCATTCTCAATCCTCGTGCAAAATTTTATTCGCGAGAAAAATCGATAAATTATGCGCCACATTCCTCTCGCCACAAGTGACACGCAGAACGTGAGAACAGGAGCAAATTGATTAATCGTCTATTTACTTCCGAGTCTTCCTTGATCTGCACTTGCATGCGCTGCCATGGATCCGCCAGCACCGCCAACGGCATCTCCGCTCCTCAGCCTCTCTCTGGCGCGCTCACTGCAGCATCAACAACGCACCGCACATGAATATAACCAGTGGTCGGACGCTTTTCCTCTTCGGACACACGCGAATTCGATCCGGGGGCTGACTGGATGGATCGCCACTTGCTTGCGACTGCAGTCAAGTGAACACGAGCCTCGAGCTTGCGCCTTGCGGCGATTCCGATCCGCCAAACTTCACCAGGAATGGGTTGGTTGCTGCAAAAGCAAAAAATGAGTCGGTGCTCAAAACCGGTAACACCGACCGCTTTTCGCAAAATCGGTTCAGCTTCAGAAATTTGCACGCCAAAGTTAATGCATTCGGTGCGATTTTTCCTCAAAATCGTCTGCTCACCGGTTTTTAAGAAGTTTCAATCAATAATTCACTTTTTATGGCCAAATTTGAAGGTAATGGCTTAATTAATTAGATCCGTGAGGACCGATATAATGCACAGTTTGAATTCGCGGCCGGTGTGCAGGATTCTCACTGAAGTATGATTAAATAATATGTATAATAAAAATTAATTTATCAAAAATGTCCAAAACAAACAACACGATGTTAGTTCATTATTCGTCCGCTACTTTCACCTAGCGCAAAAATACTGAAACGCCCACCTGCTTGGCCTTGGCGCCGTGACTGTCTGTTTTGATTCGTTTTGATTTTTGCGGAGTTTAGTTGTTCGGTTTTTCAGTCAGTGTGATAAAGCTTGGAGATCAGGACCTGACTTCTTGAAATTTGTAAAAATTTTTTCTCCCTGTTCTTTTCTCCTCATTCCACACATAATACAACTGCATAATTATAATGGCAGCAACCTTTTTTGGTGAAATTGTCGAGCCGGCTTCAAGGGCCTGTTTTGATTTTGAGGAGGATAATTTTGAGGACGAGCAGTTGCTAGAGAAATGGTATATGTATATTCAATTTTTAAATCTTGGTAACTTGATTCAATTTTAAATAAATAACTGTTTTCGTTTTATGTAGTGAATTGTGCATTTCTTGGAAGACAGAAATCCCTAAGAACATCAAACTGCTTCTCATTTGTCAAGGACCAATTTCAAAAGGTATGTAGTTAACTTTAATTTAATTTTTATTTAAAATAATCTCCAAAATAAAATCATTTTAAATAACTTCAGCCTTTGCCGAGCACTATTTTATAGACGAAGGAAAATGCTGCGGGCAAGTTGAGAAGTCCCAACGATCTGTGAAAAAGGAAGCAGCTAAATTTTACAGCCTTTCCAATGATACTCTTGTTTGTGTGGCTACTGGCGTTGATGACACCCTCTCCACACTCTTTGTTGACCTCGTAAGTTAAGTGGATTGAAGAAAGTGAGCAAATTACAAAATTTTGCTTTTAAGGTTGCCTCAGTTGTGGATTTGGCTGCGAGGGTCATCATTATTTGCTCTCGACCTGCGTCACAATTCTTTGGAGAAAGCAAAAATGAGGAAGGAACCCTCAGGTGCCTGGCTGTTGCTGGAAAGACAGATGATTATGGCATAAAATGCAGCACACTTGAGCAGCCGAATTTCGTCTCTGGCGTTTCTGCTGCAGGCATGATTGTAGATTTTTAAATTTAAAATATGTTTTAATTGTGATGAATCAGTTCTCAGTTATTGCTGCTTGAAAAAGAAGAGTGCATGTCTGTTTGTGTGCTTTAGTGAAGATATTTCTGCGGTCATCGACTCACGAACCCTGACTCCGTTGGACCCAATTTTGATGTCGCCCTTGCTGCAACCTCTCCTCAAAGGCAACCGTCAAAGCAAAGTAAGTGGAATTTCCACAGGTAACATTTACATGTAAAAGTATTTCAAAATAAAATTATTCTGGCACAAGTTCATTTATGATTTTCAAACAAAAATTTTCTCTCGATAGTATTTCAATTCCTTGAGGCTGGCATAAATGTCTTCCATAGCTCTGTGATTGCCTTCCTTGTTAGGAGCTTGGTAAAACTTGCTAGGGTACCAATACCTTAAAAGTGTGTAAGCATAAGAGTTCGTGAAACTTATTTACGTCGTAACATACTTGCACAACTCTTTCACCGATGAAACATCAACAATCCTGTAGTGGAGATGTTGGTCAATTTTTGGCATGTATTTAGCTAGGAAAAGTCTATCCATGTACACAGTATTTCCAGCCAATCGAGCTTCACCTTCAAAATTAAATATTAAAATTAGTTATTGATTTAATTTGTTATTCAAGCAAGATCTGAGGTACCTTGCTTGATGCCATTTTCTTCAAGGAATTCCATAACCCATTTCTCTGCATCTGCCTCCGAGACTGTACTTTTCCTGCAGCTTTCAGTCAGTCCAGTCTGATAATTTTTTCAATCAATTTTTATTGCAAGCACCATCGGTACAAGAAAATTTACCTTCGAATGCTGGTTTGTGCACCATTCATTCATGTTGTCTAAAACATCATCCGATTGATGGATAACATACGACGGACCTTCTTTAACATTTTCCAGCTGACCGTCGCTAAGAAGACAGGCAAATTCCAAAATCTTGTCAGTCTCAACGTTGAGCCCACTCATCTGTGAAACAATACGAGCACGTTTTTTTTTGTCAGTTTGTTATTATAATTAACTGTACTAATTTATGCACCTCAAGATCAATCCACACAAGGGGATTTTTCAACGTTCTAGGAGCATCAATCATGGAATTGCCGGCTTTCTCCATTGTGCAGAATTTGCTACTGCTTATCCGCTTCGCTATGCCTATAAAATTAGCTTAATATTTAATAAGAAAATAATTTTATTTTCATGTTTCAAATTTAATACATTAAATTGTCTTACCCAAAAGCTTGAAACTATTGGAATAGGCTTTCAGAGAGTTCAACAAGAATTTGCTACAAAAACTACGAAGTGCCCCATGCTGTATCATAACACAGAATTTCTTATTTTGTCTACCCTCCTTATTTTGGCAAGGATTTTGTGTTAGTTAAAGCGGGGTGAAGCCGGGTGTACCACAATCAGCTGGCCAACAGCTGGCCCAGTTCTGTTGATTTTACGGAGGGGGAAGGGTCGTTGGGTCTTTTATTCCTCGCCCACTTTTACTAGTGGGTAGTAGAAAATGGAGATAAATATAAATATCTCAGTCACAAGTACTATTATTGAAATTAATTTAAATATTTACATGCTAATTTAAAAGATGTCAGATAAGATTTTTTTTGTCCAATTTTGTTTTTATTTCTGAAAACCATCAAAATATAAAGCTAAATATTATATCCTAATACAATAAAATGTAGTAAGCGCTTTTCTCTTCGAACAATATTCTGTGATGGAAATGGTTGGCGAGTACGGTTGATTCTTTAGAAAGTTCCGTGACAGCGGAATGATTAAATTTAACTCAGATTTTAATCAGACAGCAATAAGAAGCACAAAGTCTTGCTTTCACTCATGGTGTCACTTTCAGTCAGAGGTTGAATCCAGCTCTTTAACTCGTTGGCGCAGACGTTGTTGCTGGCGAGTAAGCAGAAGTCGTACCTGAAATTTTTTTTATTAATAACCAGCTCCTTGATCCAATTTAAAATCATTTCCGTACTTTATGATAAGTGTGTGACTGCTCTTCAAGCACTTTAATGTGGCTGATGGCCTCAGCAAGGATGGCCTGCTTTGTTGCAGTGGATTTTTCGTGCCGGAGTAAAGGTATTTGAATTCGCAGATGATCGAAACTTTGACCAAGCTCTGCGCGTCGAGAGCGCTCAGCAGCACCCTTCTGCACTCGTCTTGCAACCTCGGTGGTAGAAATTGAATTGCTCCTGACTGCAACCTGGCTGGTGCTGCGTCGTTTCCCTACCACTCCACCCCGGCGTGTACGCTTTGCAGGCACCACCACCAAAACGCCAGAATCTTCTTTTAATGGACGCAAAACCTATAAATTTTTCAATTATAATTATCATAAGTTTTAAAATATGGTGACGTAAAATACTGAAATCAGTGGAAAAAATTTAACCTGTTTGCGCAGATGGCACATTTTTGTGTGCTGTCTAAATTCGTGATCGAGCAAAACATTCAAACAGCGAGGACATTTTTTTGCAGAGTGTTCGTCCATTCGGTGAAACTCAAAATCGGCTTCATCTCCAAATTGCTGGTCACACAAGTGGCATGTGTAGGAATCCTTAATAAATGACAAATTTATTATTTTATATGTAAGAAGTGGAAACAAAATTGAAAATTTGAAGGAAAGTTTTAAAATTTTTTAATTTTAGAAGCATTAAATTTCAATATCATTTTTATCCTGCAACGGGTCTTTGGGGAAAATATTTTTTTCTGTTTCTAATAATAATAATATATTTTAAGAAATTACTTGTGCGATTTTAACAGCACAGTTTAACGAATAAAATAGTTTTTTTTGGACATTTTTGTATTCATAACCGAATATTGATCTCATTCAGTTAAATTAACTTGTGAAGCAGGCTAATTTAGTATCATCAGTATCATACCTCATGCTGTTGAAGATGAGTTTCATACTCGTCGTCTGTCGCCAGTGTTCTTCGACATCGAAGACAGGCACGTTTGTGTTCGTAACCAACATGACGCTCTAGGTCCTCAGTGGTGGAGAAGGTCCGGTCACAAAATGGACACTCAACACTTTCCTCCTCAGAACTCTCCTCCAAATTGACATCTTCCTACAATAATAAGTTTATTTATTATTAAATTAATTTTATCTTAAGGTCACCTGAAGTAAGTTTTTTTTCTGGGATAAAAAAAATGTTATGATTAAATTTTAAAGTCCATCATTTTAATAGAATTTTAGACTCACAAAATATGTAAACGAATTATTTAATCTTATTTAGAAAACAAAAATCCAAGCCTACGACAACAGCCTGATAGCCGCCCAGCTGTTATTGGTAGTAATGAGATTATTTATTTTATAATGGTAATGGAGACGGCGCCATGAGGGATAACTCCCTGCATTATAGTACCGCAAATTTTCAAAACAAACCTCATCAGCGGCGGCGTCAGCTTTTTTCGGTGCCAACGGATCGTCTTCGTCCTCCTCCTCCTCCCCATAAGTCGACGCGTCGATGGCTTCGCCGACGTAGCTGTTGCCTTCGAAGGCAGCGCCTGAAAGTGAGAGTTTTTAAAGCGACATGATGAGATGTTTTGAGCAGGGGGGCGTCCAAGCGGACGTGTGGCGGCTATACTCACTCATGTACACGTCGGACATCTCAAATTCGGTCGGTGGGGCACGTTATCCTCGGAGTTTAACGTTACAGACAGACGCACTCGTTGATTTCGCAACGCCCAATCTCAGCTGCGGGCACTGCGTGTCCAACCTGGGACACAGAAAGTGGGAGCACGTGGACGTCGACGGCTTCCCGAGTGGCCCTGCCGGGCGATTCCGAATCTGAGCTCGCTCATTGGTCGAGACTCGACTATCTGAAAGCCAAGCTCCAAGAGCGCTTCGTAGCGGACAAATAAGGAACTAGCGTTTTGTAAGATAAAACAATAAAAAAAAAAAACACCTTACAAATACACTGAATTATTTTTCATCCTTACGTTTTGTCTTCTTAATTTTTGTGTCAGTTAAAAAATAAATAAAATATCGTAAAATATATTTCAAGATTGATTTTAAAAGGTAAACAATACATAATAATATTCTTTTTGATTCATTTGTTAACTTTTTTAAATTACTTCCAATGAAAAAGTAGGTTTTATGAAATTTATTAAAGAAAGATGTTAATAATTAATTTTATTATTACAAGGCGAGATTTTCAGAACTCAGAAATTTCACAACATATTTTACCTTGGTAAAAATGAGCTTGTCAGCCAGCTGCTGATACCTGTTGACTTGCGCTTGAATCCTTTTTTCTCCTTTTTGTTGGAGGAATTCCGTTCTCCTCGACAATTTTATCATTGACCGGTCTGGTCACTTGGCCAAACACCATTCCTTTGCCCATTCTCCTCGCTTCTGAAAATTCCACAAAAATTTTAACCATAAAATATTGATGGCAAAAAAATCAACTCACGGGCGTTAAGAAGAACATTTCTCGTTGCATGTCTCATGCAATTTTTAGCAGACTCCTCAGACAATCCTAGCAAAAGTGCCCTGAAAAAAATCATTTTATTATGTTTTAACATATTAAGTTTCCTACAAATTAGCCACGTCGTAAGGTGAACGCAGGTGGTTTGGTGCAGCTGCCCCAGAAGTGAGTACGACGAGGGCACGTCCTCGGCCTACAGCATGAAGAGAATGCATAATTGCTATTGTGTTTCTCCTAGTCGCTGACGAGGACACTAAAGGCCAGTATTGCGCCTCAAAATAGACCCCTCGTTCTCTTGCCTGACGCACAACCTTTCGAGCCGCCTTCAGTGGGGCACAGTCTGTTGCATCAAAGCTAACGATGTCCACATCCATGGAGGCACAGGCGTGCTAAAAACAATTTTATATTAATATATTCATAAGTCAGCTTTTGAGTAAAAACTAACTTGAAACGCTTGAGGATTTAACGGCTGAACTGCTAAGATGTCATATTTCATGACAGCGTTGCTCTGGAACTAATCATAAATAATGCAATTTAATTTAAAATAAAATAAAAAAATTAAAAAAAATCCTATCACCAATTTGTGTGCCTGTAATGAATCAGCAATTTGCACTGTGAGTCTCTGGAGGATTTGCAGCCGACCATCCAGTTCCTAAAATAATAATAAACCATCAAACTAAAAACCATGTGATTAAAAAAAAATTGGATGCCTTTTTAAGGATATCAAGATCCAGAGGTTCAGGAATGATTTTACTTCCATCAGTTTCCCCTTTTTTGCCTTTTTTGGCAAATACATTTGCGTCCACCTCTGTGTTCACAGCGACTGTTTTAAATCCAGCTATAAAAAAAATAAACGTTTGGATTGGATTGGATGTGTGATTCACAATTGTTGCACTTTACCTTCAAGTGCGGCCAAGCACAGGGATCGCACGTCCGCTTTATTTGCCGGTCGCAAATTCAAATCACTAAAGCCTACTGACATTTTTAAATCGGTCGCTCTTTTGGTATTTTAAACTAAAATGCCAACGCTAGTTCATAAACAGTCATAAGTTAAAAATCAAATTTTGGCTTATGTATTTTCGCATGTAAACATGAGAAGCACGCTGGTCAGGGGGCGTGTCCGTTTGTTTTGATTTCCAGCCAAAAGGGGTAAATCAAGGGTAAATAGAAAGGAGAGAGAAGTATTCGCACAACCACAAACCACATGGCAAATTTCTCTTTCCTTGCCGAAAATTAATTTTGATTTTCCGTAAGATCTTGTATCGCTTTGAAAGATTCATAAATTTTGCAACTCTTTGATGAATTATCTACGTAGACCTTTCATGGGATGGAATAATACATGATCTTTTTTCTCGGCAGCAATCATATGTACTGACAGAGTTTTGAATTTGAGTTGTTTAAGAATAGCCAAAAATCACCAAAAAGTCGAAATGACGCAATGACACAGAAGAAATAGGAAGTCCTTTAGAAGCGAAAAAGCACAATTTTTCTTCAAAAAAAGTAGGAAAATGTTCAAATTATAATTAATTATTTTTCTCAAGGATAATAAAAACACTTCTTTAAAATAATTTTTCTTTAAAATAATTTTGCTTTCAAAATGTGGCTTAAAATTTTTTATTTGAATGACATGATAGTAATTAAAATATTGCAAATTCAACAAAATTTATGGCTGTCTTTATGTGATAGTGTCAAGAGGAGGATTCTTCAGAGGAAGAGGAGGTAGAGGCCATCGTTTTTTTGGTGCTGGTAGCAGTAGCGGTTCCTCTAAGCAAGGGAACTCTTGGAATGAAAATTTTGAAGAATCTGGAGGCAGTTTCCCCAGGAATGAGAGGAAAAATCGCCCACCTCCTGGACTTAGAGGAAGAGACATTGGTAAACACTCTAGCTACATATACATATAAAAAGTTTTGTAATAATTAATAAAAAATTTAGGAATGTACTACAAGAATCTGGCTTTGAAGAAAAGAGGAGGTGACTTTGCAAATTTTGAGAGTAGAGAAGGATTTGATCAAAACACCAAAAGAAAATTTCAACAAGAAGAATCAAAGAAAAAATTAAGAGTTTCTCTTGATGGTGCTCGTCAAAGTAGAATTTCTGAGATGCTGGCTGCTACCCCATTCGATGGTCCAACTGAAAGTTTTGCCTACCACGAAATCGCTGATAGTGAGTTCAAACGGCGCTTCTTAAAGAACTTGGATGGCAACTTGAAGGGAAATGGCGACGACTTGGTTTTCGACCCTATGGAGCAGGACATTGAGCTCGATCAGACCCTACAGAAGGAGCTCGAGAAAAAGCAACTTGACTTTCGCTACATCAAAATGAAGCAAGACAGAGCAAAGTTGCCTGCTGCTGACAAATGTGATGAAATTTTGAATGCTGTTCAAGAAAATCAAGTGATTGTCATCAGTGGAGAAACAGGTGATTGCAGCCCATATAATAATTTTTGCAAGCTTAAATATTCTTTAAAACTTTGACTTAAAGGTTGTGGAAAAACCACACAAGTTCCACAGTTCATCTTAGACGACGCTATCAAGAAAGGCCAGGGGTCAATGTGCAGGATTATTTGCACCCAACCTAGGAGAATCAGTGCCATCACAATTGCCCAACGAGTTGCGGATGAGAGAACTGAAAGCTTGGGAAAAAGCGTCGGTTATCAAATCCGTCTCGAAAAGTGCGTTCGAAACATATAATGTTATATTTTTGTTTCAATTTAATTTTTCTAGTGCCATTCCTCGTAAAAAAGGCTGCATTCTTTTCTGCACAACAGGCATTTTGCTCCAGTTCCTCCAATCAGACCCCAATCTAACACACACTTCGCACATTGTCATCGACGAAATTCACGAGCAGGACATTCTCAGTGACTTCATCCTGACCATTGTCAGAGACCTGCTACCCAGAGTAAAATTTTTTTTTTCATAATTTCACAATTTACTTATCGCTTATTCCTTAGAGGCCAGACCTAAAGGTGATTTTGATGAGTGCCACATTGAATGCAGAATCTTTTTCCAAGTATTACCACAGATGTCCAATGGTCCATATCCCTGGATTCACTCACCCTGTCACTGTCTATCACTTAGAAGATGTGCTCAAAATGACAAAGTAGATAAATTTAAAGGCAAAATCAATTTTGCCATTAACCCTTTGCTCAGTTTTAAAGTCCAGAGCAAGGCAAGAGATCGTCCCAAGTGGACCAATTATACTGCCGATGGCAAAGAAAGGCGGAGAGCAAATGACGAGTACAGTGAACTGATGGGCCCTTTCTTAAGGTAATTTTTCAGTCGCGTTTTTTTGTACTTTTGTAAAATTAAATTATAATTTGCAGACATCTGAAATCCAAGGGAACCTATCCTGATCATGTGCTTGACTCGTTGAGTTTGCCTGAGTCGGAGGAAATCAATTTTGAGTTGATGGCAAGTCTAGTTCAATACATCTGTCAGACTCAGCCTGAAGGTGCTATTCTGATATTCCTGCCTGGCTGGGACCAAATTTCCAAGCTCCACAAGATGATTACGGAGAGCAGCTTTTACTCTAAAAGTAAAACTAATTTATTTATTTTCCGGAAATTTAACTTGATATCCTTAAATAATATTATAGGCAGGTTCCAAGTACTTCCTCTGCATTCCCAAATGCCCACTGTAAACCAGAAAGAGATTTTCTTGCGACCGCCTCATGGTGTTCGGAAAATTATCATTGCAACAAACATTGCTGAAACTAGCATTACAATTAATGATGTTGTGTACGTCATTGACTGTGGAAAAATCAAGATGAAAAATTACAAAGTAGAAGAAAATATTCAAACGCTACAGCCTGAATGGGTCAGTTTTGCTAATGCAAAGCAACGGAGAGGCAGGGCTGGACGGTTAGGATTATGCATGTAATTGTTAAGTTGTTAACATATTATCTTAGTGTACAACCTGGAGTTTGTTACCATCTTTTCACCCAGAGGAGAGAAATGACATTAGCCTCCTACCCTATTCCTGAAATGTTGCGAAGTCGACTGGAGGAGGTGATTTTGCAAGTAAAAATACTGCAGTTAGGGAAAGTGGCGCCGTTTTTAGAAAAAGTCATGCAGCCTCCTAATCCGATTGCCATTGATCATGCCCTAGAGGTATTTTATTATACAGAAAAATATTTTTTTCTCATTGCATTTATGATTAGCTTCTAAAAGTGATCAGTGCTTTAGACGAAGATGAAAACTTGACCCCTCTTGGATTTCACTTGGCTCAGCTTCCGATGGATCCGCAGTTAGGGAAAATGATCCTCATGGCAGCATTATTCCGTTGCTTGGATCCAGTACTGTCCATTGCTGCCAGCCTAAGTTTCAAAGAACCTTTCAATCTGCCATTAGTAAATTATTGTTTCAAACTAATCTTGAATATTTATTTACTAATTTTTCCGATGCAGGGTTTTGAGAAAAAAGTTGACCAACTTAAATTTGAATTGTCCAAAGGACAGAAAAGTGATCACTTGGTCTTGTCTGAAGCAATGAGGCTCTGGGAACAGGCAGACACAAGAGGAGAAGGCAATAGCTTTTGCAGGAGAAATTTCCTATCTCTAAACACACTCAACATGCTACAGTAAGCTGTTAATTTTCCCCAAGGAATACTAATGCAGTTTTTTTTACATTGTTTTAGTCGAATGAAGTCTCATTTGGCAGAGCACTTGCAGAAAATGAAATTCGTCAGTTCATCTGACCCAAAAGATCCTGATTTCAACATCTACTCTAAAAACTATGCTCTTGTAAAAGCTGTCGTGAGTGCAGGACTTTACCCAAACATTGCAATTCTGAAGTGTGTGACTTATTTAACACAAATTTGTAAAACTGACTGGTGTTTGTAATTTTTTAGTAAGGTCAGAAAGGAGAAGAAACTGCTGAAAACTGCCACTGACCGAAGAGTGTGTCTGCACCCTAAATCTGTCAACAATTTCCCTTCAGAATTCGAATCACCCCTTTTTGTCTACCACCTGAAGCTTAAAAGCGCCACGGTCTACTTACATGACTCGACGATGGTGTATCCCTTGCCTCTGCTCTTTTTTGGAAGCAGATTGCGCCAGCAGCCAGAAACTACACAAAATTCCACTGAACTCGCAATGGACCAGTTTGAGTTTCAATGCTCAGAGGGAACAGCAAAGTTGCTCATGGTAGGTTATCATGAATGATATTTTTGGAAAATCGGCATGGAAATTTGTAAATTTTTGTTTGGTAGGAATTGAGGAAAAGGCTGGATTCACTTCTCGAATTCAAAATCACCCATCCTCACATCATCGAATGGAGAAATTCTCAGTCTGCAGAGAAGTCACTGGTTCAGTAAGTAGATTTTTCTTTCATTATTTATTATGGTGTTTAACATTTCACTGATTTAATAGAGCTATTGTGGAGCTAATTTCAACCGAAGATAAAACAAATCAAATGGGTTTTCAAGATTATCCAGATGATGACTCAGAATGAAGGATTTCAACCTTCCATGAATTTTCAACTCTTTCTTTCATTAAAAATATAAATTAGCATTAAACTATTGGTTTTTAATCTGATCGAGATTTGCTCAAATCATATTATATATTGTTATATGAAGCAGGACAAAAGCAAAGTTTTTTTTTATAATTGACGTCCTTCCTTTGTTCCTGTGGTGCTTTCTTTAACCCCGGGGCGCATATACAGGGCAATATTTCTTGGCTGGTTGGAGTGGTGTACAATGGAAAAACTATACAAAGAGGGCTGGCCGCTGCTCGCGCAAGCCGAAAATGATGTCACCCGGCTCTGATTTATTTCGAGAATATTATTTATAAGCTGGCACGCGGAGGAATTGTGTTTTCACTCCTCTTTTATTACAGCGGCAATGAATCAAAGGCGAGAAGTTTTCAAGCAAATAATTCTGCTGGCGCGGTCTTGCAATTTCAACGTGTTTATGGATGTGGGTTGAACATTTTTAGCGAATAGAACGTTTTTTTCACTACCATGTAAATAGAAAGAAGAAACTTACTTAGAAACCTTTTAGATACAATTGCTAATTGGAATGGGATTTTGCTTTAATTATTCTTGCTACACCATGAAAATCATTTCCAACACCCATCGTCGGAGGTGGTTGGTATGGACCAATAAATAACTGGGGTGCCTGAGTCCCGTGTAGAGCGCTTGGCTCGTGTAGCACGCAAACGTGATTTGCTCTCCGAGCTGCTACAAGGCAATAATGAATGGTTTATTTAGCATGAAATTGAATATTTGCATCCGCACACGGGAGCAATTTTACGGCTTCACGCACGACGAGCCATGCATTCCTTTATCTCGCGGCCCATTGTGCACGATTGGCTAGAGGCCAGTGGTTGGTTGCAATCGACTAGATTGTAGATTGAGCGAGCGCGCTATTCTGAACCCAAATGCAAAATGATGCATGCCTGGAATATCTGATGATTTTTTGCATATAATTTTTTATCATAGATAATTGTCAGGATTTTTTTGGTTAATTTTATGTAAAATATCATTAATTAAAAATTCATCAGGATGAAAATTTTATTAATATTTGGAGTGAACCGTTTTTGTAGTATTTTTATTTTTTATTCTGCCACCTTCTACAAAAGGTGATATTCTTGCGGACAAACCCAATGTTGAGTAAAAACATTCCAAAATAAAGCAAAGTCGATTCCTCCCTTGAGTGCTTAATGCGCCGTTGTGCCCTCCCATTTCACAAGAGTGAAGAGAGCGGAAGGCTCAATGAAAGTTTCAGCGCTTTCGCCAGCAGAGCTGGTTTGCTTGGCAGCTTTTTCCCCTACACTGGAAAGACTCTTCATTTTTCATCAGCGCCTACACTAGCAACTGGAGATTGGTTTGGTCAGCCTAGCACAATAACTCTGAGAGAGACTGCGATCTCATCGCCGATTTATTGCTGCACGATTTCAGCCTGATGGCGAAAGGGGTCCGTCTGGCCAAAGGATAGGCTCGCTTCAGACGCACACATATAACCGCGATAAAATCAGTTATTGCCTCGTCGCCTTGCTCAACCTGTATTGCAGGTTTTATCAGAAGTACAGAAGCAAAGTAAGCAGACCGTACCATCAAATATATTATTAAATTATTTAAAAATAATAATTTTTAATTTCAAATACCATTTTTTTTTATCAAGATTGCCGCCTCGGAGGCCGTGCGACGCTCATAATTGTTGTCAATCAATCTGGCCGCTTCACTTGGCGCGGCGTGGTGCCACCATATAACTCGCCATCAAAAAATTTCCAGCGATTTTCATGCGTAGAAAATACCTTGCTCTCGTCTGTACAAAAATTTTCCTGCTGGCTAGAACTAGGACTGTGGAAGTAGTTCTTTTTAAATCCTAGGTTTGAAAGAACTTTAAATGTAATTTTTTTTATTTTAGAGGAGTAAAATCTGATTCAAAGTATTATTTTGTCGTCAAAGAAATTTGTTATAATTTTGTCAAAGAGAAATTTTTGTGTATGAAATTTGTTGATTATATAATGCAATCTAGTATATTAATATTTTAGAATTTAACAGATAACACTGCATTAAAGAATGGTTTACAAAAGCACATGTTTTACCTCTTTAATTAACTAATTTATCTAGAAAGTTTGAATAGATTTTAATTTCAAGAATTAAGATAAATAATGCAAATCGCAATTTGGATACCAGTTTAGCTTTATTGAGCATTATAAGAAAATTAGATCATGGTTAAAATTTAAATCATATATGTCCTCGCCATGTCCGAAGTAAAATGGAAAAGTCGATCAACGTTTTCAAAGTTCTTTTTATACCGGCAGCTGTTGAGATGAAATAAAAAAATTATATAGCAATCCTTTCCCATTATTTCGGATTTTGAAATTCAAATCATGTTCATCCCTGCTCTCGCAAAGGACCGATGGTCAGCCGCTTTCAGCAGGTCTTTTGCTGCTGCAGGCCACGCGGATTTGTCCCAACACGACATTCAATCAACACGATTTGCATATCAGCATTGAGTGGATTTGCATACCCGGCCGGTCTGCTCTCAGGGCACACACAGTGCCGCTCATTACGGAGACAAATACGAGGCCGTGTGTGCCGTTGGAATGAAACAAAACGAGCACCTCATTTTTACTGCTCAATGGAATATGATGTGAGGCAGGCAACTTGCACGACGGCGCTGTCCGGCCGGAAGCCTAAGCTGCCCCTGACTGATTTGCCATAAATATAAAATCCGATAAAATCAGCGAGGATAAAGGTTAAATCATTTCATGATTCAAATTTTATGCTAATCACAATCTGTCTCTTATGAAAAATTATTGAAATCTTGAGCTTCATTATATATTTAGCCTGTATTTAGCCTTTCCCAGATTATATAAGAAAATACACGAAAGTATAAAGTATTATTCATTACACAGCTGAAGATCCAGACGCTCAATTGCAATTGTCTTAGAGACAAAATCAAAGTTTTCATATACGACGGTTAAAACTTACAAGCTTTTTTTCTCTATAATACTATTTTTTTTTACTTCCTTCTGGCGCAAAGCAGGAACTTAAATGGTGAACATGAACAAACATTTATTTTATGTTGTTTGGAGGCAAAAAATTGCCCATGCTAAACGCTTGGGCGCTCTTTGGTAGCATCAGCTGTTGAAAGTAGGTCGTACGAATAGGTGGTGCAGAAAGGTGCAGGCAGCGAGCGGCGTTCGTTTCTTGCGCAAACTTTGAACTGACGACTGATTGATTTTGCAGCAGCTCAATCATGTTTAATTTATTAGTCCATCCCCTAGCAAATTTTAAATGAATTATGATTTATGATAAAAGTGTAAGTAAAATTGTGTGCTTGTGAATTTGCTTTTTCACTTAGAAAGTTAGAAATATTCAATATTATGAGCAGACTTGCTGAAATAATAAAATTTTATTTCTCTCTCACATAGATAATACAGGAGGTATTTTTCTTTCTTTAATCAGAAGATTATAGAAGATTTTTTAATACACTCCATAATGCTTTTGCCATGTTGCTAAATATTTTTTTTATAATCTATTAAAATTTGGCAACCTGAGATTTTATTTTTTATTTTTACTGCCATCTATTTACAAGAATATTAATGAAAAACAAAACCACCAACAAGAGCCTAGTTTAATCAGTGGCGTAAGAGGACTTTAGTTGTTGATAGTGCAGCCTGGACGTGGTTAATCTGGCTTGATTAATTTGATTACGCCTGCTGTTCAAAGTGTCCGAAGCACACGCTCACGTTGCTGTTTCTTGGGCAAACAAGAAGGCGGCCGTCGGCTATTTATAGGAAAGCGGACGACTCAAGAGGCACCCCCGGATTACAAGCTCCATTCCGTCTCGCCGTTGGATTAACAAACGCACACATTTCTCGCTGAATGAATTGCATATAAATAACAAGAGCCAAAAAAGCAGTGCTGTTTCAGATGCCGCTCGCTTGGACGGAAAAATCTGGTAATTGGAAAAGTTGCGACTGCGTTTGCATGGCGGCGGGGTCAAACATCCAACGGAAATAATGAGCAAAAGTTGCGCCGGCACGATCCTTTTATTACCAGCGGCTGGAATTTCAGGCGTCCAAGTGACGTCCCCAATTGGCTTATTTGGCGCGTGGATATTGCACCGAAGGTAACTTGCTCGTTTTTATTGAGTTTATTGTCCAACGAGCCTATAAATTACCGCGCAGGAAGAGACAACTGAAAATTAATGAAAATATTTTGTTCCATGGGTTAGACCAAAAATAACAAACCCCTAATTTAATAGTTATCAATTAAAGATTAAAGGACACCAATGAATGCCAATGGATTAAATTTTTTCATCATTATTTGGCGCAAATATAAATAATTTTATAAATTGCAAAATGCATAGCAAAAGTAATTTTCTAAGGTTTGAAAAAAAAATATAAAAAATTGTCAGGGGGCTAGGGAATAATATAAATACATCAAATTTTATATAATGAAAATTTGCTGATGATACAAAAAACTAAAAAAAAAAGGTTTCAAAACTTAAAAAAATCAAACTTTATAATTTAAAAATCTGTGAACTAAAACAACAGTTTTAGCAAAATTCTTGCTGGTGATGGTCTAACAATTGCATTTTTTTAATAAATAAATTGTTTGCAATAAATGAATTTTAATAATGTATTTGTTACAATGTGGACAAATAAACAACAATTACAGTAAAAATTTTTCAATTTCTCTGCGCCTTCAATGTATAGTTTTTATTTTTAGCATCTTTGTATGGAATCAAGAATAAATAATAAAAAGGAAAGACAAGAAATGTAAATAGAACAAAATAAAAACGGAGAATTATCTTGAGTGGACGATGACGAGATAACTGTAAAAACCGTAGCTAGGTTGTTTTAGGCTGTATTAACGTGCCCAATTCACGCGGGTCGCTCTTCCGTCCAGTGAGTAAATTGTGAATCAATTTGACCCGCAGTTATTTTGCTGCGGCTGGCGGTTTTGTTAATTCAAATGGTGTCCAAAACTCAAACACCATCCCCGCAGCTTGAGCAAACATTTGTGTTTACCACCGTGTTTGATTGAAATTTCATCCCTGCCGCCGTAAGTGGAGGCGCGAGTTTGATCGTGCAACTACCTCTGTGTCGGCATTATTATCCACCCACCGAGAATGCAAATTGACTTCGATTAATTGCAAAATCACTTCATTTGCAAACGTCAAATCCAACTATCTCCTCCAGGCTCCATCCAATGAACATTAAAATATATTAAATCTATAAATGATATATTGTTGGTAGATGTAAAAAACAGTGTGGAGGCAGGTGTGTGGTTAAATTTCTCTCTTCAAGAGATCTATATATTGAAGGGGGTGGATATATTGAACATAATACGAGTTGAGCAGTTTTGAGGACCACAGTAGAAGAGGAAAGTAGACAAAAAGTTGTCGGACGAGGGTTATTGAGGTTGTGTTGAAACGAAATCAAAAGTTTCCGGTGTGTACGGCAGCATTTTTCACTCAGCCTGCAGGAAATAACGGGGCGAAGTGAGTGCAGTACGAGGAAAAAGCGGGCGAAACTTTTTGATTGAGCCTCTCACGACGTGCAGAGAGCAGCAGTCCGCGCCGACGGCGGTGTTGAATTACATTACCTGACACACACTTTTATTTACTGCAGTCGGTGGATCAGCCGCGGCGATGAGCGAAACCGCCGCTGCGAATTTTATTTCCTCAGCAGGAAATTAAAAAAAGGCAGACACCGGCAGACACTGCAGCACGTCTGGAGTTTTGTTTCGAGGTAAATTCAAAATTCAAAATAAAATTCAGTTCAAGAGCAATGCAATTTCCAGTAAACTTGTGATTATTTGCTTTTGTTTCATGTTTAATGCCAAGGAGAGTTTACTACCTACAAACTAAAATGGTGAATGGAAGACTTATATTTATAAAAAAAATTAATTTTCAATACAAAAACTACTTTTTGTTATTTTTTACTTAATATCATGCCCAAGAGCCAAGAGCATTCAAAACATATGCAAATTTTTAAATAATAATGAATTGTATAATAAATTTTAAATAAAAAAAGCACAAGAAATATATATTATTATGTACACTCTCGACAAAATCGTTTTAATTGGAGAAAATAATTTGATGGATGAATCACTTGAATTAGAATTAATTTTCATACTTTGGGAAGTACAATATTTCTATAAATATATGTTTAGGACACTACTGTGTTTTTTAATGAAAAATTGTGTTGCAAGTCCCTCGATCATAAAAATTCCTATACATTAATACACATAGAGATTAAAATTCCGTGGCATGAATTTCCTCTTTTTCACCCAGTACCCAGGACCACAATTTTACCACAAAATTTATTTGATTTTTGGTTCGTTGCAACTTTGTGGTTATCGAATTTAGCTTCTAAGAAATTATTGATTTCTTGCCAATAGTTGCCCAACTTGCTACACTCACTATGCTTGGAAGAAGGTACAGCAAATTGAACGCTGCTTTTGGCCTCAATCTCTTCTGCAGACACGCGGCCGTAAATCAAGAACACTCATGCAGGGCGATAAAAAAAGTATACATTTTCTCAGGCATAAAATACGAAGCCACCAGCAGTGCATATAGATTGCAGAGATTTCAAAGTTCTTTTTTTTACTCTATTCAATCGCGGAATTTTGGTACACACAAACCGGCAATAAATATATATCAATGACGATAAGAGTAAAGTTTGGCTGGCCAAAGAAACAAATCTTGAGCACACAAATTAATCCCGGCAGAAAAGGAAAGCATCGATCTTGAGTTCGAATCATTATTGTTTTCCCTGAGGAGAGAGACGATATTTTTCATCCAATATCGCCGCAAGTCCTTCCTCCGTCCGAGAAGCAATTAAAAAGGCTTGGGCAGCTTTAACGATCGGCTGTAAATTCGCCTCACGTTGGACTGATTTGCTCGCAACTAAATTACGCGCGGCCTCTGCCTCCGGTAATGAAATAAAATTAGCTGTCGGTTTGATATTCGGCCATGCGACATCTGAAATTTCGCGAGAGGCAGACGGATGGACTCCTCTTCGGGCCGGGCGCTAATTACATTTATTGGGTGCTCCCTGATGAATCAAAGCCCGTATTCCTTTGCTCTCTCTTGACGTCGCCGCCATATCGAGCACTACTTCCTCTCGAAGCCAAATTGCACTCAAGGGGCGCGTCTCTCTGATATTTGGCTCTTAATGGAGGGTTCTTGTAATTATTGCATAGTCATTATTGAAGTGATATTATTTTAGTTACTATGTGGATTTAATAAAAGTATTTCATAATTTGAGGTTTTCTTTGAAATTATAAATTATAAGAAAAACAAAGGTTAACTATTACTTGAACCTGCTTCAACCTATAATTTGTATTGAATAATGTTACGATAAAATATTTTTTTTTCTAATTTTAGTTTTAATTAACTTTTATCAATTGGCAAAGGAAAAATATTCAATTAATTTTATTAAAATATTTCATAATTTAAAGTTTTCTCTCATATTTTAATTTGCGATTAAAAAAAAACAAGGGTAAAATATATCTTGAACCTAATTAATTTGTATTAATTGAATGATGTTAGGATGAAATATTCATAATTGAATTCGCATGAACCCGCCAATTCTGATTGCACCACAAGCAGCTAAAATAATTAGCAAATGGAGGCAACTTAACAAAATAAAAACCCTGTAAATTTTATAATATGGACACTCTTAAAATCAAAGATTGATTAATTTTTCAACTTCGAAATTTTTTTCTTATTTAAGACACTAGAAATCAGAATTATATAAATAATAATCTTTGGGATTCATTTCCACGGGAAAATTTGTTTTATTGGCACTGCATTATTGTTGTTCCAGGTTCCAGTCTTCGCGCTTTTGTCTTTTGTCGGCCGTCAGACACTTCAGCCAGTTGAATCACGGGGTGGATCGTTCGTTCAGTTTCTTTTTTCCTCAAAGAAGTGTTTGCGGGCCGATAAATATCATCCTTCAAGAACGTTGGAAGTCCTGAGGCCAGGGTCGAAGACGGGGTTTCGGGCTTAAAACGTACCCAAAACCGACCAGTGTCCGAATTCCAATGAGGTATGTACAGTTGTACACAAAATTAATGTTGACATGACACAAATTAAACATGCACATGGCATACAAAGTTTTGGTTTTGATAGCCTGGTATAATTATGATTACCAATTTCATTCAATTTAATTTCCTAGGAAGGAAAGCTGCGCCAGAGCAAAATTCAAAAGATAAAAGAGGCCAACATATCATGCACTTCGGCTGGAAAACCCTTCAAATTTCTACCATTTTCAGGTGTGTAGTGTGTATTTTTCATGCTTTATGTAGAATTACAACTCTGGCCCCCTCGTTTTAAGGGTCAGGGCAAAAACCCTGGTCCCCAACTTTTGGATGCTAGATTGCCTGGCACCCTGGTTTACTCAGTTTACTTTGACTGGCGTCGGCCCTCACCCATGGAGGCCTCGTCGGTCGTGGTCAAAGAGGACGATTGACCCTTCACACAGGTTCCTTTCTTTAATTCATCATTATGGCATTTTCAACTGTTTTTCTGCTCTGATTAGCATTTTGCTAATCATTTATTCACAATTCCTCTTAATAAATCAATTAATTCAAATTTCGGTTTCAGAAGGAGCTGTGGAAGACAGATTTAAAGGCAAGACTGCAGAAATCAATGGGAACGTTTTGAAGACAGCCCCCCAAATTAGGAAAGCAAGCCGAAGTAAACCCTATCATCTTCAGCAAGCTGGACATCATAGAGTCACCCTGCTCAAGACCTTCAACAAGGTTAGTGCTTTTTTTATTTATTTTAAATCTAAATTTAATTTTTTTTTCTGCACTTAATGGGTTTAAAATATGAATTGGGGACAAAAAATGGAGGTGGGATAAAAAAATATTTATCCTGGGACAGCGAGATAAAATTTATCCCTCTAGATTTATCCCAGTATATCTTTTATACTGGGAGAGCTATAAGTATTATTGAATCTCTACCATTAATTACAACGTTTAAAAAGTACTTATTAATTATAAAATATTCAAAATTCTATCTATCTTAAAAGCATTTTTATAACTAAATTTCTCTGCTTCAAATTTAAAAAAAAAAATGCAAATTTAATTATCATGTCATTGGTTGTTAATTATACACACTTCAAGTCTCTCGCACTCTGCACGGATATTTTCATGGCTCATAATTATTCATTATAAGCTTGGGAAAAAAACTTATTTCAAAGTTGACATCAGCTCCATTATCAACAAATTTAACAACAGGAGAAAATTTTACTATAGAAAAATCTTCTGCATACACCATATCAAATAATTTTTTCCACAAAGTTAATGTTTCATTATTTTTTACATGGACTAAGTCTTCCCTTTTCAAAATCAGGAAGGTGAGATTATACATCATGGATGTTTGAATCAGTTTGAATGTGGACTGATGTAAAAGTTTCATGTGGACACTCTTCCCTGAATTTGGCGGAAGCAATCGAATCTCAATTAAAAGCCTCACATAATGTACCGACGCGTAATCCGGGCGCTCCGAATTTGGCGCTTTTACATCGCATGCCATAAAATGAGGCCGAAGCGAAATTCCCCTGCGCCTTTCCGGCTGGCACGCGCGTTTCCGAGAGGACCAAAAGCCGGCGCGAGTGTCCATTAAAAGCGGGTGAGTCGGACTACTCGATATCAGCGGCCAGCGTGGGCGATAATAATATTTCAGGCAGTGGCTGGGGCGCAGAGCAAACAAATCACGGGGCCAAAAACAAGCGGGTTGCCGCCTCCGGAAGAAGCGGTCGGTGCATCAGGTGCTGCTCGACTATTCAGCCGACCGGTTGCATAATGGGCGCCGCAAACCTCCTCTACTCTGACTGCAAATTCGAATCGAGCTCAAAATCTGGTTTAATAAAAACGATAAAATCCAAAGAATCGCAGAAAATGGGTATTTCTGTAGGTTCTGTTAGGTGGAATACTTGGAAAAAGTGTTCTCTTGGCAAGTTTCTCTTTAATCAGATTTTTATAAGCATGTGAGGTTTTTCCTTTCTTGTAAGAATTTGTGTTATTTTTAGGTTCTAAAAGAAAGCCTTTGTTTTAAACAGTTTTAAATAACTTTTCTTTTGAATATATTGCCGATGCCATTAAAATGATAATTAATGATTAGAAATGGAGTAATCTTTGTTGAAATATGAATATCAATTTTAAAGAAATGAAGAGATTGGGCTTTTCATCATTGCGAAAATTGTTTTTATTCAAAAACAAATGGCTCTATGAGTTTCGGTCACTATTTCATCAGCAAGAAAATTACAAAATAATCAGCAAAATTGAAAAGCACCTCAGCAAGCAATGCGTTTGCTCATGAAATAGGTTGGTACTTGAATTTGTTAGTTTTAAGATTTTATTTTTTATGTTAAAATGTGGTGTTTTTAAAATTTGCTGACTTTTGTGTATTTTTCTTGCTCATGAAATAGGGTCTCTTCATTTCCATGGTCATCTCCTCAAGTGTCAATTTCTTCAAACAAATTAATTTAATTTAAAAAAAAAACATGAGCTCTACCAGTATTTAATCGTATTTCGTGTTGAAGATAAAGAAAAATAAAAAATAAACCTGCAAATTTTAAATCCAAAATATGAAACAGCTTTATGAAAAAGAAAGAATTAAGATTGAAAGAATGGGATAATTTTAAGTTTCTTATTTTTTCTTCAACTATGCAAATTTTTTCTAGAAATAGGGTCACAAATTGTGATTGAATCCGTTTTGTTTGTAATTAAAGAATATGTTTTGAACAAGGATTTCCACGATTTTCACTTCATGAGTGTCTTTCGAGTACATATCCACTTCCACTCTCAAAAATACTTTTTCACGTTTTTGTGTCTATTTCATCTGATGAAAAATAAAACGATCGAGTGCCTTGTTTGATTTGAAAGGTTCATTTGCGGCTTTGGAGGATAATTGCGGCAGCGAGGGTGCGGGCGGGTGTGCGCTTCGGCGGGCGTGCGCATCGACTGGGCGCGCCACGCGGATTCCAAGGAAGGAAGGGTCGGTCGACGGCTCAGTCTGCGGGCGCCGACGCTTCGCTCCACACATTAATCTGCCGGCTCGTCGTTTACCGGACCGGTCGGGGTGATTACGCGAGTGTCTCAACCGTTTCGCCGCCCGAGCCAGCAGCCGGACAGCAGGTAAGCCAACTAATGGCACCCATACACTCCAATTGCACACCGTTTTCCGTAGAAACAAAAGGTCTTTTTGCGTTGTTTCACTCGATCGAGCGTGAATCAATTGGCCGTTTTTATCTACACGACTTTTTTTCCGAAGGGAAAATTGCGACGGCAGATTGTTTCTCTCTTCGCCCGACAAACAAATAAATGAACCAACTTTCGGTCGGTTTTTTTTCCAAGCACCGCCTGTTCTGAAAACTTTGCGTTGTAAAAAAGAAGCCAGAAATAATATCATTGTTAATTGGAGTTGAAAAGTTGCTGCGTTTGACCACTTCACATTATTATTTCGAAACTCGAAACAGGGCGACCATGTGTTGCGAAACGAGTCGTAAAACTTTCAATACCGGGTTGATACTTAACGAATTATTCCATTGTGCACGACTTCCGCTTATATCGAGTTCTCAAGACTATGTATGCAGCCGGTGCGACGGTTACGTCCAGCTGGCTGCATAAGCGGCCCACGTTAAGGCGCTTTGCAGAGCTAAACAGTTCTAACAGTAAGGCGATTTTGTTTCGAGGAAAGACACAGACATCGTTCGTTCGTTCTGTAGTGCTCTTCATTATGCTCGGCAGCAGCTTCTTGCCTGCGGATAAGCTGCGTGTCCTCAGGAAACAATTTATTGATGAGAGATTCCAGCACAAGAGCTTCTCCTTCTTCTCGCTGGAGAAAAGCGAGAGGAAAATATATCTCTATATGAAAGAGTCGTAAATATGAAGTGGCGCGAGGGAGTGGAATTTATTTACGTTTTCTCGCAGCAAGAGGATTTTTCGATTTCCTATACTCGTCTCTTTCTCTCTGGATATATATTATATATGCGCAGGCGGTGATAATAATTCTGTTGCGATTGGCGTCGGAAAATTCCTCATTTTTGCGCGGCCCTGGCCCTACTTTGCATATTTTCGCTCATGCAAATGAAATTTTTTCCTAACTACAAGACCGCATTGCTAGATTTCGGCGCTGCTTATGCTGTAGCTGTTTTTCATGAATAAAATTTTTACGGTATGCAAATTCGCGTGTCGCACCCTCGAATCCCTTGGGCCGCTGCCGAAATGGCGTTTTGACAATTTTCTGCACACTTCCCGTTTAAAATTCTATTTAAAAATCACGTGAGTGAAGATCAAAGTGAGAAATTGAAAATTTGAGGATATTATACTGACAATTAGATTTTTTTTTAGTTTGTTCAATCATATTTGCAAAATTAGCGCTAGTTAGACCTGATTTTTTTATAATTCAATGATTCTCGAAATTTTTGTGCTTGAGCGGAATTATACGCTATTTCTCTCACTGTATAGACAATTTTATCAAAAGTATTTTCATTTATTAAAAAAAAAAGATAAATCTTGGAAAAAATACTGCTTTCTTCCATATTGTAAAAGTTGAATCACTATAAAAATGTTACCAAGCAGAAATAATAAAATGTAGATTTGTGAAACTTAAGCTTAAAAGGTCAAAAAGTGAAAATTTAAGAATAAGTTTTGCAACAAAATTTGGATTTAATTTGCTTATCTAAAACGATCTTTCACGACTTTCAAGTTGAGTGTCTGTTTCTCTGGGTGCGGAACAAATTTAAAAACATATTGATTCCATTTTTGGGGTGAATCTGTGCGGGCCGCCGTGAAATTTAAACGAACCAAAGCACCCTGGAGAGTGCCATTTGCATATTCATGCTGTCAGGCCAAAAGAACAGGCAGGAAAAATATTAATTCAGTGGGATGCTTTCAACATGTTATCCGAACGAAGAAGGAGCAGTCGCTCTCTTCATGCATAATGTACTCGTCGTCGTCTCTCTGTTTGGCACGTGTTTTGCAGAGAGCGCGATTTCAATCTGGCCGCGCGCTCTATATCAATCGGCGGCTCTCTCGCGGAGGCAGGCCAATTTGAGCGAATTCGCATTGTGTGTTCGAGGGAGTGAATGGCTCAAGTCGCATACCACACATCAGATAAGAAAGCTCCGGCAATATATCTGGCTGCCGAACGCCCTGCATACCAATATAAAGCGCGTGCCAAATTGAAATGCACTGCGTGCAGCACCCCTGCGCATAAGATCTTGCACCTTCGGTGTTTTAACACCTCGCAGGATTCGGCGCATGAGTAATGGCCGTGCCTGGCGAAACTCGCGGCTTGGGATGCAAAAAGGGTGAGAGGAGGAAATAAAGGTGCTGCAGCTAACGGATCGGGGACACTCTCGCACGTGACATAGGGAAATTGCCTTCTGCACGCCCAGTGTTTATATTCGCCACGGGCATGTTGAGCGTCGGAAATGGCACGCCAGGATTAATTCGGCAACTTTTTATCTCTGTTGCAATCTTACTTTAAAAGTTCAAAGGACCAAGAAAGCTGAAATATTTTTCTTTCCATCGATACTAATTACTAAAATGCTCAGGTTCTCACATCCACTTAAAGCAGTAATTAAATTTACAAATTTTATCGTTTTTTTATGAAAAATACCACAATGAAAAGGTCTTTCAAACGTTTGAAATGAATAGCTTTAATCACAAATTTTCCATTAAGCATCACAAAATGCTACATGAAAGTTTCCCTAGCTTGTTAAAACTTGAGCAGTACATTCAAATTGCAT